CTGTCTTCGATTTAAGGATGTTTTGCATGTACAATCCTAGCAAAAAGTAGCTGAAAATCAATATTGACAAATATCCACTTTTGGTGTAGTTTGAGTAAGAAATTGTGGAATATTTGATCTTAGCTACAGTGCAGAGATGTATTTTTTAATATTTATTTCGTTTTTACTGAAATATTCCGAATTTTGTGAATCGAAATGATTAACTTTTGGCAGAGAATTTTGCCTTGTGATAGATACATAACTTCATTCAATTATATTTAATATCTTTTTAACCAGTTAATACTTGTATAATATTATTTAACCAAATATTTCCTCTGTATCTAAACTTTTGCAAATTTTAAACAAATTCTGAATATTATTTCCATGTGTTTTTGTCATTTGAATCGACGTAGTTATACATTTCCCCTAAGAACACATGTTAATTCGGTGCAAATTAAAATCCTTATAACTTGCGAACGCTTTAGTGAATCGATTAAAAAATTGTACTGAAGATTCTAAACATATGTAAGGACATTCTGTACAATTTTCAATATTTCGAAAATAGGTACAAAACATCCTTAGCTTGACATTTTTTATAGAAGCCACATCCGCGAACGAGGAGAAGAGTTAAAGTTGTCGGGATCCCGTCTTAATAACATTAAACGTCCATTTGGAGCCGAGCATTGCGGTATCCGCGAAATGTATAATTTCACGACTGCAATATATAAACGTAATTTCCCCATGTGTCATAAAGTTAATACGCGCGTTTATATCTCATTTCGCGGCACAAAGTACGAGCGGTTTTTTTTTTCCCCGCGACTGCGTCAATTTGGGACGGGGGACGGAAACCGACTGACCGCGTTCCCGCGTCCCTTCCGCGCAAAAATCCCCCGCGGTTTGAGAACCCGGGGGCCGGCAATTCCGTGCGACATCGGCCGCGGTTGCGGTACCGCTCGCTGGATGCCCATAGCGCACGATTACCTACCTACGCCCCGGCCCCTGCTCCAGCGAGTAGCAACAGCAATGTCTATCTTGCGGCATAGCCGCAGAGAGAATACGCTACAATATAGTTTTACACGCCGGAGGCGGCGTTGAGGCCCGTGCCGTCCGCGGCACCGGATATCGCATTTGCCTGTCGGGTCGAAGGGCAGCTGCCTGCGATTATAACCGCGCAGGAAATCGATTCTGCTAGAAAAATTACCGCGCGGAATTCCGTGTATCGGTTTATCGACAGATTTCTATCGGGGAGAGAGAGGGAGGAAGAGGGAAAGGAAAGGTCGAACCTTTGTACCGGGAGCCGTGCAAGAAGCGCTTCGCCTTCTCTCGATCTCCCGTATCGAATCGTAAAAATTTATTGATCCGCGGGAAATCGGGTCCCGCCGCTTTGACGCGAACGACGGTCGTTAGCGTGTCGTTAAAATTTTTCCGTACGATTAGATTGCCATAAAACACGCGGAGAGAAATCGGGAATGTGAAACGATGTGCTAAGTAGTATACACCCGGTAGGCAGGTAAGAAGAGGAGCGGGGCGAAAGAAATCTTCATTCGTATTAGGGTCATTATTTTTTTATGTATCTTTGATCGCTCATAAATCGAATGATTAAATGATAGAAGCCTTTTGATTTAATTCAATTAAACTTAGAAAACTAAATTATACATTCGGCTTTCGTTGACCCCAGGGTCACACGTCGCAAATCTAAAGTGTGACAAATTCACTATCGCGAATATATATTTACAGAAAATCTAACAAGACAGACTTAATTTTAAAAATTATCAAATTTTTTAAATTTTGCAGGCTATTAAGAATCAGCAAAATGATATGACCTCAGTTTGAAAATTAATCTTTCTCTGAAATTGATTAATTTTGCACGAATTTTTTTTTGGTTCTATACCAAATACAAATAAAATTTTCGAAATTTCTGTGCACAAGAGAAAAATTAATTAATTTCAAAATTGACACCATCCTATGGCTTTGAATAGCCCGAAAAATTAAAAAAATTGCTATGTAATTTTGTATACAATGTTTTGGAATCAATGAAATCATCTCGATATGTCAGACAATATTACAAACTCACTATCGCGAATATATATTTACAGAAAATCTAACAAAACATACTTAATTTAAAATTTTCAGTTTTTTTTCAATCTTGCAGGCTATTAAGAATCAGCAAAATGAAATGACCTCAGTTTGAAAACTAATCTTTCTTTAAAATTGATTAATTTTGCACGAATTTTTTTGATTCTATACCAAATATAAATAAAATTTTCGAAATTTCTGTGCACAAGAGAAAAATTAATTAATTTCAAAGTTGACGCCCTACCATCCTATGGCTTTGAACAGTCCGAAAAATTAAAAAAAGTTGCTATGTAATTTTGTATACAAATGTTTTGGAATCAATGAAATCATCTCGATATGTCAGACAATATTACACGCGCGATTAATGAAATCCCCGAATGAAATGAGAGAGAGACCTGCATTCACGGTTTGCGTCATTCAAATCGTTATTCCTGCCATGAGTCTTAACATCAAGTGGTGGCATTTCTTCCACGGTTTTTGCGCGATTACCGCCTTCATTTATAACGCATTTGAACGAAAATCCTCGCACTTCGCGTACGACAGTTTTTGCGGTGGACTGGATGCGCGCCGACACCCTCGGCACGAAAGACCTCGGAGGGTCCATTTAAAAAAGATGATTGTCCGGTGAGAGGGCCTCGGTCTTTGGTCTCGAGGAAGAGAGAGCCCCGGAGGAGGCGTGTCGCGCACGTACGAGGACGAGTCGCCATGTTACGTTCCTCACGAACGGGTCCATTGTACGTGGGCATAATTCGGCGAGGACGTCGTGCTCCTCTTTCTCAACCGTGTACTATCCGTAATAGACGCCTTTATTGCAAGGACCGAGATCGAAACTAAACCGCGAAATACGGCGCTAAGCCATTGTTGTTCGACGTGTTGCGCCGACACGTGCTCGCGTTCCTAGGAGTCGATTATGTTAATACCACGGACAAAACGCGGCCTACGCTTTAGCCTTTGGTACGATCTCTTTCGAGCATGTGAAAGATAGGTAGATAGGACACTCTGTTGTTCTGGGACAAACTCCGTGAGAGTAAGACCATACCCGCTGCAGATAAACCGATGTAATTGCAAGCTTTGCGCGATTTTAATTTCTTCTTTCCGTCGTTTAATTGGAGGGTATTATGTCCATAAAATTTGCCTTACACGATTTAATTGTATAATAAAATGTTTCCTGTATTAAACGATACGTAAAATAGCAGTCTGTCTTTATCTTAGCAAATTACATAAATCTGTCTTCTGTCTTTATTTTAGCAAATTATATAAATATGTGATGTAATAAAATGTAATTATTACTAATTAATTAGATATATAATTCGTAATAATTATGTATATTTATATAATTTGCAGCTAAAATGAAGACAGAATGCTATTTTACGTATCGTTTAATATAGAAAAATTTTAAAAACATAAAATATATACATGTATCACACACATGCATTGAAATATGTGGCTCATAAAATTATAAGTAGATTTCTACTTTGAACGAGAGTCGATGGATACAATTTAATTAAATATGATGTATTATAAACAATATTTATCAATCTTTTATCGAGACGACGTGCGGGAATATTTTTTCGAAATTATCAACAAACAAAAAGGGCGTAACATTTTAACGTAAAATAGCATTTAAGTTATTCTAAAAACGAAATTACAAGTGTATCTGCTCATGTATTATACATTACTTAATCAAGATGTTAATTCAGATATGAATTTATCTTGAGGAAAAGATAAGGTATATACTGTTGAAACGCTAAGACTTATGTAAAAGCAGACGCTAATCATTTAACGGGGAAGAGAATTCTCACTTTGGGTGGTCGAGCTTTGAGTCTCTGAACCTTTATCTTTATTTGTTGATATTCTTAAGAAGGAGACGACTAACCAGCGGTATATTTGATCACGGAAGCTCTGTTTTAGTCGGACCCACGTATCTAAACACGATCTACAAGGATCAATCTACTTTTTTACTAATTCCGATCTAATCACGATTTTGAAACGGCAAGTCTTTATACGAATTTAAATTTCGTCGCGCGTCTATGGAAACGGGATAAAAAGTATCTCGCTTACATGCGTACAATCCATAAATTTCACGCAAGAAACAAAAACACACGAATAAAATCCATAAATGCGAAATCCACTTTAGATGTAAAGTTTATCATGATGTATACGATCCATTTTAACCCTAAGGCGAATCGCATAAATCACGATAATTGCACTTTTTGCCGTCGTCATCGGCACTTTTCCACTCGTCCTTATCGAAAAGAATAAAAACAAGAAGCTGTCGAGCTATCGGTTCCATTTAGTCGCAAGTTATATACCCGCCAAACTTGACTGGTGTTTTATCTCGTCGATAAGAACGCGAACGTCTTCGGCATCAGCGGCAATTAAGGAGCTTCGTGCGGCAAGCCTGTCGTCTCGTCAAGGCGGACATCTCTTTTTTTACCCCTATTTCGACCGCGCGATATCTAATCGGGACGGAAGAAACGAGACGTTTTACGCGCGACGCGTCTTTCAGGATGACGTCGCCCCTCGCAAGGAGAGAACAGAGCGGAGCAGAAACGCAACACGGAGAAGCGGGAGCGTCCTCGGCTCGCTCGCAGGGCCCGAGGCCCCGTACGCATACGCGGGCCCCGCGTATTCCGACGGTGAGGCCCACGGCGAGAGAGGCGTCGTGCCCCGACACGCCACACGTATTAGAAACGAATATAAATATATCGAGGGACAGAGAAGGAGAGACACGTGGGGCGGAGGTAGGGGAGAGAGAGGATCGCGCGCGCGTATAGGTAACGTCCAAGTTACACACGCACCGACGCGGCTCTCCCCTTCGCTCCCCCCCCTCGTCGTTCCTCCTTCCTCGCGCTCTCGCTCGCGGGCCCTTGCCGCCGCCCGGCCCCCTCGAGTCCCGCGTCGGGGCCCGAGTCCCGGAGTGTGCTTCAGTGTCCGCTCGGCTTCAGCACGCCCCGCGCCGTTCCCGCGTGGAACCGAGACCGGGACGCGCTTCTAAGAGACTTCAACGCGCCGCCCATCGTGTTCTCCAGTGATTTCTCTCTCGTGTGATCGCGCCGCCGAGTCGATTTCGCTCGGTTAGGAACCTCCGAGAGGGGGATCCGTCATCGAGACGCCGAGTGTGCTCCGAAAATAGTGATGCTCCGAGATGGGAAAGTCATGAGGGATCATCAGCGATCCGCGAACTTGTTCTCGCGGCTGTCACTCGCGCTCGATCGGATCCGAGACAAGGAGTTTGAGATCGCGTTGTCGGATTTTCCTGGTCACCTCTGCATCGCGCGTCGCATGCGTGTCGCGCATTGAAACGTTAATCCTCGTGCTGTACTACCGGTTATACATACTGATTGGTTCCCATCCCCCCGGGGACCGATACTCTCTTATTCATCGTCCGTCTCTTTCTCCCTCTAGCCTTTGCGATCCTGGCGTCTCCTCCCGACTGCTTTCGCCGAGCTGGAGCGCGCTCGATCCTCTCTCCCTTTCCTTGTTCTCTTCGATCACTCGTTCCCCCATCGCGTCGCCTACCTCTCCCTCGTACCGTGTCTCTATCTCCGTTCCTGGCCCCTTATTGCTCGAGATCCAGGCTGCGAGTTGGCGAGCGTTTCGCGAACACGCGTGCCAATCGAGAAATAGCGAACGAGCGACGCGATGAGTCTGATCCCGCCGGCGGCGAGACACACGCGAGACGACGATACGGGTCCAATTGAGGAGGCACCCGCGAGGTATCTCTATTGCTGAGGTCGAGACGTTCGTTAACTACGAGACGGGACAGTTATAATTCGCGAGAAGACATTTTTCCCGTGTATCGATGCGAGGAGAATGATGTACATGAAGACATCCGAAGTACATCTCGAAGTAACGGAGAGGAATAGCGGGAGATGCGTCCGCGAATGCGGAATCGAAGACTGGTAATCGTTTCCGTCATTATCGCGACCAGCGAGGAGACACTTGAGCGGACTCGCGAAACAGAAATGTGCTCGAGGAGAAGAGGAAAAAGGAACATTGCGAGAGGAAAGATAGAGTGCCGGAGATATGGTACCAGTCCTCGTACGCCGGTCTAGCATCTATCGACCGTTCCAATTGACGAGAGAAGGCTCGAGCGCGTCTGTCTCTCATTAGCTTCTGCTCGAGAAAGACTCGAGGCTGGTTCTCGCCGCAGAAATTCGCCCGCTGGAGACAAATGCCATTCGACGAGCCATCCCACGAGCCGTTCCAGGAAAGTCGCCGAGTCTCCAAGCTCCAGAGGCGCAATCAAGAGCGTATGTCACGGAGAGAGGCATTTAATACGCTTATACTACCCGCAGAAGGGTTTCTACGGAGAGAACAAAAACCCTCCAGTGCCCCGAAGCGTCGCCTTATTAGCTTTTGCGAGAGGACGACCGGCGGCCGCCAAGAGGGACGTAATATAACAAGAAGGGAGAGAGAAGGAAGGAGACTCCGTCGGCGCGCCTTCTAGATTAGAAGGTCTCGCCACGACGATTATTACCGTCGGGTCCCTCTCTCCACCAGAACCAGTACCCTATAGAAAAGCGCGTCACTCGGAGGAAAAGAAGCGCCGGTAGAAAGCCGATCTTAACAGCCACCACCGTCGTCGTCGGTCGGGTCCGGATGTTGGTGCCCGTTCGTCGTCGTCGGTCGCGCAAGAAGAAGAAGAGGCATGTCGAGCTTGGCGCGGAGGAGACACACGGCGTTGCTCGGCTCGAAGCGATGGTGGCAAGGCGGCTGCTGGGCGACCAGGAGCCACCAGGAGGCGTACCTGCGCAAGCTCTACGGCCGGAAGAACAATGTCAGGAGCGATGATCAGGGCGACGGGGATGTCGTCGCGGCGGAATCCGCCAGGGGCATCGACGCGCCCTGGGCGACGTCCAGCATCGCCTACGACCTGCCGTTCGTCGCCACCGCCCCCGCCACCGACGAGCACTACCTGGACGCGTTTCTGCGGGGTCGCAGCGTCGCCGCGAACGACGTCGTCGTCGACGACGTCGTCGCCGCGGTGGTCGGCTGCCCGGACCTGGCGGCGTCGCGCGCCAGCCCGACGGAGAAGTGCGTGGAGTTCCTGAAGGGCGCGCATCCCGACGACGGGACCGGCGCTTTCGATCGTCGCGCCGCGCCAGATTCCGAATGCGGCCGCGTAGCCGACTGCGGTCCGGCTTACGACGTCGCCGGTTGTTCGGAGTAAGTTGCTGCTGTTATAGTGATGGAGAGGCTGCTTCTCCGCGCGAAGCGAAATCGATAATTCAAGAATGAAGATATATTATCCGCGTGCAGAAAATTTATTTATTTTCAAGTTTATAGAAAATGCGAAAAGAGCTTCTGTGCATTGGATACGTGAATTTATAATTTCCAAGAATTCTAAGAAATTTTTTATTATATTTATTATTATATCGTGCTCTCTTTTTTAAATAAAATTTCTTCGTGAATTAAAGATGTTCTGTACGTATTTTCGAAATGAAAAGAGCTTCTGTGTATTGGATACGTGAATTTATAATTTCCGAGAATTCTAAGAATTTTTTAATTATATTTATTATTATATCGAGCTCTCTTTTTTAAATTAAAATTTCTTCGTGAATTAAGGATGTTTTGTACGTATTTTCGAAATATTGAGAATTTAATGAAAATTGTACAGAATGTCCTTACATATGTTTAGAATCTTTAGTATAATTTTTCAATCGATTGTAAAGCGTTTACAAGTTATAAGGATTTTAATTTGCACCGAATTAACATGTGTTCTTATGGGAAACGTATAACCATGTCGATTAAAAACACATGGAAATAATATTCAGAATTTGTTTAAAATTTGCAAAAGTTTAGAGGAAATATTTGGTCAAATAATATTATACAAGTACTAACTGATTAAAAAGATATTAAATATAATTGAATGAAGTTATGTATCTGTCACAAGGCGAAATTCTCTGCCAAAAGTTAATCATTTCGATTAACAAAATTCGGAATATTTCAGTAAAAACGCAATAAATATTAAAAAATACATCTCTGCACCGTAGCCAAGATCAAATATTTCACAATTATTCATATTCAAAATACACCAAAAGTGAATATTCGTCAATATTGATTTTCAGCTACTTTTTGCTGAGAGTGTACATGCAAAACATCCTTAAAATTTTATTTTTAAATAAAACTTTACATTTTTTTATTTATTATATTTTGCGAAAATATAAAAATTGCTGTTTTATATAAGTGATGGCAATCTTTCTTACGAATATAAGAAAAAAAAGATTAGACTAATTTTCCTTTATAGAAATCTTTTGGTGACCAGTGATTGAAAAGGCAATTATTCCATACAATTTCTTACTCAAAATACACCAAAAGTGGATATATTCGTCAATATTGATTTTCAATTATTTTTTGCTGGGAGAGTGTACATACAAAACATCCTTAATCTCTTTACAGAAATAAATTAATAACATTTTTTATTCGTCCAACTTTCAGAATATTTTAATACAAGTTGTAATTGATCAAATAATTTGCTCATCAACATACTTGAAAATACATATTTAAAAATTAGCAGTGCGAAGAGAAACTATATCCAATGAAAAATTATATGTCATGATCAAATAGTAAAGTATGTATGTACGCAATAATTCGACTTTTATATTGGAATGAAATGGCAATTAACTTTGCTCGTTTCTTGTTACCACTACTTTCACGTAAGATTATCTAGAACGCAATTTCTCGTTTAATGTCTCACAAAGTGTCTTTCACGGTGCTTGAAGAACGGCATTTTTGCATCATGATCCGCAACAGCATCAATCAAGAATCATTTCTCGGTTATGGTAAAAGTCTATGTACCACGTCGTCTTCGCTTGAACGTTTCGATAACTACTTAGCGCTCGCTGATCCAGAACATGTGGAACAGCACACGCGATTCTCTTACACGCTCGGAGCATTAAATTTTCAATCGAAACATATCGATTTATTCAAGCGAGGAACAAGATGCTGTCGGATGGTTAGGTGTAATAACTCCTCCTTTTCGTTCGTCCTTTTATGTTCTCATGCATCGTGTTCTATTTCCCTAGTTACCGTATCCAATTTTCTGTTACATTTTTCAAGAAATATTTATAGATTAGGTACACGAAATTTTTAGGTCCTACAAGACCTGGAAATTCTGGAATTTTAGCTTACATTCCGAGTTGGATAGATTTTAAATTTTAAGTCTATATAATTAGACGGGGATCTTAGGCTCTAATATTAGAGGAAGACCCTAAAGTATGGGCCTATAATTTAATTCAGAAAACTGTATAGCGAGAAAACTGACTCCAAAATTCTATAAATATTCTCTCTCTCTCGTGAGAATTTTTCTTATATAACATATTTATCTTATATCTAATATATTATATACATAGTTTATATTTGATATATATATATATATATATATATATATATATATATGTATATATTATAATATATATATTTAATTCAGGAAAATACACTGAAAATTTATTACATAATTTTATAACTTAATTTCTATTCATCCAATTTCTGAAATAACACTTGGCACAAATGATCACATATTATACACAAAAATTGAAACTTCCTAATAATTAAGAAAAATACATGTATAATAAATATATAAAAATAAATAAAAAATAATATAATAAATAAAAAATAAATAAATAATAAATGAAATAATAAATAAATAATAAATAAAAAATACTTTAAATACACACTTAATTTTCTATTGTAGGCAAAAATTTAAAAACGATTCAATATTAACATTTGAATAAATATCTAGCTATTGATTACACGATTAAAGTTGGTGTCTTCTGTTTTTCTCTACAGGAAGGTGTGCAGGAGCTGCAGGTGCCCACGAGAGGAGCATCAGCGGTCCTCTACGGTCGAGGCGGGTCCCTCGGAGCTCGGCCTGGGCCCGGGCCCGCCGATGGCGATGGCCATGGCGTTCCCGAGCGGCGCCGGCGGTGCGCCACACCAGGAGCCGTTCAAGAGCCCGGTGCAAGCCGCGCCGGCCGGCCTGGCGTTGCAGGAGGCCCTGATGCAGCATCACCAGAGGCACTCGCAGAGCGACGACGACAGCGGTTGCGCGCTCGAGGAGTACACGTGGGTGCCGCCTGGGCTGAGGCCCGATCAGGTAACGCATTTGAGTAAAAATTATATGCTAAACCAGTTTCTTTTTACACCTGATTTTTTACTGGTAATTCTAACATTATACAGGGTGTCCCAAAACTCATAATCAATCTTTCAAAGTCAGATTCCTGGGATCATTTGGAGACGATTTTTCCTCAGCAAAAATGTCGATGAAGACCATCATTTTTTGCATGTTCCCGATTTTTGTCATCATATATCTTTGCAATTAAGCCTTAAATTAAAACTCAACTAAAGTAAACTCTATTTAAAATTAATCGAAGAATGTGGTTTTGTTAATATTTTATTTCTACAAAGCTTAGTTTACGAAAAACCCCTTATTTCCAATCACTTACAATTCGAAAATTATTAGTGCCTCGACATTTTCGTTGAGGAAAAATCGTCTTCAGATGATCCCAGGAATCTGTCTTTGAAAAATTGATTATGAATTTTGGGACACCCTGTATAGATATTTAATGAGTAGACTATATTACTCGGTACTAACATTAACCCATAAGTTACACATACTTATTTTCTATAAATTATTGTATATGACAGCGAGAGCTCTGCGTAGTCGATTAGTTTTGTTAAAAAGATTTATGTTAATATATTTGCTTTTGTTTATGGAGCATTAAAATTTGTATCTATATATTGGTCTTTAATGAACTTTAATAAATTTAAAAAAAAGAAAAGGTAACGCAATTTGCTGCATCTTGGGAGTAAAACATAATTCTTCGGGCACGAAATAAAATAATTTATTATTGTTAAATAATTTAATTATGTTTCTTAATAATTGACGCGAACAACGGAAGCCAGAGAATTTGCATAAAAATTTGTATTAACGGCAGAAATCGAGAAAAAGTCATGTACTGTTAAAGTGAGAGAAGGGATGAAGGTCTTTCCGATGTGACACCCGCGCGCGACGTGAGGCAATTCGTTTCACCGGGGACCAGTAACCGCGACGATTACTATCGTGAACGACGACGGCGCAGTGAGTCATCAGGCCGCGCGTCGGTGAAAGCTCTCGCCGGACACGATGATAAAGCGCAATCCAAAGGGTTCACTCGAAAAAGGGGACATGATAGAGGAGAAATACGAGGAGGATATAAAATGTATTAATTATATATAATTATACATCAAATTGATTTTTTTTCTTTTTTTTCTTCTACATTTTTTTTTGGATTTTCTTCTGAAAATATTTTTCAGGAATATTTACCGCTGTAAATTTTATAGATATATTTTTCTAGTATTTTTGCTTTATTCTCAAGCGTTAATCTACGATTGAAAGGGGACTCGCTGGAACGTCTCGCGTACGAGAAACGTCAAAAATGAAGTCATTTGATTTAATTAAACGCACGATGGCGTACAATCGGATCACGCTACGTTAGAGGCTCCCGCGAAAGAGCCAACTAACGCGCTCATGATTCTTTTTAATTGCTTTCGCACGGAATAGAGCTCTGTCCTTTCTTTCGTAGCGCTGCGTGCCGGCTTTTGCGCGAACATCCGTCGTTTATTTCGCGACTCGGGACGCGATGCGTGCAAATCCCCTCGCTTCTCCTCTTTCTTCCACTTCAGTCTCCTCTCTTCTCCCTCTCGCTTTTATTTCTCACTTTCGCGCCCCGTTCGCAGCCTGTCCCTGTCCCAGCAGAGCGTTCGTCCGCACGTTTTCTTTACTCACTTTAAGTGTCATTACGTCTAACGCGCATTATATATTATGACTCGGCGTTCTCGGCGAGGGGACGATAATCCTACGCAACAAGCTTTTCGCGCTTTTAAGTCCCCGCCGCATGACGATTGCGTCAATTCGCGTTTCCGCGCGAAGATGCTCCGAAAACACAAAGAGTGCGCCAAGATACTGCGCTTGCAAAAAGCGACATGTGAAGCTTGTCAAATCAGAAGATATTTTCTTTTCTTATATCGTCGTATTATCTTCTTATTAATTAATAATATATTCATCACGCAATTAGTAGTCTTTTCAAAAGTCCTGTCTTTTATTGAATCAATTCGCGCGAAATTGCTCCGAAAACAAGCTCCCAAGGAATGAACGAAAATATGTGCTTGCAAGAAGCGACATGTGAAGCTTGTCAAATCAAAAGTTATTTTCTTTTCTTGTATCGTCATATTATCTTCTTATTAATTAATAATTCATCACGCAACTAGTAGTCTTTTCAAAAGTCCTGTCTTTTATTGAATCAATTCGCGCGAAATTGCTCCGAAAACAAGCTCCCAAGGAATGAACGAAAATATGTGCTTGCAAGAAGCGACATGTGAAGCTTGTCAAATCAGAAGATATTTTCTTTTCTTATATCGTCGTATTATCTTCTTATTAATTAATAATATATTCATCACGCAATTAGTAGTCTTTTCAAAAGTCCTGTCTTTTATTGAATCAATTCGCGCGAAATTGCTCCGAAAACAAGCTCCCAAGGAATGAACGAAAATATGTGCTTGCAAGAAGCGACATGTGAAGCTTGTCAAATCAAAAGTTATTTTCTTTTCTTGTATCGTCATATTATCTTCTTATTAATTAATAATTCATCACGCAACTAGTAGTCTTTTCAAAAGTCCTGTCTTTTATTGAATCAATTCGCGCGAAATTGCTCCGAAAACAAGCTCCCAAGGAATGAACGAAAATATGTGCTTGCAAGAAGCGACATGTGAAGCTTGTCAAATCAGAAGATATTTTCTTTTCTTATATCGTCGTATTATCTTTTTATTAATTAATAATTCATCACGCAATTAGTAGTCTTTTCAAAAGTCCTGTCTTTTATTGAATCAATTCGCGCGAAATTGCTCCGAAAACAAGCTTCCAAGGAATGAACGAAAATATGTGCTTGCAAGAAGCGACATGTGAAGCTTGTCAAATCAGAAGATATTTTCTTTTCTTATATCGTCGTATTATCTTCTTATTAATTAATAATTCATCACGCAATTAGTAGTCTTTTCAAAAGTCCTGTCTTTTATTGAATCAATTCGCGCGAAATTGCTCCGAAAACAAGCTTCCAAGGAATGAACGAAAATATGTGCTTGCAAGAAGCGACATGTGTGACGCTTGTCGAGAAGATATTTTCTTTTTTTATATCGTCATATTATTTTATTAATTAATAATCCATCACTCAATTAATAATCTTTCCAAAAGTCCTGTCTTTTATCGAATCATTTTGCGCGAAAATGCTCCGAAAACAAGCTCCTAAAGAGTGGATTCCTTAAAATATTGCGCTTACAAGAAGACATATGAAGCTTATATACAAGTCAAAAGATATCTATTTTTCTTTATCGACATTCTTATATTCGCTGTGTATTATTTCCTTATTATATAATCGATAATTCATCACGCAATCGATAATCTTTCCAAAAATCCCGTCTTTCATGCGTTCGGCGTAAATAAAAGAAGTGCGTAACACGTTTAACAATGAAACATCATACGAGTGCTATTGCCACTTGTGTAAACCGACTTGTGTGAGCCGTAACATGGAGAGATTTACCGCTAGATCGTGCGAAGAAACTCGATTATACGCGAATTCCAATGGTTATTGAAGGAGCGCGCGCGGTTTCGCTTTCCAGACATATTCTTATGGAAATACTCGCGTTGACAGTCGTCTCTCGATGAAACGCGCATCTTTTTATCGTGCCTTCTTTATTGCCTTCAGCGCATCGCGGACTCGTCGTAGCAGGTTTACGGTCGCAGTAATATAAACGCATTCGTCAGTGTTTTCTTTCGCGACTCGTCCCTTCGGTATGTTGACAGTATTCATTCCGATACTTATCTAAATTTGCAGGGCAGATTTCAATGACCATCGATTAACGTCAGTCGTGGTTGACGCTAAATTCCTCCCCCCTGTCTATATCGATGATGCGATCTATGAAGGACAGAGAATTAGACACTATCGGTTCGTTAGTTTCAGTTGTCAGCTGTTGATAATCGATACATGCGTATATAAGACTGCACAGAAAAATATCATTCTACTGCCAAGAAAAGCGATTACTCAGTTTATTTATTTTTTTTTTAAGTAATAGTTTTCTTCAACAAAGAATATATTCTTGATAATAATCTTAAAATATACTCATCACAAGTGTTAGAAAATCTCATTATCATGTACTCGAAAGAAGAATTTATTTTCTCTTCAAGAATATTGTAAAGTTGTATTAAAAAAAATCAAACTTACTTTACGTCAACTCTTGTAGTAATCAAACCAAATTTTTGTTTTAATTTAATTTTCTTGACTAAAATACTGCACTTAAAATTCAGAATATATTCAATTAAATTTAATGCTTGTGATAAACTTATGATATATTTGCGGATATACAAACTTATGATATACTTAAAATAAATAATATTTACTTGAATACAGTATACATTTCTCTCTGTGTGGTCTTTCAAAGTCTTTTCTAGTATACGAAATGAATCTTGAAACGTGTGCAGATCTTGTTATAATATTGTATTTTTCGCTATAAAATATGTGTAATATTATTATAAATATTTTATAAAATCATGTATAGAGACAGATATATTTATAAAGCAAAATTATTATGCTCTTAATAACGTGTAGTAGATGCGGAGGATTGGCGCAAACGAAATGTCAGGCAAAATCGATTCGGCATAGAACACGTTAATATTAAATATCTTCAAAAAAATTAAGTTATTTCTTTTAAAGGAAGGGGAAAACAACGCAACACGTGCATCGACACTACGAAAGCCGTTAGATAATCTTGGCAACATAGTATGGCAAAGTCACACGGTCGATGTAAAGTACCACCAGGCTGTCGGAGTAATTTTCTCGTGATAGGCTTACCATCATTATTCACGGATAATTTGACTCGATATTAGCGGGATATCCGAAACACACGCTATATAAGGTGTTCCAAATTTAAAACTTTGAGAGCGTGTGAAGGATCGATAAATTAAGGAAAAAAGTTCTTTGGAGGTTTACTCGTCTTTGCTTCATTTTCGAGAAAATTGTAAAAAAAAAGAAACAAAAAGCTTTCACCAAAAAATTTAAATTAATTATCAGATTTGTGAAAAATTTATTGCCAATCAAGCGAGCAGTTGAGAGACCGAATCGTAGCTGCAGTGCATCATGGGAATATTGTCTAGCTGCGACTAGAGGACTTTTTTCCCCAATTTATCGACTCCCAAAGTTTTGACACTTAAACTCGACACAGAAAAAAAAACATTCTTGTTTTGAAAATACATTTAGTTTTATCATGGAAATCTTGAAATGAGATTATATTGCGTTAATTAAAGAAAAATATAATTGCTTACTTGAATGAAGCCATTTTATATAGTTCAAGAAAAATATATTCTTATTCTATTCGATCAAGAAAAATATATTCTTATGATTTAAGACTTAATTTTCTTGAATGGAAGAGACACAATGTTAGATAAAAAATAATATTTTTAAATCATAACATTTTTAAATCAAAGATTATAATGTTCTTAAAATAGAATTAAATAATTATATATTCTCGAGGTGACAAGTACAATATTAAAATAAGACTAATATTGTTGAAATTTAAAATTATTAAATTCTCCTAAGAAGATTAAAAATTATTGCGCATAATATATTATTTATGTAATATATTATTACGAAACAATGAACGCGTTAGTTTAAGGATGTTTTGTATGAACAATCCCAGCAAAAAGTAGCTGAAAATCAATATTGACGAATATATCCACTTTTGATGTATTTTGAGTATGAGAAATTGTGGAATATTTGATTTTAGCTACAGTGCAGAGATGTATTTTTTAATATTTATTGCGTTTTTACTAAAATATTCCGAATTTTGTTAATCGAAATGATTAACTTTTGGCAGAGAATTTCGCCTTGCGACAGATACATGACTAACTTCATTGAATTATATTTAATATCTTTTTAGTCAGTTAGTACTTGTATAATATTATTTGATCTGTATCTAAACTTTTGCAAATTTTAAATAAATTCTGAATATCATTTCCATGTTTTTGTCATTTGAATCGACGTGGTTATACGTTTCATAAGAACACATGTTAATTCAGTAGTCAAATTAAAATCCTTCTAACTCGTGAACGCTTTAGTGAATCGATTTAAAAATTGCACCGAAGATTCTAAACATACGTAAGGACATTCTGTACAATTTTCATTAAATTCTCAATATTTTTCAAATAGGTAGAAAACATCCTTAAGTATATAAGTTTCGATTATATCATTGCTCCAATCGTATCTAATCCCGGCGGCGCTCTTTGTGTCCCACAGGTGCACCTGTACTTCAGTGCTCTACCGGAGGACAAGATCCCGTACGCGGGTAGCGCCGGCGAGCGCGAGCGGGTGAAGCAGTTGCTGCAGCAGCTACCTCCCCACGACAACGAGGCGCGTTACTGCAGCGGCCTGACCGAGGAGGAGAAGCGCGAGCTACGCGTGTTCGCGGCGCAGCGGAAGCGCGAGGCCCTCGGACGCGGACACGCGAGCCAGCTGGAGCGGCCGCACGGCGCCGGGTGCCGCGAGTGCGGGCGCGCGATCGCGGCCGGCGAGATGGCCGTGGCGGCGAGCCGGGCCGGCCCGGCCGCTCTCTGGCATCCCGCCTGCTTCGTCTGCTGCGTGTGCCGCCAGTTGCTCGTCGATCTTATCTACTTCTGGCGGGACGGCCGTCTGTACTGCGGCCGTCACCACGCCGAGACCCTCAAGCCCCGATGCTGCGCCTGCGACGAGATCATCCTCGCCGACGAGTGCACCGAGGCGGAGGGCCGAGCGTGGCACATGCGGCACTTTGCTTGCCTCGAGTGCGATCGACAGGTAGGAATGCCGATGCGATGACGATGATGATAATGACGATGATGACGCTCGAGATTAAAAGCCGAGGCGTACGTTTTTCTCGGAGCAAAAGGACGAATCGATGTCGGGATTATATAATTTACCCTCGAGATTAGATAAGAAGTTGAATTTTTTTCAAGATTATAATTAGATTCCTCGGATTTTTGAACAGAAATTTATTTCTCATTAATAATTAAGATTTAAAGTATTTGTAATATCCGACATGTTTAGCTGAGGAAGCATTTGTCTGAAGAAACTTACTTTTTAACAAATAAACTTGTGTTTAACATATATGCAAATATGCGCAGAATATGTAAGCATGTGCAATATGCACAATTAAATCATTTTTACAACAATCTTTTGATAAGACAAATTTCCACATTTTTTCTTGCTCTCTTAATCTGTCCTCTAAGAAAGATGCAATTAAAAATTAGCAGTTTAATTATAATTATAATTTACAAAATTTTTCAAGATTGTGTTTGAATGATGGACATGTGTATGCATTGATTATAAGTCATTGAGAATGACTGGGATGAGAGGAACGGGTTTGAAAACTCGAGAAGTAAAAATATACTTTTTTATGAAGATTGAAATTCTCCTCATCGCGTCGATTCTCGAGTGTCTAGCGGTACTCGCACGCTTGTACCATCGGATATGCATACGCCCGTGGATTTAATGATTACGTTGTTATCAAATTTACAACCGCGTAGCGATTCATAATCCCAGCCAGCGCCAGCTGACTCTATCTTCTGGATACGTCTTCCGAGTTAGATAACGTCGCTCGTCGAACGCACAGAAGCAACGTTTTCCGCGTTACTCGTATTACATCGGGTGTTCGCTTTAGAATAAACGATGAATATATATATCGTACGCGGGGGAAACTTGGGAAAAAAACTCCAAGAGGATGGAGTTCTTTGTATTTAAATCTACGCGATGTAACTTTTTTTATTTTTTTTTATATTAACAATGAGTGATAAAGTAAGAATTATTTTCCTGTTGAAAACGTGGAAGAATGTAATGACTACAATATATTGCAAACGCACACTTGAAGCGAGAAGTTTGTAGGGACCTGCGCTTTATCAGATTGCCGCCGTATATAGAGTACATGCTTCAGTGAATAACCGGTCATCGGTATACTAGCATTATCACTAAAGCTATATGCTTACTTTCTTTGAGATATTATGACTCTATATATTCTTGAAAACAATGCATTACTATTTTTTCATATATAGCATAACATTTTTTTATTAATTTCAAATAGTATGCTTTTCATGTCTAAAGTCGATAATCTCTGAAAATTTTTAATTTCATCTGATATCCTAGAAAAAAAATGTATAAAATGTGGAATAAATATTTTTATCAAAAAAATTTATATAATAATAATATATAAATTATATATTATATTAAATTATATATTAAATAAAATATATAAATTAAATTATAAATTACATATTATAAATCATAAATTATATATTTTTTTATAAAAAAATATTCTGCGTGTATGTAAAGTATATTTTTCCCAGTTTGATTCATGTCGCCTCTGTTCCTCTCATGAAATATCCCTCATAAAAATTCATGTCTCTGGTCGCAGCTCGGTGGTCAGCGGTATGTGATGCGGGAAGGTCGGCCGTACTGTCTCAGGTGCTTCGACGCCTCCTTCGCGGAATACTGCGACAGCTGCGGCGAGCCGATCGGCGTCGACCAGGGCCAAATGTCGCACGAGGGTCAGCACTGGCACGCGACCGAGGCCTGCTTCTGCTGCGCCACTTGCCGCGCCTCCCTCCTAGGTCGGCCGTTCCTGCCGCGACGTGGTGCCATTTACTGCAGCATAGCGTGCAGCAAGGGGGAACCGCCGACGACACCGAGCGACTCCTCCGCCGGGCCGCCCCCGCCCCCGCCGTCCTTCCTCAGGTAATATACTCGCGCGTTATTTCGCATACCGCCTCTCGCACGGGGTCACGGGGGCTGCTTTTCATTGTTCTACCTTTCCGACGACGGTGCGGCGACAAAAATTATGGCCGGTTAAGAACACGTGATTGCACGTGAGCATGCCGCTTCCTCGCTTGCACGAAATGCAATTGCGGGAAATTATTACGGTAGTGATAAATTTTATTAAAATTTAACGCAAAATACAGAGCTAGAAAGAGACACAGAGTCTTGGAAACTAATATTAAAGTTTGCTGACAATAGAATTGGCTATTTTAAATGTCTTATTTCTAGACAATCAGGAGCAAGTTGTGTCTATTTTAATAATTGAAAGAATAATTATTCGAATCTATTGTTGAATACTTTTAATTTAAAAACACAAAGGGATAAAGACAAAAAGCCCTAGACACAGCTGGAAGTGTGTGAAAGAATTTTTTACAAAATCATAAATTGTATTAAAAATATACAGTTTCACACACAACTCAATTTAACTTGTCGGCATTGTAAAATTCAGTTTTTTAATTTAAGGATGTTTTGTATGTACAATCCCAGCAAAAAGTAGCTGAAAACCAATATTGATGAATATATTCACTTTTAGTGTATTTTGAGTAAGAAATTGTGTGGAATATTACAATTTGATCTTATCTACGGTGCAGAGATGTATTTTTTAATATTGATTGCGTTTTTACTGAAATATGCCGAATTTTGTTAATCGAAATGATTAACTTTTGGAAGAGAATTTCATCTTGTGACAGATATATGGCTAACTTTATTGAATTATATTTAATATCTTTTTAACCAGTTAGTACTTGTATAATATTATTTGACCAAATATTTCCTCTGTATCTAAACTTTTGCAAATTTTAAATAAATTCTGAATATTATTTCCATGTGTTTAAATTATTTGAATCGACGTGATTATATGTTTCCCATAAGAACACATGTTAATTCGATGCAAATTAAAATCCTTATAATTTGTGAACGTTTTAGTGAATCGATTTAAAAATTGTACTGAAGATTCTAAACATATGTAAGGATATTGTGTACAATTTTCATTAAATTCTCAATATTTCGAAAATAGGTACAAAACATCCTTAATTTGTCGACATTGAAAAGAACCTAGATGAGATCGAAACGTTTGTCACAACAATATTTTGTATGAATTGGAAATTTGTAATATGCGAAGAGTATATTGTTGAGTATATAACTGTATATTTTTAACACAATTTATAATTTTGTAAAAAATTCTTTTACACACTTCCACCTGTGTCTAGGGCTCTTTGCCTTTATTGCTTTGTGTTTTTGATTTATATATAAGCCTTTCATTACACTGTCTTATTACTTTTAATTTATTTAAAATATTTAAATTTGATATATTATTAGTGTTGAAAGGTTATCACTTAGTGGCGAAAGGTTATCACTTAGATCTCTTCAAAAATATTTACATGCATAACATTTTAAAATATACATTTTATAGACGATACTTTCGAAATGGCACATTTGCTGATGAAATCGATAAAGCGTTTACGCGAACCATTTACGCTTGATTTGTTAATGCGTCATCTGCACGCTGGTACCTTGAATGGTTGGTTTTAAATTCGGCTTATATGCATAACGACGTCGTTTAGGAAATGTGTACAAGGCGACACGAATGTCGCATCTAAATTTTATGTGCTTTTAATTGTCGCGTGCTTTTAACGTGCTAGCTAAATATGGGCGTTATTTAAATTCTAATGAAAATAACAGCATCCGATGGATGAATTGCTCGATGATGAATGAAACAAAATCTTAAAGAAAGCTACTATTATCTCTTTCGATCAATTGACAGCACATTATAATTAATTTCAGAATGCAAAAGAGATGCAAATATATTTTCCAAATATGTATTAAAATTAAGTCGCACACATAAAAGAATTAAAATATTTTTTAATATTATACAATATAATCGTAATCTTATTTTTTTCTATGTATATTTTTTTAATTTTTAATATTACATGATAATTAAAATTTAACATTCTTCATCTCTTGCAGGAGCGGTAGAAGGCAAACGGTGGCTACGAGCGAAGGTTCGTCGAGTCCACCGCCTCCGCCTCCGCTTCCTCCAGGTTCGAGGCATACCTTAGGATCTCCTAGAAACTCGCCTCGAATGACTAGAAGGCATCAACAAGTTTCCGCTTCCTTGGCGACGACACCGACCCAAAACATCCTGAGTCCCGAATTTGCCGCGGAAGGACTTACATCCAGCGGCTCCAGGCCCAGTGGCCTCGACAGGGTACTACTGGAGCGAAATCTCGAGAGATTATTACAGGAACGCGGCTCTCATCCCGAGGAAAATCGCAATGAGTTGGGAAGGTACGGCGCTTTATTAAAGAAGAATTTACCGACGAGCAGTCAGCAATCTAAATTCAAATTTTTATGACACATTGGATTTTTCGAGTAAATTTTATATATTATTTTTATATATTATATATTAAATATATATATTATATATTTAATTTTATATATTATTTTTTTTTTAAATAAAATGTGAATAATATATAAAATTTGCTCGAAAAATCCAATGCGTAAAAATATCAGGATATATATATCGGAGAAATTAATTATAATTAGTTTAAAAATTTAAAAATAATACAATAAAATGCGTTAAACTGATTTTAATTTTTATTCAAAAGATATATTTAAGATCGTAATTTTATTGCAGGTTGATGCAAGCGCGGGATCGAGAACCCCTCAGATGTATCCAGAATTGCTCGCCTTCCCACGCGTCGAGCATGCCGGAATTGCCGCCACCCCCGCGGCCGTCGTCGGGAGCGTCGGTTTCGGCGTCGACATCGACCGGCGGCGCGGCGTCCGCCGGCGTACTGGCGCAAGAATCAGCGACGTCTCCGGTCAATCCCGGGATCGCAGCCAGCCAGACGGATCCACCGACGCCGACGTCGCGACGCGTGCGATTCCAAGGGGATTTGGATGTCAACGATCAGGGCGCAACGTCGCGCGTCCCTCTCTCGCCGATGAACGACCGAAACTCGTCGTCGTCGCCCTCGCCGCCGCCCATGTCATTGTCGAGAACGAATGTATCTCGATCGAGGAGTCTGCAGCCCGACGAAGTCGCCAGCACGTCTACCTGGGGTATGTGAAATATTTATTATTTATTAAATATTTATTATATATTACATATTCATTATATATTTATTTTCTATAGAAAAGTTTGTAAAGAGGAATGTATCTTTATTGAAAAATTTATAACTGAAAAAAGTAGCGCGGTATTTATTTAACACATATGCTTGCAGGTACAGCTGGCACATCTAGGTCGAGGATAGACGGCGAGGATGACGATGTCGAGAGCTGCTGCTCGACATGCAGCTCGTCCAGCAGTTCGGACGAGGCTGCGGCCTACGCACTGCCACCTCGACGAGCTTACGGCGGCGTCAGAATCTCTTACGTGCCGAACGACGCAGTGGCGTGCGCGCGGAAACGCGCGCCCGCGTCCTCATCGTCGTCGAATCAGGCTCAGAGGGACACCGAAAAATGCGTCGTGTCTTGATGACTCCTTCTATGCTTCACGAGTTTCAAAATCGTGCCTCGTGATCATTTGGGGAGAAGAGGAACGATACCAGAGGAAGAGTTCCTAAAGTCCGGACGCACTTTTCAACATCCTTCTGTGACATACGCCAAGTACGCGTGGTGCTTCCTGCGCGAAGCACGCGTGCGCGACAACGTGAAAACAATACTCATTTAATTTATGTAAATATTGCGAGCTCTCTTCCGGGACGATCGCTGCCACGTTCCAGCGGACGCGCCCGTCCCTTTATTTTTAATACCCCATTAATGTATTTGATAATAATAACGACGACAAAATAATCCTGCTTGTTCCACTGTCATCGACATTACCCTCCGCGAAACAAAAGTACGACGAAGGCATGCGCAGTTTATTGGCTGTAATAGCCCGTGATCTTTCCCCGCAACCGATCATTTTCATGCAAGATCCGAGCTATTTAGCGTGAGTATACCTCCTGATTATACGCTATTATTCTCTCGAAGCTATGTTCAACGGTTTGTTATTTTTCGTGCGATAAACATTTCGATTATTACTTTTATTTAAGGAAGATCTGGACGAATCAAGCACGTCAAAAATTTATAAATATAATACATTTCGAAATTCAGAATTTACCCATTTTAAATGTCAAATTCACATGAATCTCAAAATGTATTAGATTTATTAATTTTTGATGTAGCTGATTCGTTCAGTTTCTCCTTAAGATCATTTTAAAGAAAATCTCCAGTTTCTCCTAAGATCATTTTAAAGAAAATCTTAAAGTGGATGAAGTACACAGTGAAATATTTGCCATTTGCATAGCTTATATTTCGATTATTAATTTTTCGTAATGTAATTTTTCTTGCGATATCATGCGTTAGCAATTAATTAATTTTGTGATTTTATTTCTTTCATTAGCTTCACGGGATTAGATAATTGTCCACTTTAATATTTCAATTAACGAAGGATGAATACTTTCTAATATATCGGAAACGCGATATAACAATTTATATGTCTAAATTTTCGATGCTAAAACTGCTGCTGCGTCTGTTACTTTTTTTCATAATGAATTCACAAAGAATGCCAGCGTGTTCACCACCAGATCTAGTCGAACAAATTGATTGCCCGCTTTCATTTTTAGACGCGCGGCGGTATGAAAATCTCCGAGTAAAAGCGACAGGAGCGAAAATTAGAATTAACGGCCGAGTGGCGGAAAGAGCGAAAGTAGTAGCCCCTCTTAGAAACAATCAGTCACGACGCTAGTTCACGGCTTCTCGATGAGAGATTCGTGCTTTCTCTCACCTGACGGGAGCACATTAGACACTCCCGAGGAAGATATTGCATCTGACAGCATGTCGGATTAGCCATTAGCCTCTTGAATTTTTCATTCTTTGATCTTGAATCTTTCAAAAGACCATCGTTAGGAGCCGTTAAATGTATTGCTTAATCGACGTTCCGAACGCGTTTGCATCGCGTGTTTAAATGACAGAAACGTTTGAGATAGAATCTGATAAGCCTTCGTGTCTTCGATTAAGACATAACGAGCGTGTCTTGTCTAGATAGGGGAGATTGCTCATCCTTTTCATCTACTAATTCTCCTTAGGATAATTTATTATAATTTATTTTTTCTTGCATACTGATATAATATTTTCAAACTTATCTAAAAAAGACGTTGAAAATGGCGTTTCTCTAATTATTTCTATTTATGTTAATTGGATAACGAGAAATATTTAAATATTGAATTATTTAATACTAATTTCAATATTCATCGCTTTACAAATGAAGATAACGGTATTATAATGAGGCTATTTTCAAAACAGTTGAGATTGTAGAGATGATGGAGAAGATATTCTATCAAAATTTATATGTTTCAATAAGTAGCTATGTGTCTTGATTAAGGATTATAAGGAGATCAGAATGGGCGACCATAATTTAAAGATTTTTCATCATCACAAATACAAGTTTTCCTCGCAATATCATAATTTCGATATGTTAAACGTGGAGCGATATTTCAAAATCTCGGGCCTGTAAAGCATAGTAGATTGTATAATGCATGAAGGAGGCTATATAAAGACCGCTAATCACTTTATATAAACCTCACATAAGTACGGTATGCAACAAGAGGAGAAAATTAAGAAAAAAATACACGATACAGCAAGACGAGTGAACTAGAGTGCAAATCGGATCGCATACAGTTAGATCGCGTACCGAAAAAAGAAAATGATTTGTATAAAAATAATTACCGTTCGACGATGGATATAGCTTTTTCTTATTCATGGGCGCAGAGATACATGGAAATATATCTACAGGAAGTACGGCGCGAGATCACGAGGAGAACCGCCTCGGACGCCGAGCACCTCCACCGGGGATATAATTGGACACGCCTTTCTTTTCGCACTGCGCGAAAATTGGCATCGCTCTACGTGTGCGCGCGAACTGGGCCATGATTACGCAATTATCGCGTGCGAAACGTGATTTCCGAGTCGGTAGCTACGCGATATAATTACACATTTGAAAAAAATTCCGCCCCTCTCTCTGCCCCTCTTTCTTTTTGTATCGCTACCTCTAATCTTGATATCACAGTTTTGTGGTTTATCAGGGAAATGGAATAAATACAGTTGCAACGCGATATTATTCTTTTACAGCCCTCCGACGATGATATCTGAACTCAGATTCACCCAAGAGGAGATGAAGCAAATAAAGTTAAATGTATTTAAAATTGAGGAAAAATATAAAAATTGAGAAAAATTAAAAATTATATAATATCTAGACATTATGGTATCTCTTTTTATATTCAATTATATTTTTCCAACACGAGGATTAAATCTTTGTTTACATCGGAAAGATTCTATCCTGTGTGTGCGAAAAATATAAAGATTCGCTATTATAATCCCCGACCACCTTCGCGACATGATAGGCTACTCGTTACGTCTGATGGATGGCAATACTGTACGTATCGGATTCGCGCTATTTCACCTGGCGTATTTGCCGATTGATCGATGACACGTAACGACCGCGGCGCAGAATGATCGGCAAACGAACGAATGAGACACGATCGGGAACCCGGACTAGAAGGTAACTAAGGGAAGCGAGGAGGGGAGGAGGAGGTGGTGGATAGGAAGGACGGCGTGCCTCCGTGACTTCTTCTCGAGGCCGACCGAGGGAGAGGCCGCATTCCGGGCCGCGCACAGGAGAAAGCCTCTCGTACGCGCTTTAGCCGCGGGAGCCTTCGGAGGACACGGGCGTGAGCGAGCAACTTCTCTCTCCTTCTTCGACCACGCGGCCACCACATCGTATTTCATCGCCCATCGATGAATAGCATGTCTACTCCCTGGAAAACATGGAAATCTCAAGCGTTTCTCTCGCATGAATGAGAAACACTAGGAAATGCATGCAATAATAACAAACTTGTTTTATAAAGTTGATAAAAAAATCTTTTTAAGGATGTTTTGTATGTACAATCCCAGCAAAAAGTAGCTGAAAATCAATGACGAATATTCACTTTTGATATATTTTGAATATGAAAAATAATATGAATATGAAAAATTGTGTGGAATAATTGCCTTTTCAATCACTGGTCACTAAAAGATTTCTATAAAGGAAAATTAGTCTAATCTTTTTTTCCTTATATTCGTAAGAAAGATTGCCATCACTTCTATTTTTTAATATTTATTGCGTTTTTACTGAAATATTCCGAATTTTGTGAATCGAAATGATTAACTTTTGGCAGAGAATTTCGCCTTGCGACAGATACATGACTAACTTCATTGAATTATATTTAATATCTTTTTAGCCAGTTAGTACTTGTATAATATTATTTGACCAAATATTTCCTCTGTATTTAAACTTTTGCAAATTTTAAACAAATTCTGAATATTATTTCCATGTGTTTTTGTCATTTGAATCGATGTGGTTATAAGTTTCCTATAAGAACACAATTCGGTTGCAAATTAAAATTCTTATAACTTGTGAACGCTTTAGTGAATCGATTTAAAAATTGTACTGAAGATTTTAAGCATATAAGGACATTCTGTACAATTTTCTCTCAATATTAAAATAGATGCAAAATAGATACAAAACAAAATAGATACAAAACATCCTTAAAATATTCTCTTTTTTAGAATTTTAACTAAAAATATCTGGAAGATGAATTTTACAAGATTTGAAATTAAATTCCTTGATGAGATTTCTTGTCGATCGAAAATATGATTCATGACATTATTTGATTTTATGCAAAAGAATATGCCTTTTGAAATTATGTAATTTTTGTTTCGTATTTTTCGAAAGATGTTTATGTAAACGACTTATGTTCCTTTTAATTTGATTAATTTATAATGGACTTATAATTATCAAAGTATATTTTTGAGATTTTTCGTCACTTGTGAAATATGAAAAATGGCCATTTTGAAAGTACCTTCATTAATTCTGACATTTTCATTCCTAATTATTTTTTTCATAATTATTATTTATACATAGTATTTAATAATCTTCCTGCTCCGATGCTTTTTAATGATATTCATCTCATGTTATATCACGCTGGGAATCACTTGAATGAATAAAAGCATCTACGCAACGCGTGTTTCGTAACGAGTACTAAAAAAAACCTTTGATTATTTTGATGAAGAAGTCTCGCTGAATAACTATCCTTAATCTCACAGTTACGTAACATATACATATTACACGTACTTGAGGAAGAAAATAGGATTTATATATCGTTTTTATTTTTGTTTTTATTCAAAGTAAAGCCTCTGCGTGTCGAAGGTGTTTTTCTTCACGAGGCGTCTCAATGATCCATCTCTCCTCCATTGACTTGATTCTGATCTCTCCTCGACGAAGGCCGCAAAAGACGATCGAAGGCTGTGGGGTTGCCGAGCTCGATCATCGGTACCTGCGAGCAAAAATGACCACGTGTCCCTCTCGCCCGCTTTCTATTCCGATCTCCCGATCTCGCATCGGTAAGGAACAAACAAACACCGTACGCGAACACGTGGGAGGAGGGGAAGAACCGTCAGCCACCTGCTGCCTGCATACCTACCTCGATCGTCTAATCGGATAACGATATTAGGACTGGAAGTACCGCTAAACGATCGGTCCGCTATAACGCGCCGATCGAGATTCCCCCCTTCTCCTCCCCCTACCCCCCTTTCGTGATAATTCTGCGCCATTTAAAAATTGAAAAAACGCGAGCAAGGCGAGGCGCGCGCCGATCGAGGATGGCATCGCGGATTCGACGTCGCGATAATACTTGTTTTGCATTCCGATCGCGCGCGAGGCTCGCGCAAAAAGCGCGCGCGGCTCGAGCCGCCTTCTCGAGCGCATACCAACGCAAACGACGACTACTGCGCAACAGCTGAATGGAAAGCTACGCTCGAAAAATTTACCTATCCAAAGGAGAAACGCCGTGCCCGAGGCGCGCGAGAGGAACGGGGACACTTTCGGGAGGGAGAAGGGTGATCGAGAGATTTTCTTTTTTTCTTCCGGACGATTTTTAACGTCCGAGAAAAACAAACACGCTGTCCGAGATGAAACCTGGGGGACAAGACACGAGGGAAATAGAACCTGAGGGAAAATCTCGCGAAACGTATCCCATCAGCTGATTGTCAAACTCGTCAAATTCGCGCTCACGATTGCAATTGGATTCGTGGAAAATTGTCGACCCGCGAGGACTCCCGGAGCATGAATACGACTCCATTCTAATCGACGTAACGCGAGAACGCTTGCATCTGAGATGCGACTCTCGCGAGGATTATGTAACGCGATTTTTATTTACGCAACGCTCGCCGTGCGTTTCAAGGTAATTCAACCTTACGGAAATGGCACACGGTACAGTTTCCACACTTTGGTATCGCGAACAAAAAAATTGAGCGTAATTTGCGAATGCGACGTGTGAATTTTCCGATTTTCTCGTGAAATAAGATTTTCGTCCACCGCGAGAAGGGGATTTATGCACTTTGCATATGATACGATATTTATTACGATACTATCTCGCGTTACGAAAACCGCATATAATATAAATAACGCATATTTATGATTCATTAGAGCCTAGAATATTTCCAAGATACATTGACATCAACTGTCGCGATGTTGTCACATCGATTGCAACTCTTGTGTATCTCGTCAATTATCTCTCTCTCTCTCTCTTGTAAGCGTCAAATATAAAATACCGGCTTTACGGTATCACGCAATCAAAATTCCTCCGGTGTGGCTAGTCACATATGTGTCGTAAGATTATTTATTTTCGATTATTTATTTTAATTCATACTTCACGTAAGCCAACGTACAGGATATCAGCTTAATATTGTGATCTCGTGTGCTTTTCACATTTTAGAAATCCTGACTTAACCGCGAGTAGATTGTGTGCCTAAAATTTCCCTCCAATCACACGAAAATCATGCGAAAGCGACGCATCATGATCATCATGATTATTGCGAATGCGAGGAAGGAAATGCGATTTGCCTACAGCTGTAGGGATCCTGCACAGAAAAAAAAGAAGTGTCAAATCAAAACTTATACATATACTTAAACTAACGCGCTCATTGTTTCGTATATACGCAACAATTTCTAATCTTCTTAGAAGAATTTAATAATTTAAAATTTCAACAATATTATCGTCTTATTTTAATATTGTAGTTGTCACCTCAAGAATATAATTATTTAATTCTCTTTTAAGAAAATTATAATCTTTGATTTAAAAATGTTATTTTCTATCCAACATTGTTTCTTTTCCATTTAAGAAAAATAAATTTTAAATCATGAGAATATTTTTCTCGATTGAACTATGTAAAATGGCTTCATTCAAGTAAGCAATTATTCAAGCAATTATATTTTTCTTAAACGAACGCGATATAATCTCGTTTCAAGATTTCCATGTTAAAACTAAATATATTTTCAAAATATAAATATAAGAATATCCTTTTTTTCTGTGTGGACAGAAGACTGTCTCCCATGGACGTCGAATTTACCACGTGACACGTAGAATAGAGGTCCAAGAGGAGAGCGCGCGTCTTCTCCGCGTACAATTCATCCAAGAGTTTTCAAGCTTACTCGCTCTCGCTCGCGAGGAAGGCAGGTATTCGAGCGACGCGGGGAGGGGGGGGGAGGGAGCGAGAAGCAGGCAGGCAGGCGGTCAGGTAAGAAAGCGGGCGAGCGAGTCCTCGACGAGGGAGATGGTGGGAGGAGGCGAGCGTAAAGTGAGTTTTCGCTTGCTGGCGAGTAGTGGAGACCGATCCGTCAGTCGACTTACGCGATTCCGCGCTGGTGGGTCCGTCGCGTTATCATCTCCGCTACCTGTTGTTGCCGCTGCATCCCGTGTGACCCGACTGGTTTCTCTTTCCTCTGCGATCGCGTAACGCGAACGTCCGGTCGAAAAAAAAACCGAGGCCGACAAGATGGCCGCGCGCTGAGGAAGCCGTCCGAGTGTCTTGGGGCCCTTCTTCGCGGCCGAGGCCCGCTCCTCGTGACATTCGCGAGGCGTTTGTTCCCGACGATGATGTCGACGTCTCGGGCAGGATCCCCCGCGGAAGAAGCGTGAAGGACCACGGTAATTTGAATTTAAGTTTGCCTCTCTGAATCTCGCGCGTGTGCGAGATTTCTCCTCTTTCTTTTTTTCTTCACGCAAGTGAAGTTCTCCACGCTCCTCCGGAGCGGAGTCGTGAATAATTCCTCGGGACGATGTTGAATGAACAGGCGTAGCGCGAGCGATAGCATCGACTTGCCGCGAGGTCGACGGCATCCGCCGCTGGTTACGTTCTCCATGAGAAATATGTTGATGTTGGCTGCCGTCAAACATGACGCAAGTGTAAACCATAAGAGTCGAGTATCACTTCTAGCGCTCTTTGGCGCGAAGCGCTCATCGCGTCTCGCCTTTCGATTTCAGAATAAACAGAACGCGAGAAAGTGACGCGCCTTGACGTCCCCCTCGCTTCTAAATCATGCCTCGAATATAAAATTGGTGGAATATCAAAGTTGAGTAATAGAGGTCGTGTATTCTGTAAATATTGCATAGAAGCTTGCATTAAACTCGCACAAAGATGCACGGAAGAAAAAGACATTATTGTTTCGAAAATATATTTAGTTTTGACATGAAATCTTGAAATGAGATTATATTGCGTTAATTAAAGAAAAATATAATTGTTTCACTTGAACGAAGTCATTTTATATAGTTCAATCGAGAAAAATATAATCTTATGATTGAAGATTTAATTTTCTCGAATGGAAAAGAAATAATGTTAGAAGGAAAATAACATTTTTAAATCAAAGATTATAATTTTCTGAAAGTAGAATTAAATAATTATACATTCTTGAGGTGACAATTACAATATTAAAATAAGACTGTAATATTGTTGGAATTTAAAATTATTAAATTCTTCTAAGAAGATTATAAATTGTTGCGTATATACGAAACAATGAACGCGTCAGTTTAAGTATATAAGTTTTGATTTGACACTTATTTTTTTTGCGTACTAAAATCAGACCTCAATTTATTAATTTTATTAATTTAATTTTATTTATATAAAATTAAAATATCCCATCATTTTTTTCTCAATTATCAAATAATACTGTACCATCGTGTCTTAAATTTGCAGCTAATAAGCAGAAATGATTGATAAATTTATGAAATATACATCTTTCGTTTGTTGACAAATAATTGCGCATTAATTAAATCGTGTTAAATCGAGGAGGAGATCGATCTAAATGTCAATCGCGTGGAAAGGAGTGAAGGATCGCGATTACGGTTAATTTATTAAATATACCGAGGGGCTAATGACGAAATAATAGGGGATCGGTCGCCGATCAATTTCAGTCTTTATCGCGGAACGAAACTCGTCGGAGGACTCTTCTGGTGACCGAGCGTCACGAGAGCAGGGCCCACGGTATTATACCGTTCTCTCTTATTCAGCTCCGTGTCGTAACATCAGGTTTGTTTATTTCGAGGGAAAACGGAACGGCGAGCGCCGACAACGCGGCCGCAACGAGAACGGGATGTTAATGAGTTCGACGTCGCTCGCTCGGAATGCCAGGCTCGCTCTCCATAATACATCCCCAGCAGCGGCGATATGTTCTCCATAAACGTCTTCTTCCCCCTTCCTCCGCCTGCCCCCTTGCCTCCTTTCTCGTCGCGCCGCGTATCTCCTTCTCCTCCTCCCCCCTCCCCCTCCTCCTCCTCCTCTCGCGTTCGCGAGATAACATCGCGACCGCGTTGGTCCAGGTACGAGAGACGCGAAGTGCAAACGAGCGCGATCGACAGAAACGGCCAAGGCCGTTTTCGAGGAATGTCGACGAATAATCGAGTCGCAAAGTCTGCTCGAATCGACTTTTTTTGAGATCGATCATGCTCCTCGATAGTACTCTTTGCGTAGAGATAATTGCATCGGTGAGGGGGCGTGTGAGTAGATGAAGAATATGCATTTTCTTTTTCCAGTTATGTTTTGATCGAATAATAAATTAATATTTCCTATCATCTACTAGCTGTTAAAAAAAGATGAAATTCTTCATCAATTTATTAATTTGTTAAAAGATTAAACGTTTCGATAATTTATTTCGCTTTTCACGTCGGTGACCGAGAAGATAAAGATGCTCGTTATAATGTAAATAAATAAGTGATTTTCATACAATAATTATGAGATATACCGCATATTCCCGCAATTAAACGCAACTTTGAAATTCCACGTAAAATTCCCAACTTTCATTAAGCATCATCTGATATCTTAGCGTGAATTCATTAACGTTAGACAACATTCGCAATTACACGAGCAATTAAGCTATGCTCCCGGGGAAACAGCGAGTCGTTAGAGAATTCAGGGAAAAAATAGTCTCAGGGACGCGCGAATCAGTTTTGCGTCGCATTCGAACACAATGTCGGGGCCCTCGAATCCGAGGTGCGATTAGAACGAAGGACGCGCGCACCTGCCGCTTCCGGCGTCGCGCCGACTTCCGCGTCGGTCGCATCCTTTCGCCCTTCGTCGAGAGAGAGAAAGAGAGAGAGAGGGGGGGGGAAAGAGGGGGAAGGGATCAACGGCATTCGCCGGAATGCCAGGTAGCTTTCCAGCTTGCCAGGACGTAACGAAGGAGAACCGTTCCACGTACGCGCTGCGGTCTTAATCTCCACTACCTTTTCTTCTCGCCCTGCAACCTCTCCTCTCGTCGCCGCTCTCTCGTTTATGCCGCTCGCCTGTGCACGCGGCCTGTGACGTATCAATGAGAACGATCGGCTGCTCCTTCCCGCGTTTAAAAGGCGAGCAGTGGCGGGTCGGAGCTGCTCCTTCAGGCCCTCGCGCCTAGACGAGTCTTTGTTTCAATTTTACTTGTTTTATATTTTAGGCCCAGTTGCACCAACATTATTTTAGTTTTAAACGAAACTTAAATATATGTCGGTCTTTATTTATTTAGAAAGAAAAATAAAGATAGACATATATTTATGTTTCGCTTAAAGCTAAAATAACGTTGATGCAACCGGGCCTTATGCATACAGAGTGTCAGGGCAATCTTTCTCCCCAAAAAAGCTCTTGTAACTTACCTCGAGAGCTTTTCAAAACACTATAAAACACTCAAAACACTAATAAAATATTTTTTCATTGAGTACTTTTCGAGTTATAAGGCTTGAAATAATCTCTTAATTTTACATAAACCATAAAATATCTAAAATATCATAAAATATCTAATAAAATATTCATTTTTTGATTATCTTACCTTAATACTTTTCTGTACAAAATAATGAGAGGAATCAATTGGTGTAAAGGAAACACATAATTGTTTCGAAGAAAAAATATGTAATTTGCAATTAACAATTACATATTTTTTTCCAATTGATTCCTCTCATTATTTTGTACAGAAAAGTATTAAGGTAAGATAATCGAAAAATGAATATTTTATTAGATATTTTATGATTTATGTAAAAATTAAGAAATTATTAAATGCCCTGACATCCTGTATACACAGTATATTATTTGGTTAAGTGTACACACTCAGGTATTTTTTTTAAATATTAGAATTTGTTTAAATAATAAAGATAATGAAAACTGTTTCAATAATTGTTTCAATAATAATAGAGTTATCTCGTTCTCCATTATCATTCAAAATAACAAAAAATGACTATATCTTGTGAACAACTATTGAAAATTTGATTTTACCAAATTTGCCATAAAATGTCAAAAAAAGTAAAACTGTCAATATTTTAAAAAAATTAAATTTTCGTTTAATTATATATGTATTTTTAAACAAAATAACTTTTATTTGAAATATTTTTTATAACTCTATTATTTAACAAATTTGTGTATACATTTTAACCAAACATCCTGTATATATATATATATATAAATATATATATATATATATTTATATATTTATATAAAATAATAATAATAATAATAATAATAATTTATTTTATGGTCTTTCTTAATCGATCAATCATCAACAGTCTTTTGAAGATTGACAGTATCGGGATACTAAAGATTGCTACGTGAAAAACGAACGGATATTCCATGACGAGATGTGTTTAAATGTAGTCCTTGACGCATTTGTTAAAATTGCTCATCCTTTCTAACATATATATCTCTTCGGTTGTGTGAGAGATCAAGAATTTTTGGTGACTAATCGAATTCGTGTACACGACTAAAGCACACGAATTTCTGAAATGTTTATGCACGTCAGTCACCATATTTGAAATAATTTTCAAACAGGATGTTCTAAAACTTTTCCACTTGTATAGTGTTTTTTTTTTAATATAAATTAAATATCGAGGCAATTATCCTCTTTCGTCGCTTAATTTTATCACAATTCTAAAATAATAAATTCCCCGCGTATCGATACATCTATACATTCATACCGACAATAAATGATGACTCGCATTAATAAAGGACGAGCTACATAAGAGCAACGAGGAGAGATAACAATCTCTTATGTTTATCTTGCTTCTTCTTCCACCAGGACCGCTTGCGGTTTATCTTCATCAAAGCGATTCATCAATTATTTATCGCGCGCATCAATATCGCCAGGAGCGCGTTGACAGCTCCTGCCAGATGATCGTTCATTTCCCGACGCGAAATCGGTAATAACTTTGGGTTCTCTCGCGTGTGTTTCAGTTCCGTGTGCTGAACGATTCCCGCTAATACCTGCTATTTTTACGTATTTATATTTCTCGCCGTCTCGAGCAAGGTCATCGGAGGGAAGGAACTTTATCGAAACTGGAATTCTTGTTTGCTTCGAGCGGCATGAAACTATTCTGTCTATGCCAAGCATCCTCAAACCTCTCGGTCTCGAATCTTTGCTTTGACATGTTTGAAATTTTCGAAATTCTCTGCCGGATTTCGATATAAAACACAAAAATCTAGAGCTTATTCACGTGAGAAATTCGCCAAATTTCTTCCTACATGTTGATATTTTTTCTGTTGATGAGATACTTTTTAATGAGAATTTAATGAGAATTTTTTAATCTCTTCTGTCAGTTACAGACGTATGATACACTTTGCCTCCTTATCTGTCTTGATAAAATTTCAATTAAGGGTTAACGATGTGAATTCCTTAATTACTCTTTACGCAAACAATCCTCTTTTTTTCCACATTAATTAGCTTCTCGCGATATATCACCTCGCCGTTTGGGAAACAAAGCTCCGCTCTTTGTGCGTATATATTTAGCATATATAGGGCAATCCCTTTCCAAAAAAAAGCTCTTGTAGCTTACCTCGAGAGATTTTCAAAACACTATAATAAAATATTTTTTCATCGAGTAATTTTCGAGTTATGAGGCTTGAAATAATTTCTGAATTTTTACAATAATTTATGTAATTGTTAATTGGAAATTACATATTTTTTCTTCGAAATAATTATGTATTTTCTTTACACCAATTAATTCCTCTCATTATTTTGTACATAAAAGTATTAAGGTAAGATAATCAAAAAATGAATATTTTACTAGACATATTTTATGGTTTATGTAAAATTAAAAAATTATTTCAAGCCTCATAACTCGAAAAGTACTCGATGAAATTATTTTATTATAGTGTTTATATAATATTTTATTATAGTTATATAATATAGTAATATAATATTATAGTATAGTATACTTTATTATAAAATTTAAAAATATTATAATATACTTTATTATAAAATTTAAAAATAATTTATTATAGTATACTTTATTATAAAATTTAAAAATACTTTATTATAATATACTTGATAGTGTTTTGAAAAGCTCTGGAGGTAAGCACTACAAGAATTTTTTTTTTTTTGGGAAGAGATTGCGCTGACACCTTGTATATTCCTCTCGCGTTTATGCTTCCCACGTGGAAATCCGATGCCTGAATGGGACCGTTGATCGCCATCGGCGCCGATGTGTCATCTGTTCCAACGAAGCCTGCAACGCGCAGGTGGTTTCAATCCGCGATATTTTCACGCCGTTTGATTCCGTTCGCGTGACAAGCTCTCGACAAGAAAGAGTTCACTCACGAACGCGTCGCGTTTATCGGTCTCTTTGATATGCAAAGACACCGTTCGCGCGAAAGTTGCCTTCTCCTTGCGATGCAACGCTCGAATGTGATCGAGATACTCCTTCGTTTATTCAGCAAAGTCGATCGATGCCGAGCAAATAAAGAAAAGCTGTCGCACTCGCTGTTATTTGCGTATCGTCGAGTGTTCTTTTCGGGCTGGTTGCTTGGTTCCCGCGAGCGATCGCCTCTCGTGGAATCTCGCGTTGCATCGGAGCAAAGAGGAATGGCGCGGAATTAACGACGAGATAATTACAGACTGCAACGTGCCTATTGTTCGCCACCGATCCGGACGTACGCACGTACATCGAGTTATCTCGGCTTGGATGACTCATTAGCGCGCCATGGAAAGTATGCATACGCTTTATATACCCGCAAGAAACAAACCAACACCGACAGGAATTCGCGTTGCGAAATCGGATCTCCGCTAATCAGGAATGTAAACTTTTGATTACCTCGACGGGGAATAAATAGTAGCGCGAGTGAATAAATTCCGAATGTTAAATAGAGGTAGAAATTAATTTACGCACATTTTCGCGTGTTTTACAACTCTTACGAAAAGAAATTAAATATCTCCAAATTCTCGATTATTTATATTTTAAGAGCGAGAAAGTTTATACGTTCATATCTTTTACTATTGGACATCGCGTTAATCTTGCGCTTTCTACTTTTAATTATATACAATATAATAAGAATTATAATTTAAATATTTTTAATATTTAATATTAAATATTATAATATTATATAATATATTTAATAAATATATTTAATAAATATTTTTAATATTAAATATTATATATTAATATTAAATATTTAATAATTAATATTTAAATATTTATTCACTGATGCCAAACAATATTCAACAAATTAATTTTCTCCCCAAAAAGAAATGCGTGAGAATAACAGATCGTAGCCTAACGTCTCTAGAACTCGACAAGCAGCTTCATAATAAGAAGATTCGAAAATGACTTAACAAGAATTCAACCGTGCTCTATAATCAAAGAATTTACACTACCAAAAAGAGATTCGGATAGGATGTAATCAGTTACGCGTGTCAATCGTCCCGTCCTGGTTTGGAGATGACGCGATGTAGGCCGGGTCGTTTTTACAAAGGGCTTTTGTGGCGAACGACTCGCGGAGATGACTGTAATATTGAATAATTTTATTGTTCCACGCATCTCTCTCTCTCTCTCTCTCTCTCTTTCCGCGCGCGCGGGTGAACGCAAATTATACACAGCCTCCTTCTGTCTCTCCGCTCATCCCGACAATCATTCCTTTTCCGCGCGTCCTTCTGCCCCGCCAAGGGAAATCACGGAGGTGGCAAGGAGGTCGCGAATACGAGATGCAAGTATCCTTCGAATTATGCGATCCGCAAGAACCCGACTCGCACGAGGAAAAGTACATTGCTGCTGCTTGCTGCTTCTCCTTTTCTCTCTAACGCCACCTCCACCTTCCTCATCTGTCTCCTCCTCCGCGTCGAGCACACGTCAGACTCTTCTTCTGATATACTCGTTACGTGTTTATTTTGCAATTATTACGTTCTCGCGCCTGGCATACCGATGTACATCATCGCTGATTAACGGGCATGAGAGTTGTGCAAAGAAAAACGAAACATGGCGAAAGCTACCGGCGGCTTGTTCGCGAATGTATTTACGTAGGTGTACCTCGTGTTTCATTAGATGTTTCCGGTAAAATACAGACACGCATCATCATTATTAAATCTCACTCTTATGTTTCATTATTGCTGACAATGAACGTCTTTTCTTACAAAACAGAGTTTTGCTTTGTATATTCAATTATTCTTCTATTCGAGTCAGTTTGAAGTTTTAAAAGGTCGTTTTAAATTTTACACGTTGAAAAATTCAAGCTTTTAAATATCTAAATTTTAATTAATTTTTTAAGTAATTTTTAATTTTTAATTTTTAACTAATTTTTCATCTGATGTTTGTAAAGAAAATGATGAAAATTTTTTTCTATTTATAAAGCCACTTATGCACATCAATTTCCCATAATTGAATATATGAAATGCGAGCCGATTCTTCGTGTATACGTGAAAAATCTTTCTTCGCACAAGCAATTTCCCACGTATCTTCGTGAGCGAATGAATTAACAGGCAAGCGGTCGATCATGCGATTCACACAGTGAACGTCTTCACTTTTCACCTTTCACATATCTCACGTAAATCTTTTTATTTAAATTAATTTCGCGTGCCGAAAAAAGTTGCTCGAGAATTACGATTTTGGCAAACTCATGCAAAGATTCTCACTTTTTATCACTTCTTGACGAGTGAAACTTTTACTGTGTTTACCTTCTTTTACTTTTAAGACATGATTACATGATCGAACCAACATACTCGAAACCCTTATAGAATAAAATAGAATAAATAATATATATTTGAATATATAAAAATAGAAAATCTTTAGAAATTACGGAATCAACTTTTTAATCTTTCTCGGAATTTTAAATTTAATTTTTTTAATTGTCTCAATTTTTCAATTATAATCGCAAAGTTATCTTGTAAGTATTAAATGTCCAATTTTATTACAATATTGGCTTGGAAAATCGAGTTTATCGCTAAATGCGTGTTAAAATATATATTTTCTTATCAAGTTTGTCCAGAAAAGTGAGTCGAAAAAAATTAAGTTAAATTCCGACTTTTAGTTTTGGACTTGGACAATGGAAAAAAATAGCAAAAAAATTACAAAAATAATTAATATATCTAACAAAATATAAAACATATATTACTTTAGAAAGAGATATTTTTTGTTTTAATTAATAAATCATATTAATTATAATTTCAAAAGCATGAAATTAACTTGATAATAAAGTCTTTTTTAATTAATATGTAAAATTTTTGAGACACAAAAACTTTGGAGATATAAATGTTATTAAATTTCATATTAATTTCATATTAATTTCATATTAATTTTTGAGACACAAAAACTTTGGGGATATAAATGTTATTAAATTTCATATTAATTTCATATTAATTTTATATTAATTTTTAGTTTAATACACAAAAAATGTGCGTATGTAATGGAATTAAAAATTCTCTTATCAATGTGATTTACCTTTCAACATTTCTCATAAAAAAATAATTTATTTGCTACGTCGATTTTATTACAAATTTAATTTTAGATAAAGTTCAAATTAGAAGACACTCTCTCAATTAACGAATATCGACAAAAAGATTTTCTAGAAAGACTAATTTTTACTACTGGAGCATGGATTTTACTCAAAGAATTTTGCCAACCCTTCTCATGTATTCGGATCAAGATCGTGAGAGGAAAGTACTATAGCCGTCGATCTCTGGTTCAGAGCGATCGAAAGATCGAGGATAATCGTAAAATAACAAAGTTCATCGCTCGGCTTTCAGATCGGCCTCGCCGGAGCGAGCAATCAGCGACTGGACGCTCATGCCGGGCTCGGACGGAAGGATTCATCTCAGGAGCGCGAGAGGAAATATCGCCGGTGAACGCGGAAGCATCGTCGTGACGTCGTGAAGAATCCCTCTCTCACCCCCTCCCTTTTGCCGCGTAAACAGAGACTATTTTCCCTCCTCGAGAGCACCTCGATATAAGGATGACCCGGAGAACGAAAGGGAACTCGACGCTGTTCGCGTCGTGCCTGACGTCGTTGTTGCTGATGCTGATGGCGACGTTCTGGCAAACCGCGCGAGCCCACGTGGCACTGACGTTCCCGCCAGCCAGGCAGTACGACCTAGACTTCCTGGATAACGCCAGGACGCCGGCACCGTGCGGGATGCCGCGTGGTGAGTATATTAACGATGATTACTATTATTATTAGCCCATCACGTGTACGATGATGTCTCGCGCGTTTCCTTTCACTTCTCGCTTGGAAATTTCTCAACGCTCAATTTAGAATCAATTTTTTATTCCCCCCGCGAAGAGGTATCAATATTTGATTGTACGGTGAAAAAATGTATATGGAGATTAGCTTGCGAGGAAGCGATTGGATGAAGATGCTCGCATATTATTAGAGTATTCAGGCTTAATTGCTAATGAAATATATGAGTTGTCTCACGGATCATTATTTAACGAAAGTTATCATTAAGTTGTTTGAAGCGCGAGAAAAAGTATTATGGTTTCAGACATGATTACATGATCGAACCGACAATCGAATCTCTTATAGAATAGAATAGAATAAGTAATATATTTTTGAATATATAAAAATAGAAAATCTTTAGAAATTACGGAATCAACTTCTTTAATCTTTCTCGGAATTTTAAATTTAATCTTTTCAATTGTCTCAATTTTTCAATTATATAATCGCAAAGTTAAATTTTGTAAGTATTAAATGTCGTCTAATTTTATTACAATATTGACATCGAAAATCGAGTTTATCGCGTTAAATGCGTGTGTTAAAATATATGTTTTCTTATCAAGTTTGGCCAGAAAAGTGAATCGAAAAAAATTAAATTAAATTCCGATTTTTAGTTTTAGATTTTATAATGGAAAAAACTAGCAAAAAAATTACAAAAATAATTAATATATCTAACACATATAAAACATATCTAACAATATAAAACATATTTATATAAATTTAGAAAGAGATATTTTTTTGTTTTAATTAATAAATCATACTAATCATTATAATTTCAAAAGCATGAAATTAACTTGATAATAAAGTCTTTTTTTAATTAGTATGTAAAATTTTTGAGACACAAAAACTTTGGGGATATAAATGTTATTAAATTTCATATTAATTTTTAGTTTAATACACAAAAAGTGTGCGTGTAATGGAATTAAAAATGTTTTTATCAATTGTGATTGATGCGTTGAAATATCTTTATATCGAAGCCTTCCGTCGTAATTATTAAATTGGAAATATCAATGAATAATTAATAATAATAAACTGGAAAAATATGTATTGATTATACCTTTTTAAAAAATCGGGAAAATATTATTAGCTTATTGTCGAGATACTTTAACGTTCGAGAAAATCCAACATTGCGTTACGAGAAATATAAGCGAGTTAAAGGATATTAATTTATTAATAAAAAATTAAATTTAATCGACTGCGAATATCGCAATCTCGGCAGCCTCGAGTACTTTCGCCATCGCGATTCTGAAAAACATGCCTCAGCCTTTGATGGAATGTCAGGTGGAATACGCACGCGATGAAATCACGCGTTCCCCCTCGGAAGCCCATTGCGAGGTAGTTGACTATTCGAGCATTGTTCTCCGGAAACGCGCGGAGCATTTTCGTTAGAGATTCTCCGCGTCTCTGGAGAAGCGATGAAAAGAGAGAAGGGATTAAATGTACATCGCGGGATGAAGCCGCAGAGCAATGTGCAGAGGGAAAGGGAGCATAGATTCTATGGGAAAACGACATTAACGTGGAGTCGATTTTTCTGGTCTCCCTTTATCCAGGTGGGGATAGACAGTTAGTACGAATCGAAGCGACTTTCACCGACTTGCATGAAGGGAGCGCGAACCTCTCGGTATTCGCGGATATTATCTTCCACGTTCTACACGCGTACCCTGACTGCCTAGAGCCTAGAATCGTATCTAGAAGGGAAAGAATGCAAGAGAGCCAAACAAATTTTTTCTAGAAAAAAATTTTTTTAAAAAGTATGATAAATCTCTGTAGTAGTTTGTTTTAAAATATAAAGTAAAAGTATAAATAATGTAAAATATTAATATAGCGGAAATAATACTACGATAATTAAGGATATTTTGTACAATCCCAGCAAAAAGTAGCAGAAAATCAATATTGACGAATATCCACTTTTTGTGTATTTTAAATATGAGAAATTGTGTGGAATATTACAATTTGATCTTAACTACAGTGCAGAGATGTATTTTTTAGTATTTATTGCGTTTTTACTGAAATATTCCGAATTTTGTTAATCGAAATGATTAACTTTTGGCAGAGAATTTTGCCTTGTGACAGATACATGGCTAACTTCATTAAATTATATTTAATTCTTTTTAATCAGTTAGTACTTGTATAATATTATTTGACCAAATATTTCCTCTGTATCTAAACTTTTGCAAATTTTAAACAAATTCTGAATATTATTTCCATGTGTTTTTTGTCATTTGAATCGACGTGGTAGTACGTTTCCCATAAGAACACATGTTAATTCGGTGCAAATTAAAATCCTTATAACTTGTGAACGCTTTAGTGAATCGATTTAAAAATTGTACCGAAGATTCTAAACATATGTAAGGACATTCTGTACAATTTTCATTAAATTGTCAATATTTTGAAAATAGGTACAAAACATCCTTAATTAATTAATTGAATATTTAATCTGACGAGTTGATAAAAAAAAATGAAAGTTTTCTCTTCGAAGTCAGCAAGAATAAATAAGAATAAATAGAAAATATACTTGAATGTGTATCTCGAAATATCACTTGGTATTTATTCCTCAGTCTTTGATCTTTATTTTCCAATATTTTACCATCGATTTAATGGAGAAGCTACCAGAGGGAAAAGTCGAGAATAAAGAGATTATGACTGCACGTTGAGCGTTTTCGCATTGTTGCATCGCGCGAGATACAAGAACATTGTTACAATTACCCACCTTGTCCGATGTCGTCGGAGATTCTTGCTCCCCGTCATTTTCCCTTGCGAAAGCGTAATTAAGACCACACCGTAGATGGCACCGCGCTGGTTTGTTACATAAGCGACGGGGAAAGAAAGAAAGACCTGTATCATTATGCCGTCAAGTAACGCGAATTATCCGTTTTTAACAAAGGGAGATGACGAGTCTTCTCCTCGCTCGGGCTCCTTTCCGCCCTCATTTGCTCCTCGCCATCTTCGGCGCGGCGATTAATTTGTATCGCGCTGCTTCTCGCGATCGTAGCATTTTCTCACGTGTCGCATAAAATTGCGAAAAAGTCAACTGGTATAACTGGTCGTGGAAAATTGCACGTGCGGTTGTTGAGTGACATTTAATCGACTTTACCGTAATTGATGAATCGAAAGATTACGATGCGTGATTTGTCTCTTTTCCAGCTTCTCCGATGAAGATTCAATTATATACGTTATTTCTCGAAATTCGCAGCTTTTCGTCGTCTCTTTCAAATTTTAATTCCAATTTTTATATCGAAGATAGAACATATAAGGCAAAGTTTGACTCGACTGCCTTTACGATTGCGTTAACGCGTACCGGCTGATGCACGGCTACAAATTTTTCTTTCCGCGATCGTAATTTAATCGAGCCGCTCCGACGATTCGGCTCGGTCAATGGAAGAGAAGAACCGCTTTCCTTCCGGAGACGCTTCGGGGAAGCGGAAGGGGCCGGTCTGGTAATACTGGAAAAGTTGATTAAAAGTACCGGAGGCTAATCAGTTATTTGCATTTATATTAAATTAGCGCGTAAGCCTCGCGGATTCGTCGCGTCTCCCGCACAAAATCCCTTTGCTAAAGGGATTTATGTACCCAACATAGAGAGAGGAGAGAGGAAAAGAGAAAGAGAGAGAGAGAGAGAGAGAGAGAGAGAGAGAGAGATATTCATTGTTATTATAATAGAAAAAAAAGGATTGGAAAACAGATTTATTACATAAAATACTGACATACGTGAAAAAAATTATTAATTATGTATTTAGATGTTGTTTTTCGAGAAATTGATAAAAATAAAAATATTTTCAACTTCTTAATATCATGAATTTTATTAATGAGCAATTAAGGATGTTTTATATGTACAATCCCAGCAAAAAGTAGCTGAAAATCAATATTGACGAATATATCCACTTTTGATGTATTTTGAGTATGAGAAATTGTGTGGAATATTACAATTTGATCTTAACTACAGTGCAGAGATGTATTTTTTAATATTTATTCCGTTTTTAATGATATTCCGAATTTTGTTAATCGAAATGATTAACTTTTGGCAGAGAATTTCGTCTTGTGTGAGATACATGGCTAATTTCATTAAATTATATTTAATATCTTTTTAACCAGTTAGTACTTGTATAATATTATTTGACCAAATATTTCCTCTGTATCTAAAGTTTTGCAAATTTTAAACAAATTCTGAATATTATTTCCATGTGTTTTTGTCATTTGAATCGACGTGATTATACGTTTCCTATAAGAATACATATTAATTCGGTGTAAATTAAAATTTTTATAACTTGTGAACGCTTTATAACTTGTGAATTAAATTTAAAAATTATACTGAATATTCTAAACATATGTAAGGACATTCTGTACAATTTTCATTAAATTCTCAATATTTTGAAAATAAGTGCAAAACATCCTTAAATTCATTTATATACAAATATCTTACAATCTTTTCGAAAGACGAGATAAAATCTTACTATGTGTCTACGATTAGTTTAATTCCAAAGCTCCTCGCGTTGGAAAGAATATTCAATAAAAGGCTGAATAATTAATAGGCGAGATATGAATATTTTCGAAGCGCCTTTGAATTGCGATGTATATTCGGCGTTAAAGGTATGTGACCTCCAAAACAGGTCGCAAGCCGAATGAGGTCGATATCAGCGTGCGACATTTAACGGTAATGAATTTTCAGAATTAATCGACGATCCATCATTGTCCGGTTATACCAGAACCTTGCGACACAAGTCGCGGTCTAATTTTAATATTCCATATTTTATTTTCCAGGTCACATCAAGACATCATTATTGGCAGGAAGCAATTTCAACGTCACGTGGCACCTCGCCTATCCCCATAGGGTGAGTAAAATTCCTTACAAGTTCTTTTTATCGCACGAATCTTATTTTATCTGTATTTTATATTTAATTATAAAATATAAAATATAAAACTTATAAAATGTACAACTCTTGATACAACATATATATGTATTGGGGAATGATTACACATTTATAGAATAAGGTTTTCGATGTTTAGAAAATTAATTAGCAAGAGTCTAAAAAAAAAACGGGAATTCCTTGAGAATGTCGAAAATACTCTCGAGGAACTATCTCCTTGAATATTTGATGACATCGCATTATTTTTTTTCGCTCTGACGCGCAACATTACCGATGCTGATGCGCGATGTATATTCATTTTACGGTATATTCAAGTTCCCATTATACATAGCAAGAGATTTTCATATTAATCTTTATTCTATGTTACTTCTATTCCATGTTGCTACAAGTTGTGAGAATATTTTTATACGGTAATAATGTACGGTAATATTTTTGTACTGATAATATCATTGCATTATTTTATTACAGTAATATTTTATACGATAATATCATTGAATTATCTGACTTTATTTATCGCGTCGCTCCACATATAACAAAACAGAGAGGAATCTTGAATGAAGTAACGGCTCGTTTTACGCTTCGTCCGATCGTGCTGAGAATTTCTCGGATTTCTCGCGGATATTTTGCGAAGAGAAAGGGAAACGCAAAATGTGTGTAATATGCGTGTTTATTGCCGCCGATCGCCATCGGCGCGAACTCTACGTGCATGTTACACATCTCTACTTACGAGTAAGCGAACCAGCTACTTAAAAGTCGTATCAACGGTTACGTGAAGACGGGATAAAATCGTACGCGTGCATTTTATTATTTATGCATCGGGACTACTTTCTCCGGAGCGCGCTGAACTTTCCGGGCTTTACGTTCCTCGGCCCGATGCGAGCGCGAAACGCGCTCGACATAACGGAATATTATTCGCGCAGTTATTTACGTAATGTGTGCTGCATTTAAATATATATACAGGGTGTCGGGGCAATCTCTTCCCAAAAAAAGCTCTTGTAACTTACCTCGAGAGCTTTTCAAAATATTATAATTAAGTATTTTTTCATCGAGTACTTTTCTGGCTTCGAGGCTCGAAATAATCTCTTAATTTTACATAAACCATAAAATATCTAATAAAATATTCATTTTTCGATTATCCTACCTTAATACTTTTATGTAGAAAATAATGAGAGGAATCAATTGGTGTAAAGAAAACACAGAATTGTTTCGAAGAAAAAATATGTAATTCGCAATTAACAATTACATTTTTTTTTCGAAACAATTATGTGTTTTCTTTACACCAATTGATTCCTCTCGTTATTTTCTACATAAAAGTATGAAGGTAAGATAGTCGAAAAATGAATATTTTACTAGATATTTTATGATTTATGTAAAAATCAAGAAATTATTTCAAGCCTCATAACTCGAAAAGTATTCGATGATAAAATACTTTATTATAGTGTTTTGAAAGATTCTCGAGGTAAGCTACAAGAGCTTTTTTTGGAAAGAAATTGCCTTGACACCCTGTATAAAAAGAAGTTTCTAAAATAAAATAATATCTGAATATGAATAACTTGTAAACAGGTGTTACGCAATAATTGCTCGATGAAAAGTTGTATAAAGGAAGCAAATTGGAATGATGTCATCATCACTCCACTTTATATCTTATCCGTCAGTTTTTTAAACGGAACTCCTAATTTTTTTATCTAAATCGATTCCTCGTAATATTCAGTGTAAAAAATTATAAGAGTAGGATGGCCAAAAATTGAATAGTTTACGAGATTTTTTGACATATGTGTTACTTTAATTTGACATAATTTTATATAAACACTTTCTGAAATATTCTCATAAAATATTCATCTTTCGATTATTTTATTTGAATACTTTTGACACAAAATCATGAGAGATGTCAATTAGTGTAAAGGAAATATAATTGTTTTTAAGAAAAAAATATTTGCAACGAGCAGCTACATATTTACGAGTTTATAAGTTTATAGGTGTATTATTTTATTTCAAACATCCTTCATATATATCATAATAATTGAGTCTTTTACACAGCGTGCATTACAATCATCACGATGAATTGTAATGATAATCGAGATAATCTACGTAAATTCTCATGAGTTCACATACAATTCTATAAACGATTAAATATAAAGATTGAAATCCAGATAAATTAAATTTAAATTATAGTGAACGGCTATCGATTACGTGTGTTAAATTGATCTTGTCGAATGTATGATTCTTGCGAATCTCCGGTCAACCGAAGGAGAAAGCTTTACGAGTCTTCGGAGAAAGCAATAGTATCGAAGTGCGAAGCGTAAGATTAAAGACATTGCATGTTATCAGAATTCTAAATAATAGCTCTTGCAATATTGCTGTATCAAAATCAACTTTTACCACTTCATGTCAACTGCAAAAAAGAGAGAGAAAAAGAAGGAATTTACTAAGCTGTTTCTAGAAAGTATTCTCATGTAAAATGCCAAAGATTGTTAGAAATTATAAATATATTTTCTTTCTTTTAATATTTGAGAAACAAATGTTAAGAAGATGAGAATCATCAAGAATCGTCTATTTCCATCTCATACATTTCATAGATTTCAATTATCTTATGTATACCTCTGATGTCTCATGATGTTTATGATTACACTTTGCTCTTAATTCTTTTTTATAATGATCTTGCTTTTCTAGTACATAAAACAAAAATATTATCAAGCAGTAATAATAATAAATTCTCCTCGTTGCTCATTAAAGTGCACCATGGCATGCAAGCGAGGAAACGTTGCGGCACTCTTATTCGTCCAACGAGCTCGATAATAATCGCCACCGGTCGTTTGTATTCAATGTACGAGTACTCGAACACTCGACACTATCCGCCGGGCATTACAAATTTGTTTGTCGTGATTACGAAAGGAAAAAAGCACATCTTGGAGAGATTCTGTCTCTTTCTTTTTCTCTAAAATATATCTATGAATATATCTATATATAATGTCATTGTAAATATTTTATCACCAAAAGTGCATTATCTTATCTATTATTATTTAATGTTATCTCATATTGTTATATTTAATTTTCTATTGTGAGATATTACTATCATAAGTATAACATATGATGAGTTTTTATGTATTTTTTAAATATATATTTCTTTTGAAGGAAAGTGCTTTATATAAATATTAGAACTTATAACGAAGATGATAGAAGATAATAAAAGAAAAAAAAGAAAAAAATTAAAAGTGAATAATTTTGTATATAAATGTAAATATGGATACGCATAGTTTAGCATTAAATCTTCTATCTAAACCTGTCTAATGTATCTTAATTTTTATAATTAGGTACTAAACTTATTAGTTTACTAATTTTGTGCTGATAATAATCATCAATTAAAAAAATATTACATAAAAATTTTCACAATCGCAAGTATTACAATAGACATAACTAAAAACCGCAAAATATTTTGAAATTAGCGAAATTAGTTCGATCAAAGCATAAAACATATTGATAAGAAGAGATAAATATTAATCGAATATTATACATATATAATAAACTTTTAAGTGCGTATTGGAATAATTATAAATTAAAAAGATACAATGTTATGCTTATCAAAAATGCCATTTAATTTAAATATTTACATCAATTTTACATTATTTTCACTACACTTTTGATACAATTTTCTACGAATTGAATACAAAAATCTACTGGTTTATAAATATATTTGTTCATGCAGTACGTTTAAAAAACTATTCTTCTAGAAATAATAATAGGTCATATAATAATATATGATGATGTCTATAGCGCGCACGCGCGTGTGTATAATGCGTGCGTGCGTGCTTGCTTGTGTGTGTGTGTGTGTGTGTGTGTGTGTGTGTGTGTGTGTGTGTGTGTGTGTGTGCTGTGTCTGTCTGTCTGTGTGTGTGTGTGTGTGTGTGTGTGCGTGCGTGTGTGTGTGTGCTGTGTCTGTGTGTGTGTCTGTGTGTGTGTCTCTGTGTGTGTGTCTGTGCGTGTGTGCGTGCGTGCGCGTGTGTTTGTGTTTGTGTTTGTATCTATATTTAATAAATTATAAATATAAATGATATAAACGACATAAAACAATATAAAAACTTGAAATCTTTGCTTGATAAATAAATGATTAATACATTATATATTCGTCAAAAACAATGGATGCAATAATGAATATGTTATATTTAAAAGATAAAATAATAGCACAAAATCGTCAAATTCATGAAAGCTATCAAAAACAATGATCTAATCAAAATCAGAATTTTACTTAAATTAACTGCTGATGGTTAATTGATGTGTAGCGATATTACGATATTGATCATCTCCTTCGAGATTTATAAGTCCGTTTGAATCATTGACATCTGAATAGATAGACGAACCTTAGAACCTTTTGATAGGAGTAACTGATAATTGCAGTAAAGGGGGAGTGCATGAACTTCGATTAATTCCGTCAGCGTTCGACTATTCGGCACAATTTGACATTACATAACGATTCCATTGATATCGATTCTCAACTAGATTTTCAGAAATGTTTAAAGAGTGTTTATTTGGAGAAAATCGCTAATGTCATTAAATATAAAAATAATATATGACAATAATAATATTAAATAATATATAAAATATACATATATACATATATACACACACACATATATATATGTATGTATATATATATATATATATATATATATAACTTATATATATTATTTAATATATAAATATAAATATATATATATATTAATATTATTTATATTATTTATTAATATTATTTAATATATATGTTATATATTAAATAATATATTATAAATAATATAAATTATATAAATAATATATAAATTTAAAAATAATATAACAAATATAAAAATAATATAACATTAGTCACAACACAACTTCGCACAATGCATGTGAGCTGAACTTTGACGTTAATGAGGGAGAGCAGGTATTTAATTAAAATGTAAGAGTATTATATCTGATAAAAGTAATAAATTGTAAATTTATTAATGAAAATATTAATTTTTCTGATACTAATATATATATATATATATATATATAATATATATATAATAATATATAATAATATATATAATAATATATAATAATATATATATATAATATATAATAATATATATATATATAATATATATAATATATATATATATATATATATATATAATATATATAATGATGAAATGAGGGGATTGATAGATTTTAATTTTAGGGGTATATTATTATTGAGTATAAGGTATATAAATATATTTATTTATTTAATTTATACTAAGTAGGTAGAAAAAAATATATGAAAAAGATTGTTAGTTTAATGAGTGTAAATTATTTATTTAAAGTTTAAGTGGAAGAGTGTAATAATAAGTTATATTTTGTGATGTTATTTATTTTGTTTATTTGATATATATTAATGAAAGAAGTTGGAGTCGAATTATTAATTGATCATTATCGGGAATAATCTAATTCAACCGAAGTTCATAGAGTTCCCCATTACCGCGATTATCAAAGCTCTTCTCGTCTTAATCGATAGCTAATGTTCCGTCTATCTATTCAGATGTCAATGGTTTGAATTATTAGTTAAAAATTTTTTTCATTGTTTTCATTGTTTTTATCAATACTTTCAATGATATAAACAGGAGAACATCGAGTATCTCGATTACAATGTAATGATACAAAGTATCAGAAATCAAATCTAGAGACCGAACTTGTGTGTGTAGACGTTGAAGCGATGTATGGTGTTGCTTCGTGCAATATCACTTATCATCTTCGTCACTGCTTGTATTATGACTGATTTTACGGCGTTTACTGGCACGTTCTGGAAGGCTGATATCAGAAAGGCTGCTGTCAGATGTTGGTGAATGTGGATTCACGGCAGCATATTTTATTTGCCAAATATTCATGGAACTGTCAGTTTCTTGCCTCATTTTGGAGGGATTAGATTGGCCAGATGATGATGGCCCTTGATTACTGCTCGATGGCTTTGGATTGCTGCTCGATGCAATATCAGGATCTATAGGATTTACAGGATCTACAGGATCTACAGGATTTGCAGGATCTACAGGATTTGCAGGATCTACAGGATCTACAGGATCTACAGGATCATTCGATGGATTTGTGTTGAATCTGTTAGAACATAAAAAATATTTGTATTAATTAATACATAAAATATAGCTTCAATTATATGCATAATACAATATATATCATCAAATTTTTCAACTATTATTTTTTAATGTCAAAAAATACTTTTATTATTAAAATATCATCAAAAACTTGAGTATTCTTAAAAATTTTATATCAAAAAACCAAAATTTTCGGTCGATTATTTAAAAAGAAATTCTTTATACTTATATTCGCAATTTATATTTACATAAAGTTTCACAAATTCTCTCTCTCTCTTTCTCTCTCTCTCTCTCTCTCTCTCTCTCTCTCTCTCTCTCTCTCTCAATTATCGAAATACTAAACTAATAAATTTTATATTTATTTATATATGTAATATATAAATATTTTTATGCGGTAACACCTAACAATAAGTTAAATTGACTCAAATATATATACCAAATATTTGTCGTAAATACATACTATATGTGCTAAATATATGAATTTTATAGTTTTATATCCATGATTTTCTTTTGTTATTATCATGCAATAGTATATATAATATATATACTATTGCATGATAATAACAAAAGAGTATATATAAATATATAAAATGTATATATAAATGAGTATATATAAAAGAGTATATATAATAGTATATATAAATGATTCAAAATCGGTAAATTAATAAAATTTGAGTTTTTCCGTTTTTCTTACCCTTTTGGTAATATATCCAAAGGTAAACGTATTTTATCCGGAAGTAATCCGAAGGTAATCTCGGAATCATGATATTGGATCAAATGGTTTAGCATGATGCACAGATTACTACGTTGAAACTCATGTTTACATTTCTTACACTGTTTTGTTCTTTTGATCAATTGTCCCTCTTCCTGAATCAGTTTATAATACTTTTTGGTTAAGTTCCTGTCTCGCCAGTTTCGAAGACATTCCCATTTACTTTCCGTAACGTTATGATCTTTTTTTAAATGTGTTTCCATAGGTTTGGGTGTTACGAATATTCGAAGCTCTGTCTCATATGGATCATCTGGCTGACATAGTTTGCACTTTATATTAATGCTTCTTGTACTATGTTTACTAGTTGAGCATGGCACCCTTTCGAAATGCGAGTCCCAAACGATTCTTTTTTTGTTAAAAATGTTCTCATAAAATTCGTTATGCTTAGTAGATAAATGACTATTCATTTTTTTTATATCGTCTGTATGCTTTGAATGGTTCCTTTCTGCACCACAAATATCGCATACGGATATACTTATACTGTCTTCTTTTATCGAAAAATAATCCCACATCCAACTTTTGACTGTCCAAAGTGCTTCTTCTCCATGTTCTCTCGACATGATATCCGTTATGTATCACAGTTTGTGTATTATTAAATACAAAATGAGAATTTAAGGAAAAGTACGAAGAATATAGAACTGGTATCTATAAGAAAGAAGGAAAGGTCGCGTAAAGACATATGATATGATTGTATACATACAAATATTGCTAGACTCTCTAAATCTGCCTAACATGCCTGTTTTGTGTATATATTGATTTAATAATGTTATTTTATAATATTGTAGGTGAAGAAATTCTCATCAAATATATTAATATTTTTATTTATACTGTGGATAATTAAAACCGTTAAAAATTAAAATTATAATATAAACGCCCTTAAAATCGATATATAATATAATATTTTTAAAATTTGCTCTTAAATTTATATATCTGTTATTGAATTTTTGAACCTATTATTAAATTTTCAGCTTGAATTTTTCGATAACCTCCCTTTCAAGTATATTTAATAAAGATTAAAACAGTAGAAATACAATAATTAATATTAAATTTGTGATTCAATACTCTCATTTTAATAATAAATTCTCAATTTAACAATTTTTCTATAATTATTTCTGTATCAACAATTTTTCTATAATCATTCTGTATTAATAAATAAATATTATTACTTTGTTAGAATTTTTAATTAAAATATTTGTAACAATTCAAGCCTTTAATTATTATTCGGATTAAAAAATTTTTATTCGATTTCTTATATTTACATTTCTATATTTTTTCAATTTTAGAAATTATTGAGAGTGGGGAATTACATTCGAATTATAATTAAATGACATTTTTTAATCGTTCTATCTAAATAAAGCATTAGCTAAACGAACTTGGTTCCAATATTTACAACATTTTTGCCAAACGCGACATGTCTGTCTTTTGAATAATATTTATGAGGCAAATAATATTAAATTTTATATGGATATATATACACAAGAAGATAGAAAAGCCTTAACTCATTAATTTATGCATGTATTGTAATATGTTGCTTTCCTTGTACATATTAATATCTAAATTTATGTGTTGAGTCATTTTTCTCTACGGGATGCATTTTTATATACATACATGAAATATATATCAAAGAGCAATTCAAAGAAATAAATAAATAATATTTTTATAAAATTTACTATTGCCTTTCCTCTTATTTTATCGCTGTTGATTTGATTTGAATTAAAAAGTGCATCCATTTAACAAGAGTACATCAATTAAATGCTTTATTATGTTGAAAGAATTATTTCCTTGGAGGAGGTTTTATCGTAAATTTTACATTGTGTATTATTGTGTATATTTACTTTCTATAATACCAATTTACCCATATCTACAAAAATTTGTTGCAATATCCCTATCATGCTCATATATATTGTTTAAGTGAAAAATATTAGCAAATTTAATATCGTACCTTAAAACAGTTAATTCACTCACGTATAAAAGTTTATTTTTAAATCTCTCTCTCTCTCTCTCTCTCTCTCATATATATATATATATATATATAGAGAGAGAGAGAGAGAGAGAGAGAGAGAGAGAAAGATTTAAGAATAAACTTTTATACGTGATTTATACTATTTTAAGGTACGATATTAAATTTGCTAATATTTTTCACAAAAAAAGAGAGAGAGAGAAATATATATATATATATATATATATATATTTTTTTTTTTTTTTTTTTTTCCTCTACCTACGTTGCTCGTCGCTCAAGGTGACGTGCGCTGAATTATTCACGAGCGTGGTCGCCTCGTAGGCATGCAGCCTATGAGTAGGCCGAATAGAGGCGGTTTATAGGCGGCCAACGTGGACGCGGTGCCTGGAGAGAACCTCCCGAGGTTGTGGAGATCGGTATGCCGGGTACCGTAACTCGAACGTCCGCCGATGACGATCGCTCGGGCACGAAGGCGTCGTCTCGCCTTCGGCTAAATGTGCAAAACCCGCGATTCTTACTTGGCGAAGCGTGCAGCGAAACCGAGCCTCCGTATGCAGCCGCGGCCTCCATTCTCGAAACGTTTTCCATTGTAGGTTCGCGATTATTCAACGATAATCTGCATTTTTTCGACACAGTTTCAATGGATGTTGTATCCTTGTCTAAGATATTGCGTTATCCGTATTATCATAATAGAGAATAAAATCTGAAAAATTTACGTGGAAAAGATTCCTTGATTAAAAATAAAAATATGATAGGAAATAGAAGGTATATTCTTTGCACAATCGATTTTAGATTATTCATAAATAATGAAATGAAATTTACAATTGAAAGAAATGAAGTTGAGAGAGAGATTTTAGATTTTACTCGAAGAATGGAAGAGAGATACCGAGGAAATCATATTCTCTCCTCTATGATGTACCTAGATTCATGAAAATATCAACCGCAATCGCGACAAGAATTATTTCTTAATATGCAGGAAAAATGTAATCTCTCCTTCTTAGGAAGGCAGTCGCGAGGTGATCGTTAACGGGATGGACGAAACGCGCGCGATAAACATTCGCGCCGATTACATTACGACATTTAGGGACATTAAAATCTTGACCGCAGCCTCCTCGGTCGCGCGGGAACATCCGCGCGAGATGCTCCGTCGACGCGAGAAAAATTCGACAATAACAACCGTGGCTGCTTCCGAGAGTGCAGGTGTGTTCGCCGTGCGAAGCAGTACCACGTCGTTGCGGCTGCACGATCTCTTCCCTTTCTCTCCATCGCGATTTCCCGCGAGGTGGGAACGCGCGACCATCATTTCGCTCTCCAACGCTCGTCTTTCATCGACTGTCTGATTGCTCGTCGACGCGATGTCACGCGACATTCGTAAGACAGCTACGAAATTTGCGCGTCTAATCCACGGTTTAATCCGGAAAATATGCAAGCTCTAAATTCGTAGATTCGTAGAATGATTAGATGTGATAAATAGAAAAAAAGAAAAATTTTTTTCTTTTCCATAAAGTAGTTTTTTGTGAAAAAATCAGCAAATCTCTCTTTTTTTTTCAAATAATATTTAATATTTAATATTTAATATAATTTTGATTATTACAAATTGATTTTTTCGTTATTTTTTAGATAATAAATATTAATGAATAACTAACCATTTTAAATATAGATTGCATTTCAATTGGGTATATAATTATATAATTATTGTTTTTAATTACAATTAGTTATAAAGGGCATGTAGAGCGAGAAAGTAAGTATATTACAAAAGTTTATTATGTTAAGATGTACATCAAAATAAGTCTATGTCGACGGTGACATTACAATAATACCGAAAAGATCAAAATATAGGCACGTTAAAGGCGATAGGTACGTTAAAGGCGAACGTTTTGATCGATTTTTCGATCGGTATTATTGTAATGTCACCGTCGACATAGACTTATTTTGATGTACATCTTAACATAATAAACTTTTGTAATATACTTACTTTCTCGCTCTACATGCCCTTTATAACTAATTGTAATTTTGTATAAGTAGAGCCTCGATTACTTTTATTTTTATTGTTTTTAATTAGATTTTCCAAAAATAAATCAAAATTGAATTTGAATGAATTGTTGTTATTATAGATACAAAAATAGTTTGTGGTAATTTTTAAAAATGTTCGTTTCTTTAGTCAAAAGATAAATAAAAAATATAAGAAGTTTAATTGTTTTTTATTATATTAATAAAAATGTATGGGAAAAAATAATATTATATTTAATATTATATTACATATTTAAAGAAATTTAAAGAAACGTGTTTTTTTCAACATTTATTTTTTATTAGAAAAAAAAACCAATTTCTTAAATATCTCTATAAATGACCTAAACCTTAATTAATTGTAAGAAAACTGAATAAAATTAATTTATACGTACGAGATTTTTTTTTAAATCGATGATTGCATAACCTGTTCGTGTAAACGTTTTCGCGCATCCTCTTCCTTCCGGATGCATAATATCGAATCCAAGAGTGAAGATAAAAAAGAATGGAAGATTATCCAAGGAGATATGTCTACGCGTGCAATTAAAATTAGCGATTTCCGATTCGAGACTCGCATATCTCGATTACGAGGTCGTAATAGCATATCCCGCAGATCGGCCCGCGGATAATCCTTACGTCGTTTCCTCCTACGATGCCGTCACGGACGGATACGGATGTTACTCAATAACGTTTATGAACTTGCATCGGCGCTTTCCTAACGGTTTGCTCGGGGGCCGACGTGATTATAAGGAATCTCACGATGTCGCAACCGATGGCGCATATCAATCGGTCGGCCGGGATTATTCATTAACTCGCTGTCATTATTCCGTCATTACCCCGGCGGGGGAGAAGAGGGAGGGGGCTCTTAATTCGGCCGAGAAGAGCCTTTTTTGCGCTTTTAATTCGGCGCACGATTTCACAAATCGTGTCGCAAGCGCGAGATTGCGAGGCGCGTTTCGCGGATAAACGCTGACAGAAATAACTTGACCGATCGCGGTTCGTGCATATGATGTGCTTGTACGATGCGACCCCATATACCGCTATCCATCGACATTCTGGCGTCGATGCGGACGCAGATATTCGTGTCAGGATCCGGATAATTATTATAGCCACGACCGAGATACATACTTGTCTAAATGGGCCGGGTTGCATGTCTTGGGTTGCAGCCGTAAACGTTGCCAGTCAAGTAAAATTAATGCGATAATTAAAAGAGCTTTAATGTAATTAAAATGATGCTTTCTCATTTTATATTCACTGCATGCATATGTTTATATGCATTTAATTATTTTATACTTATATGTTTTATGTAATTGCTTAAATAACGTGCCAATGAATAATTTTGTACTAATGACATCACTCGTGTCAAATTCAAAGAAGAGAAGTTCTAGTCCGTTATTGTTGATTTATTAAGGCCAGCGTAGCAAATGGCAATGACGAATGGAACGAATGCTTCTTGCACTTTGCTTCTTGCAACTCGAGAGATGGGAGAAAAAAATCGAGAAATCTCGGACAACCGGGACCCACTTGCATCAATTCCGCTTACGTGATTGGTATCGAAACCGCTCTAACGTTTTGTCGTGTTCCGATGATGTGCCATTTATTGCGGAACTCAAAGAAGAGCCATAAGTTAATAGAAAGGCATGAATGGACAAAATATAAATGATTAAATTGGACGTTTCGTGACTCGTATGTGTGACAGGAATACACTTTTCAATTTTTACGCTATAGGAAAATCCCCAATAGATGCCTGAATCTCTCTTTTTCTTATAAAACACTTAATCCGAGTCATCTTTTGTATCGAATAATGCACTGACATGATTATGTCAGTATAAAATATTTTGTCAGAGATGAATAACACGAACCATTGATATTGTAATTTAGGAGTAAATAAAAGAAAAATAAATTAACTTTGCAGCAAATGAGCATTTCACGTTTTTCACACATGTATAAATATGTATATTTCTTATTTTTCAGGGAGGCTTTCGGCTTCAGATCTTAGATTTCTACGATAGACCTCTGATCGACCTGACGCCTATCACACGAAACAGCGAATTCGTCGAGGACGATGTTACGTAAGTACGCAACGACGCATCGTTTCTGCTGATTTATCGTAAATTTGATACGATATTTCCGATTTTCAGGGCACAGAGCTATGCCGTGCACCTGCCGCAAGATTTCAGCTGCACCGACTGCACCATCAGACTGCTGCGAGAGGCCGAAGAATGGGGCTCCAGCTACAGATTTTGGTCGTGCGCCGACATTGATGTGAGTTTCTCATGATTTCTCTCTTGGCATAAAGAATAGCTTCTCTGATTCTATTAAATAATGCGATGATTTAACACATAAACTGGGATAATATCATTGCGAATTAATTGAGACGTAAGTTATTTTTTCCGAGTTTAATAAATAGACATACAGTTTAGTATTCAAAAAAATTATAATTGAAGAAAAATTGGATAAAGAAATTATTCTAACATCTTTTAAGAAAAATTGTACAAAAACATAAAATCCAGAAATTATTAATATATATATTTATAGATCAATAACTATTTTTTAATTATTTATATATTAATTATAAATTATAAATTAATTAATTATTAATTAAAAATTAATTAATTATTAATTATAAATTTATATATTAATAATTATTTAATTATTTATATGTTAATTATAAATTTATATATTAATAATTATTACCAATGTATTAAATTATCTCTCCTCTTAATTTATCTATAAAGAAAATTTATGATATCAATTTCTATCGCGATTTGGAAGAACATTTTCCTCGTAACTTTTTTTAAGTGATTTACACGTGCAATCTGACTGCTGACAGATTCGTCAGAAGAAGGATTATCGAGAGGATTGTAGCGGTCATGGACATTACCTGAGCCAGAGGTGCAGATGCGAGCGTCTTTATCACGGCCCGAGGTGCCAATTCAAGGAGGAATGCCTGGACGATTCGGACTGCGGTATTCAGGGCACGTGCATCGACAATGGTGGCACGACCGCGCCTACCAAGCACTGCTACTGCAACACCGGCTGGTTCGGTCCGGGTTGCGCGAAGAGTAAGTTTCACCGCGGAAATTCCTTTCGAGAATTTCTCGCGCGACTGGAACACTTTGGCCGAACCGGAGTTCCACCGATTCGATGTTAGAATGTTTCTCTAATGTAGAAAATATCTTTTGACATTATTTTAGTTTCTTTTATCTTACGTTAAACTTACCTTTCAAGAATTATTCCGGTGCACTATGCTATAGGTACGTTGGTGGTTCGCGATGAAACAGATTTCAATTTTGAGATAATTTTTTAAATCACTTACTGATGATTCTATTTTCAGGATCGCCGGTGAAAACCATCGACGTAGACTTGGACTCGTACACAATGAAGCGATTTTCCGATGACGTCGTATTTTACTGGAGAATCTTGAAGGAAAGCAAAGAGCTCGAGGGCGTCCTCATGGCCAATTCCACGACGTGGATCGCCATCGGATGGAGGCCCGACAATTTGGGACCGTCCTGCCGATCCTTCCCAATGATCAGGGATATACCCGAGCCACTTCCGCAGCCGGAGCCAAAGCTGGAGCCGATCGCCGAAACGGAACCGAAATCGGAACTAGAGCCGGAACCCGTAGCGGAACCGAAACCGGAACCGGAACCGGAACCAGAGCCCAGCATAGAAGGCGAGAAATCGATTGCGAAGAGACGATCGGCTAAGGCGGACGTTGCGACATTCGTAACGTCACGACCGGATGTACAGACCAGTGTGACTTATCAAGTCAGCACAAAGCTGGGTAGGATTTTTTAAATTATTTTTTAAATTATTTTTTCATATCGTTATTTCCCTAAAATGATATATTTGTCAATGCAATATTTTCATGAAATCATATCTCAAAAAGTTCTAATCGATGTTATATAATGACTTATTCTACATTCTTTTTAAAGTTTCTTTTTAAAATTGGTTATTTGCTATGACACGTGATATTTTTGTACAAGATTGCTTTTATATTATGAGAAGAAAATAAATGTTCGCATTCATAAGAGTGCTTATATTTTTTTTTCTACAGCTGCGCATAGCAAATAATCGCTAATATGCCATCATTGTTACTTGTTGTATTCTGACGTGTTATATTTGATCCGCGTGTAGGAGTTCAAGGCACGTAATTACACGAATGTCGGTCATAGAAAAATGATAATGCAAACAAAAGTAATTTGCGTTTGAATAATAATAATACATCGGATATTAGATAACACATATGAACATTACATGCAGATAAAAATACACATGTTTTTATCTGCATATGAATTGTAAAGTCTTTAAAGTCAGAATTTTTTTGTAATTTTATCATGATATATCAATTATTACATTGTCATAAAAAAAATCCTTATGCTCTGAATCGAGAAATAAGAAATGAATGATTATTTATACAACGTGATCTTTGTAACCGTTGCTAATGATTTTTACGAGATGGTTTTTTATTGATAATTAATTTTTTTTGCATAGGTCGTAAAAGAAGATCTCCAGAACCAGTCACTGTATCTTCAAACGGTATGTATTGTATATTTATGTCCACAAAACGCTCCCGATGAGTCGCTCGCTTATTCAAAAATTTAGTAGTGATATGTAGTTTGTCCAAAAAATCCCAGTAGTCTCTGTAGGAATCCTTTATACGATTTGTAATTTCCCTTTTTTCGAGACACGACGCACAAGGTGATGGTCCTTATAAGTAGGTAGTTCGCACGACGTACGATGCTTTGTTGCACAGGAGAACCAATCGCCAAGTCCAGCATTGTCATCGGGCAAGAACCGAAATCCGAGCCAGAACCTACCTCTGAGCCAGAACCAAAATCCGAGCCTGAACCCAGCTCTGAGCCAGAACCGAAATCCGAACCGGAACCTAGCTCTGAACCAGAACCAAAATCCGAACCGGGACCTAGCTCTGAACCAAAATCTGAGCCAGAACCGAAATCCGAACCGGAACCTAGTTCCGAACCAGAACCAAAATCTGAGCCAGAACCCAGTTCTGAACCAGAGCCGAAATCTGAACCAGAACCGAAATCCGAGCCAGAACCGAAATCCGAGCCAGAACCGAAATCCGAGCCAGAACCGAAATCCGAGCCAGAACCGAAATCTGAGCCAGAGCCAAAATCCGAGCCGGAACCAAAATCCGAACCAGAACCGCGATCCAAGCCAGAACCCAGCTCCGAGCCAGAGCCAAAATCCGAGCCAGAACCGAAATCTGAGCCAGAGCCAAAATCCGAGCCGGAACCTAAATCTGAACCAGAGCCAAAATCCGAGCCGGAACCTAAATCTGAACCAGAACCTAAATCTGAACCGGAACCCAACTCGAAGCCGGAGTCAAAGTCGGGAGCGACGAAAGGTAACGAATGGACCGATTTAACGCTTGTTTTCGCACATATAAAGTCGCCACGCTATGTAATATCATTAACTCTTGAGCTACCAGAGATTTTTGCCTTTTACCTTTCGTTTAGTGAAATACTTTTTACATCGGAATCGATTGTCAATTTTTTTCAAAATTCTGATCTTTTATTGAAAGGAGATTCAATCGTCTTAAAATTTTAATAGTATAAAAAAAAATCTCTTGTAGCCTGTGATAACCATCAGAACATATTGACAATGATCAGTAGTACATCATCCACGTTACTTTCGATATTCGCAACTTTCACGATAAGGGAAAACGTTGTACAATTGGAACGAGAGACCCGTAACGGTAAATATTTGCCGAGAAAGCGTAATTAGCGTATTGATAAGAAGAGAGTAATCTATTCCGTGCGTGCGACATCTGTGTCGCTTCTACCGGATGCGGCATTGATTGCAAAATGTTAACGCAACTGCGCTGACGCTGCATAAAATTTCCGTTTTATTAATTTGCCAATCGCGTTCTTAACATAGCAGTGAAGAAACACTTGTAGATAATATCGATAATGCTTATGCTTCATGTCTCCTCTCCCCTTCCCGGCCATTATTTATCCGGAATTTTGTTTTCTCTCCTGTAAATATACCGATATATATCTTCGGATTGTAGCATGCTTCGGATTGTTACTTCGACACGAAATTTGCACGTGTCTCGATTTTTACCCGTCACGATTTTTCACCGAAACTGTAGGATCATCATTTAAACTCGCATTACCATAACATCGACTCATCTCATATACAAATGAATAGTTAATTCCCTATCGATTAAAAAAATTATAAAGCAAGAATGTTATTCTGATTAAGTAAAAACAGAGAGGAACTTGTTTTAAAAAATATTTAAAGATATACATGTGATTATTTCAAAAAATTTTTAAATAATTTTGAAAGAATACACATATTCGGGATCTTCAAATTAGTCGTCTTGTATGATATAAAAACTTTCTAAAAAATTTAGGTGATAAAAAGAATACATCGGACACACTTTTCTCAATTCATTATTCAATTCATCATCATAGGCGTTTTACGATAAATATTTCGGGTGTATATTCGATTTTGCGTTAACTAAATTTACATGTTGGCTTTCTCCAAAAGCATCGCTACCGGCACCAGGACACAAGTACACACCCAAGCACGACTTCAATCCGATGGACTGCACGGACATTATAATCGGCATGGCAAGAGAGACGAATTATAGGATCGGCGATTATTACACGAGGGATCGATCGACACCTCGCAAGGACGAATATTGGGGCGGAAGGGACAGTTTGACGGCCGCGTTCGGTTACGAGCGCGATGGAGTCACGACGATGGTCTTCCGCAGGAAATTGGCCGCCGCGGAGCCGACCGATCATGAGATTCGCGACGGCAATATGCAAGTGATTTGGGCGAAAGGTCAAGAGCCGGGCAAATACGTGCATCAACCGGCTAGCGGTATCGAAAAGGCCAAGGCCAGCGTCAAAGACTTCTACAAGGTCGACGAGCTTAAATATCACGGCCATGGAATGCAGAGAGGCGCGGTGACGATGAATTTCTTTGGTGAGGCTTCTAGTCAACTTGCCACGTTTATTCGCAAATTGCTAGGCGGTAGGACGAGGCACGATACTTGGCATCTCCCGATAAAATTGTTTTCACATTCTCGAGTATTTTAAAATTATTATTTCTATAAATATATTTATAAATTTATTTATTTAATTTTTCTTTAATTTATTTATTTACAAATTTATTCATTTAATTTTTCTTTTATTTATAAATTTATTTATTTAATTTTTCTTTAATTTATTTATTTATAAATTTATTTATTTAATTTTTCTTTAATTTATTTATTTATAAATTTACTTATTTATTTTTTGTTTAATTCATTTATTGATAAATTTATATATTTACAAATTTTATTAATTTCTAAGGTTTTTCGTACGGTTTTATATATTTATAAATTTTATTAATTCCTAAGGTTTTTCATTTTATGATAAATGTTGATCATTTCGTGCGTAACATCCGAATATTTCAGACGAAGCTAAAAAACCGGAATTCGCCGGCGGGGTAACATTACAAGACGGTCGCTGCGGTGGTCAATGGCGTTATCCGAGAAATTGTTCGCCGGAGAATGGCACTTGCGAATACGCTATACAATGGACGTACAGGGGTAAAAAGGTAATCCATCTCATATTTTTTCCTTGACGTTTCATACGCGGGAGCAGACAAAGCCCAGTTCCTCTCTGATGAAATCAATATCATGGAAATTCTTCTTCTCCCTAGGATTTGATAACCTTCGTAATTTCCACGACGAATACCAATACATGGACCGGAGTTGGATTTTCCGATGACAGCAAAATGGTAAGAAGAATGGTTTGTCGTTAGATTCATTTTTCTCTCAATAAATCTCTGATATCTAAATTTAATTGTGAATTATAAATTAGTAATCTGTATGGATTTATTTTTCTTATATTTTTTCTGTTAATTTTTAGTCGCAAACCGATGCTGTGCTTGGCTGGGTCGACAAGACGAACGGTCGGGCTTTCTTGATGGACACTTGGATCAGTGGTTACAACGCGCCGTTGCTAGATCCATCGCAAGACGTTTATAACATCAGCGGTCGTATCGAGAATGGCGTAACTACTCTTGAATTCTCGAGAAAGCGTGTTACGAAGGACAGCAAGGATCTTTCGTTCACGGACGATCACTGTCTATACATGATGTTCCCGGTAAAAGGTGGCTCATTCAATCCGATCAATAAGAAGATCCGGAAACATGACGCAAATCCAGTCGTTTCGTCGGATAGAATATGCATCAAGTCATGCGGCTTAGAAGGTAAATATTGACTAAAAATTTATCGCATTTTATGATTTACTAAAACTCATAATGTGATTATTAATAATATAATTTTTAATTAATTTTTAATGAATATAATTTTCACCATTGCGTATTTCATATTCTTAATTAATTGTATCATCTGTTTCTATTGAATTATACATCACACATATTAAAATTATCACGATTGTGTTAATTATTTGATAGTTTAATTGATTAATAATTCTTTTTTATTAAAAAAATTATTTTTTTTTGTAATTATATAGACTCTTATGATCATTATATTAATTGAATTATTTATTGATTCATTATATTAATTGAATATTAATTGAATTCTTAACTGAATGTTCTAAAATGTTAATTTCTTACGTTCTGAAATATGTGTCTGAGATTATATTGCTATAAAAATATTGTTCAATTGTCTATCTAGAGATTGAAGAACAAACCACGCCCGCGCCACCGAGATTGCATTACGATATTGAAGTCAAACTCGTTAATCTGGGCGACGGATTTAAAACTCCCACACCCGGTAGTCCCGACTTCGAAGTGATCTCTAACAGGATATCAGACAGCTTCGGACCAGTCTTTGAGAAACTGCCAGGCTATTATCAAGTTCGACTTGACGAATTACGAAAGTAAGACAAAGTACTACATCAAGAGATCGAAGAATAGAGTAATGTGCGTGATGTTTAAATACGTTTCATTTTTTTCTCTTTTCGCAGAGACAACGAACAGGGGGTGATTGCCCGCATGAATCTGATTCTTGACAAGAACGAAGCTAAGGGCAGATCCTTGAAAGCTGCTGACACCGGGATAGAAGCGGAAAAAGCGTTACGCGAAGCGCTGGTGACTGGCAAAGTCGGAGCACTCAGCGTCGATCCGCAGTACTTAGTAATCAGAGCACCCCGAGGTAAATCTATAATCAAATGTATATATGATTATGAGCATCTCTACTATTCTTGCAACTGAAACATTTTTTCCACATCTACTTCAAGTTGAAATTAGACTTTGCTTCTTCTTACCAGTGCATATAATATGGCGATATCGTCTTAAAATATTGAAAATCACATATAATTAAATTAAAACAGGCCAGTTAGTGTCATTTCTAAAATATTAATAATATAAAATAAAATGCGAATGAAGGAGGCAAGACACTTGAATTATTTCAAATATTTATCGTCTCTTTCGATGTATCTTCAAGAATGATAGAATAGAAAACTGGAATTTGATTGCAGTGAACGATATTGAGGCGGAAGATGAAGATGATCGCTCAACCTCAGATATATTTCTGGGCACGACGAAGCTCTATATCATCGTCGGTTGTGTAGCAGCGTTGCTGGCCCTTGCATTGTTGCAGGCTAGTTGCACTCTCTATAGAAGCTCGAAAAGACGAACAACTAAGGTACGTTCTGTGTGTGTTAAAACTTTTCCTTCTTCGCATATTTTTTTTCTTTCTCCACTTTTCTCGCATTCCCAGAGAGGTCCTTTTTCTGAGTGTATTGTGTGTATTCTGTTGTTCCTCTAACGATCTTATTTGATTTCTAACGTGTTCCAAGAAACGTGTAACGTTAACAGAAAATTCTACTCCTGAAGGAAGAATAATTTCGAAGTAAAACATTTGACTAAACCCTCGCATTTGCCATAATTTCTCCACGTCTAATAATTGAATTAATAATTAGAATAACTCCATAATTGAATATATTTCAAATTAAATTATAAAGGTATATATGAACGATATGATGATTTGTTTCTTCTTTTACTTTGTTTTGAAAATGACTTGAAGAATTAATTTATCGTTCGTGTATGCCTCTTTTCTTGGAACACCCTGTAGCGTACGAACTACATACACTTTCATCCCCTAATGAACCCAAACATCTATTGCTTCGCTTGTGTTGCATGACCCGCGCTCCTCGCGACCAAAAAAGAGGGTGTACTCGCTGCCTCTGGCTTCTTCCGACGCGCCCAACCCGATTCATCGCACGAACGCGACGCGGTATCATCGACAACAAAACGGCGATCATCATCACCACCATCACAACAACAACAATCACCATCACCATCATCATCATCACCAACTACGGCATCATCAACAACACATCCCGTCCGAAATGCATCGGGCTAATCCCAGCTGGTAAAACTCCTCGTCGAGTATAACCGGTGCGCAATATTACACTCTTCCCACACATTTTCTTTCCGTCCGTTAATCGAAGCTTTTTTACTAATCTGCCTCTTCTCCTCGCATTCTCATTTCTCTCGCATGCCCCACATCTTCCCAAAGAGCTTTACTAAATCTAACGTCTTTCACTAATATTGTCAGAAATTAATTTAAGTAAAACTATTTTCATTCCTCGTGATTGTATACACATCGGATACTGAACTCTTTTTTGCACAGGAACGTTTAATCGCTAATGCCTGGAAGGACTATGCTTCCGGCGCCAACACAAACTTTGCATTCGAAGCATTTGAGACGGAGGAGAAGGCGCCACCGCCGCCGGTTTCCAGCTTGCCGAGGTCCAGAGAGATGATGACCAGCAACGGTATGACTGTCATGAACGGTACCGATACCGTCGAGGGACCAAATAGAATGGTCGGGCCTAGAGCAACCTACAGTTTACCTCGCGCGCCCGGTGCCAGACACTCTGCGCCCATCCAACCCGGGTACTACACGCAAGATCGCAGGGATCATTACGGGCGTGCCAGGAGCGTGCACAATCCAGCGGGTCCTCAAACAAACCAGCCAGACTTTTACTTTATGCCCAGTCAGCGAAAGTACAGCGGCGAGGTCGTGCGCGTTTATGTAGATTACGGCAGCCAGAAGTAACGAGGGGATTTAGACCGTGAATCGCGCGATAGAACGATTTAACCGAGAAGCCTCACCGAAGCGACTTGTGTATATCTGATATATATATATATCTGAATTAGTGACAGAGAACGCGAAGAAAAAGACTTGCAGCCTTCGCGCGGTGCTATTATCTCTATTTTCTTTCCCTTTTTTCGCGACTTCCCTTTCCCGAAAATCCGTTTGACGAAAATACCGAAGAGGGAAGTCCCCGTACGGAAGCATAGAAGTGGCGCTTTACGACCAAAGAAAGTTATTTTATAGGGCGCACGCCTTATAATCCTGTACAGAGCGCATAAACTCTTGTTAAAACTTTTGTGCTTTTGTAGTGGAAAAATGTATAGTTATGTAAGCCTATGTAGTTGAGAATCTGACACTCCAAGGACCCCTAGATCTTAGTGATAAGTATGCGAAGATTTTCAAGAGTAATCCAACAATCTTAAAATTTAATATCAAGAAAATATGGCGTTTTAAAGTTATAGAGCATATACAGAAATCTTAAATTAATAAGATCCAACTGTTTTGAAATTGAAGATCCAGAAAGTCATCTAAAGTAGTATTTCGTTCGATGGATTACGCGCAATAATATATCAACACATGCCCAATAAATGCATCTACTTAAAAAGAGCAAGCATGGACGTTTAAACAATAAAATATTTGTACATTTCTAGATGGAGTTAATGCGTCCTGTTTCTTTGATAGATTACCATTACTTATCATCAAAATATTATATCTACGTCTACAAAGAACAAGAATGTCATAGAAGAAGCGACGATACACACGATATAACGATAAAAATAAACATGCGCAGTATATCTGCGATAATTGAAACAATTGTTTAGTTGTTATGGATAAAAGTTGTAATGCCTCTGACAATGACGATACTGTAGTTAGAGAATCGTGTTGGTACGGATTATAAAGTATTACAATATAGTGATAAAATTAACGATATAATACTTGTAATAATCATAATAACGATAGTTGTAGCAGCAGTAATAACGATGGCAATAATATTACAGTATTAATTACATTAATATCGTTAACAACGGCGTCGCGTGCAGCCAGACTTCCGGGATATCCACTAACGCGATGGAATATATCATAATATAAGGCGACGCCAAAGATAGGCTCTCTCTCTCTCTCTTTCTTTCTCTCTCTCTCATTCTCTCTTTCTCTCTTCTTTTTGTATCTTCGAAAGTACGCAAACATATATCCGGAAGCCAATTGTGGCACGCACTGCCCGCGTTCCTATTATATTACGTAACTAGTATCGAGCACATATTTTCGGCCCTACCATAAAGTTTATTTTATTGATTTTCTTCTGTCACACGTGCGAAGTTTGAGAAACGACTTCTACGCGAATCTAATACTTCCATGGCATGCTCGACGAACGTGCGAGCGCAGAATGTACGTAACGAATAAACGCACGATCAAACTATTGGTGTTTATCAGAAGTTCGCACTTCGAAGTGTTTTTATGGAAACTTATATCTACTCATCACGTTCGGCGAGCATGCTTATTTTTCGACTTGTCGCGATCTCTATTTACTTTTAAACTCTTCATTCATACATTATTTTTTGTTTCTCTTTCTCTCTCTTTTTTCTCTATATTTTCCTCTCTCTCCCTCTCTCTCTCTCTCATCCTTCATTTCCTGGCACACACATTTCTATCATCATCGGCACTTACTTATACATATAACTCGTGTCAACACATTTTTCTCTCCGTCGGTCAAAGCGGTGTAGTTAAAGAATACGAACAGGCGAACATCTGATAAATGGAGTGAACACCGTAATAAGGCTTAATTTAATTTGTTAGTAACTTGTGTGATCCTGCTATGCACGCGTTTGCTGCACGAAACCTGCCTTCACGCAGGTGTGCACCATGAATGGCCCACTTGAGCTGCAGTCCATTTTTCAGTGTTTATTCCATATTTGTGACATTATATCTCTCTCATTCAAGTCCCGATATCTTTACGAATTTTCTTTATAACACTCTGTGACACATAACAGCCCCTCGTTTCTATTGCATCGCTCCCATTCGTGTATTTGTTGATTCACTTTCTCTGTCTGACATCGGACTCCTTGTTGGGCGTTGGTTTACTACAAATATGAAACGAAATATCAGACAAACAATCGAAAATTTATAGAAAGTTTCTATTAATATAATTTACAGTCATATTCAATATAGCAGTCATATGCTGCAAGTTTATAATTATAAAGAATCAAAATATATATAGAAATGGAACGAAATAGGATAAATAATTCTCATCTGCGTTTTTCTTTTCGTAAACAGTCGGGACAAATAATTTAGCCAAGCCGGGACAGATTTTAGAGTAGAATATTTCCGGAACTTATCCGAAGTAGGCTCGAAGTGGACGCTCTTGGTGGATTGTAACGTTGGAGACGAGATCGGAAGGTCGGTGGAAAGAGGTTCGTGTAGTGAAATATAACATTCTAAAGGTTCATCGAGGGAGATGGGTTCTAAGGCATTATGTCTATGGATAAAAATATAAAATTAAACTCTATTATCTACTTACATTTCGTAAAAATTTCAATTAAAAAAGCAAATAAATAGATGGCTAGAAATAAAGAAAGAAAAGAACAGAGAGAGAAAGTATATAATCCTAAAACATACTTACGTATCAGGACTCTGATCAGTATCGGACTCCTCGAGTTCGGCTTTGTTCCGCTTCTTTTCGTAGACCAAAATGATAGCGCACAAAACTACGACCTCCACACAAATGCCTAGGAAGGGCCAGAGTGCCGCAAGTTTATCCTTAACCCTGAGGAATGTCTCGGCTTCCGACGAGTGTTCCGCGAGATTGGGATCGGACCAGTTGTACGACATTCTGCAGATAACGTTACCGCGATCGGTCATTTCGATGTTTTCAACATTTAGAACAGCGCCGTAGATGCCGGTTTCCACACTGTTGGAGATCTTCACGCGATCTTTGGATTCCGTATAATTTTGATCTCCGAAAGTCCAGGATATCCTTGCGCCGGGGCTCGGCTCTTTTGCGTGGCATACCAAGTGCAGCTTCTCGCCCTCCACCACACTAGTAGATTCAGCCAGAAACGCTATCGGTTTCGCTGAAATTTTAAAACGCCGAATATGAATTAAAAAAAATCTCTTCGGTATAAATCTTTGCTTAAAATTTTTTTCTCTTTTTTTAAGGCAATTTTATAATAATGTAATATTACATAATGGTTTTGTGTAAGATTTTTTTTTATTATTTTTAGTATTTTTATCTTTGACATATAAAATTACGTAAAATATTCGTGTTGCAGAGTACTCACGTACGACTTTGTATTTGATCGTGGAGTTGTCCACTTTACAAGTATAATTGCCATAAACCTCCTTCTTGTCCTTTAAAATCTCCAGACTGCCGGTCTCATTGTTAATCTTTATGATGTCTTCGTTGCCAGTTAGCGCTGTACTCAATGATGTGTTCTCCTTCATCCACACCGCTTTATCACTCTTGTTTACGCATTCAAGCACCAAAGGTAGTACATCCTTGGGCGTAAGTACTCTAATCTTTACATCTGTATCAAACAGAGACAGATATTATTTTTCGATACTTCTACATTAAACATTACATATTACATATTACATATTACAAATATTGCAATATTACGTGCAACTTATTACAATTTTGAACGAATCGAAAGAAAAAACATACGTGTATATTTGGTTTTCGTGCTTTACTCAAAGCTTTAACGAAAAAGATAAAAATCCATTTTATGATATGAAAAAAAATCTATTTATAGCTTCATTCTAAATTGCTCAAATATTATGAGTGACGGTAGCAACTACTACTATTACAGTTATATTTAGAATGTCCTAAATATTCTATAATAATAGCTAAGAAATACATAGCACATACATAATCGAAGAGAAGCAAACAATTTGTATATTCTACTTTTGTAGAAAAAATTCATTCACTTTCATTTACATGAATTGTTTGGATGTTATCGCGTTATCATTAAATTATGAGAAGTACGGGCACTTCTTTCGATTTTTTCCAAATACAAAAATATTCATCGTATATTTCGATTATCAGAATTGAAACTGTTGCATTGAATCTATAAAAGAGTATAATGTATAAATACATATATATAAAGTATAAAGATATATCGATTATATATTTTACACAAATATATGATAATATAACGAAAATGATTGAATTTCATATTGTTAAATATATATTCATAAAAGAAGGATTATTAATTATTAACAGTTAATTATTATTTGCATAATGATTTAATACTAATATTAGTAATATGAATGAAATGCATTAATACGTCAGTAAGAATAGAATTATTAATATTCTAGAATATATTTTCAGATCGAGAAAGAAGGAAAACGAATAAAATGATTTCGAGCATGAAATAATCAAGGCAATACTCAAGAATTTACTCGAGATAGCGACAGAACAAATCAAGTTATCAAACATTATCAGAGATATAGAGACAAGATTTAGATATAAGACATGTAAAACTGTAAATACTTGAACTTATTAATTTAATCGATATAATCGATATTAGCTGTATCTATTTGACAATGAAATATGTAATAAATACATATGCTAATAAAAAAAAGTAAGAGAATAAAATAAAATCGTAGGCTACATATTTCTGTAATAACAGCTAAATATATATTAATCTTTTTAATGGAAACTGTCATAAATGTATTATATCTCGGGAGAAGGAGAATGTGCGGTGACGTAAATATATACAGAGTGTCTCAGAAAAATTACCAGAAATCCTCTTAATAATAGATTTCTAAGAAAAAGAAAAACAAAAAGAAAATAACTTATGTTTATAATACTACGAACCGTAATGTATCATGAGATGGAAAGAGTCCGCACTGTCGGACGTGCATTTGTAATTTCCATCGTGACTGTCTCTCGCTTGGGTCGCCGAAAGCGTGCTAAACCCGTCGCCAGGTTTGACAGTCAGCTGACCACTGGACAGCTCCAGTTCCAGCGTCTCACCGTTCCTGGTCCATCTAACCTGTTCATCATCCTTTAAGTTCTTGCACGTGATCTGCCAATTTGCTCCCTTGAGTATCTCCTTCGGCGGTCCCTCATACGTCACTTTTATCGAGAAAGAAAAAAAAGATTAGCTTTGTGTACCAATACAAAAGATACGAGAAACTGTGATAAAGGTCGACAACTCATTCTATTTTTAATTTCAGCTGATTCATCGCTTAAAATGATTTGTAAATTTATAACATAATACAATTTTCATAACATTATAAATGTTAAAGGATATATATGTTGTAACAAAAACATCAAATGTAAAATTCAATCATATTAGTCTTCTATAGTTATTGCATTGACATGTAAAATAAGAAGAATAAGGAAAATTAATAAATTAATTATAATTATTTCAGTATTTTTATGTGTCTTGATGAGATGTCTTTCACTATTACTTATAACAGACAGATCAGACTCATTTCGAGAAAAATTCATCAACCATTACTGTCTGCACGAAATAAAAAAGTCATGCAGGACGAACCGGTATCTGCATAAATGGTCAACCTTGGACATGACGACCCTCCAAAATATTCACCTCGCGTGAATAAAAAATAAAATAAAGCACTTGAAGAATAGACTATCCTTGTAAGAATAGATATCCTTATCATGAATAAATGATTGCATTGTTTTAACGAGCTTTGTTACTTTACGAATTTATTCAAAGTGATATTTATGCTGTTTATCCTTACTAATGATAAAAATATTTTAATTAAGATAATTAATTTACTCTGTATGTGTATATCTTAATTCTGGGAGAAATTAAATTTGCTAATTAAGTTTGCAATTTTTAAATTAAATTGAATAATCTTGTCGCAATTTCAAGATTCGCATTGTATGATCGATCCAACTCGGAAAAGATCCACACGACGAAGACTTGATGGAAAAAGTGTATGTTCGTCTTTACTTTGGGTGGAAGAGATCTGGATATCGATTATACTCGGGGAGCGCATGTTTACGCATATTTACGTCAGCAACCTATTCGATAAGAAGCCCTCTCGTTCTTACGTCATCGATTGACATTGTGTGAGTGACAATACAATCAGTTAATAGTCAAGTCCATTCTTGAAGCAACAAGCTCATCAAATCCAAGAATTTTCTCTCGCGGGAAACAATTAACGGTAATTTAGCTGATTGCCTTTACTAATACGCGCTCGTAGCTTTGCACAAACAACTATTCTCGGATTTTAAGGGAATATTGTATTAAGTAATATTTATTGTGATCGACTTTAATTAACTTGGTTCATTAGTACCTTTTATAAAAATTAATTTCGTAATACTTTGCTAATCTGTTTCATTCTTGTCATTAGAGGATATTAATAGAGAAAATATTGATATATATTTCGAATATATTTGTAAGCAAAATTATACAATTTTACAAGAATGTGTGTAAGTCGAGTCTTTTGGACGTGAACAATTTGCATGAAATTTTTCTCTCTCAGCACCGAGCGACCTATGCGTCGATGACGAATCGGCGGAATTATACCGACCTGATGACGTATGCACACATGCATATACATATATATATGTATGTGTACGTGTGAGTTATATCTATGTATATAGAACAGTTTCACAGTGATAACAAAGCATAGTCGGTGAAAATAAAAGCGAATCATTATTTGAGTCACTGTACGATTTAGTTGAATGAGAGAGAGAATCGAAGTAAAATATTCACGACGTTATTAACGTCGACTAAGGATCAAAGATTATAATTTTCTTAAAGTAGAATTAAATAATTATATATTCCTAAGGTAACAATTACATTATTAAAATAAGACTATAATATTATTGAAATTTGAAATTATTAAATTCTTCTAAGAAGATTATAAATTGTTGCGTATATACCAAACAATGAATGCGTTAGTTTAAGTATATAAGTTTTGATTTGACACTTATTTTTTTTCTGTATAAAGTCGTGTTAAAATGACGATTGAATTAATGTAACTTTTGTCAATTGAATTAATACAATTTTATTCTTGTTATTGAATTTGATCCTGGCTGTTGCAAGCAAAATCCCCGAGGACGAATAACTCGTTTGAGGAATTGTCGTTCGGTCATTTTCATCATAAAATTGTACACAGAAAAAAAAGACATTCTTGTTTTGAAAATATATTCAGTTTTAACATGGAAATCTTGAAATGAGATTATATTGCCTTAATTAAAGAAAAATATACTTGCTTGAATAATTACTTACTTGAATGAAACCATTTTGTACAGTTCAATCAAGAAAAATATATTCTTATGATTTAAGATTTAATTTTCTTGAATAGAAAAGAAACAATGTTAGATAGAAAATAACATTTTTAAATAAAAAATTATAATTTCCTTAAAGTAGAATTAAATAATTATATATTATTATATATTATTATATATTATTTTTAATTATATATTATTAAATAATTATAAATAATTATATATTCTTAAGGTGACAATTACATTATTAAAATAAAACTATAATTATTGAAATTTGAAATTACTAAATTCTTCTAAGAAGATTATAAATTGTTGCGTATATACGAAACAATGAATGCGTTAGTTTAAGTATATAAGTTTTGATTTGACACTTATTTTTCTCTGTGTATTCGTCGTGTTAAAATGACAATTGAATTAATGTAACTTTTGTCAATTGAATACAATTTTATTCGTGTTATTGAATTTGATCCTGGCTGTTACTAGCGATAATGAATATTGAAAACTTTCTGCTCGATGTTCTCGACGTTTTCAGCGAAATTCAATCCAAGGTATACAGGACCGAGCACAGAGAGAGGAGAATTGTCCGCTGACAGCGTCAAATGCGAATCAACCGGGCACGGTTACTCAGGGAAAATCAATAAACTACGAATGTTATTTTAAGACTACGCTTTCACGACAGCTCCACGCAGCTAAAAATCCACACGAGGAATCCACATCGGAGATGAAACGAGAATATGGGATTCTTAATCGTTCTCGACGCATTTCCCAAGAGTATTCTCGATAAGAATGCAGCTCGTTGCTTTTGGATCGATATAGGGAAAGCGCATGGAAATTGGAAAGGTGTGACGCCTCTAGAATGAGCGATTGGATTTTTAGATGAATGACACGCGAAACGAATCGAATCTTTTACAATTGAAGGACGTATTCTTCGAACGCAATCGTGATTCACACTTCCAGCTCGTGTGATTGTATCATTTTATATACAGTTTGCATACAAAATACGAGAAAGAGAAACTATCCTTTCTGTTTCTAATCGAAAAGACTTATTGCTTTATCTTATACGCTTCTTTATCATATTATAATAATATTTAATACGGATACTTATATATAAACGATATAGAAATATTTCTCAATTTTTGTAATTAGTTATAAATTTTAGTTATAAAGTTTTGTAATTAATTATAAAATTCTATAATTATACAGGGTATTCCTTAATAAATGCGAAAAATTTTAGAAGATGATCCTTTGTCGAAAATTAAGGAGAGTTTTTCATGTAAACAACTTCTCCAAAAATAGAAGTAAAAATTAAGCTCTTATTTTTTTTCAAATTTGGAACAAGTTAAAGAAATTAAATTAGACGGATATTTTCTACTAAAAAGGTTATTTATTAATATTTTTGTCAGTCTCCCGTCTTATTATAAGGGGATGAAACTAAGGGGAGCAAACCCTATTCAATTTTTTATTAAAACTTTTTAATGGGCCGGAATATGATCATCTAAAAATATGCATTAAAAAGTTTGATTGATTTAGAAACTTTTTTATTTCTTTTATTTTTTTCATAAAATCAGTGGCTTTCAAGAAAAAAAAAATAAAATACGTTATCGTACAGCACGATGCTAAATAGCATAGATTTCGAATTACGAGAAGTTAAATTTTAAAATAAAAATTAGAGTAAATGTTGGGAAAATTAAAACAAAAACAAAATTATAATAAAAACCTAAAAATTTAATTTTTACCCCCATTTTTGAAGGAGTGTAACTCCACAGGGAGAGATGTAGGAATATATGTTTATATGAAAAACCTCCTTAATTTTCGACAAAGAATCATTTCCTAAAATTTTTCGCATTTATTAAGAAATACCCTATATATGGACAACAAAAGTAGTTTCGGAAAAAAATGAGTCATTAATCTTTTTCGGAGAATGCGTTTTATAATAAATATCACTAATGATGTGTGCAAGGTTATCGAAATTTCGCAATATATATAATGTGTACATTTCTGAGCGTGCTAATTACCACAAGATACGACACACTTTCGAAGTATATTCCCAGACTAGAGATCTAAAATGTAATCGTCTCTATGTTTCGAACGCGTCAGAAAGACCATGAAACTTCGCGTACGCGTAGGAATCATAAAAATAGATGCATCCTTGCAGGATGAGACGTAAGCGTTCTCATCTGCTGTTTAAGAATAGAGATATTTCTCTACCCGAACATGATAGCTGGATAGAAGAGCGATAGTATGAAAACAAATTAATATTCTTTATGCGAGCCTAAAAATGTCTAATAATATATTACATGAAGGTTACAAGAATATCGTTAGTGCTAAAAACCAAGCGATTCTCAAAGTTTAACTCTTTCTTGATCCTACCTATGGGGTAGGTCGCCAATGATTTATAACGATCTCCTAAAGAACCTACGGAAATTGCAATTTCGAGATTTGTAGCGCGACCTTGACAACTAAAAGATGAACGCGATGTCTAACGGGAAGTCACGAGTGTCTTCTGGCGAGACGGCGCCGATTCAATTCGGAATATTATGATCGCCGTGTTGCGTGGTTTATAGATGTAATAAAAATAGGCGGTCCCCGCAGCTATTCGGAGTCAAGCTTTTAGCATTCTCGCACGGAGTCTGGCACAAACGCAGACAAGTTTTTCCTCTCCGTCTCTCTGTCTTCCTTTCTCCCTCCCTCTTCAGTGTAGCTGTGTAGATATCTTTGCGCATCGTGTATACAGGGTGTTCCAGACTTAATGAATCAGCCATTAATAGCAGATTCATGAGATCATTTGGAGAAAATTCTAATACCAAAATGTTGAGGAAGACTTCATAAAAATGTTTAAACTACTGACTACTATCGCATCGAAAACATAATCGCGTTCACTACAGAATCCTATTTTTCATTTTATATTGATCCCTCTATCGACATCGATATTATCGCGCTGTACGCGAGTCCCTTGATGCACTATGTCTCTGAGCACAGAGACGTAACGCGATTGGTAATCTTTAATCTTTTGTAGCGCCGAAACTGCATCTTCCTCAACATTTTGGTATTAAGATTTTCGTTTCCAAATGATCTCAGGAATCTACCATTGACGGCTGATTCGATAAGTCTGGGACACCCCGTATTTCGGAGCTAGAGTCTACATAAACGATAACGATCTCCTCGGTGAGATACAGATATCAGATATGGGTTACCATTCACGAATTGAATTTTCTGGTTGGACGGAAAATAGGGTCGATCGTTGCGCAAAAGTTAGCTCGCTCGGCGAATCGTCATCTTCGACGTCATCGAGTCGCACTATCGCTTTCGATTTAGCGATTTTAAGGACGATCGCCAAGATTCGAGATCCGCATCGTGACGCGGTGCGTACCCTTTATACATGCATGCGTGCACGTGGACTCGGAGACTCCACAGAGGTGCTCAACGTTGACAGCAACCTCTCGCAGCAGTCCTTCGCTGGGGAGATAACTTGTCGCGATGACGCCCAGTTACTGTCGCATCGATTGTTATCAACGATAAAAAACATTTATTAACCTCACCGATATAGACTTAAAAAAAGAGATGCGATGTAATAATTTTCCAATATGGGATTTTAAAGAAGATCCTATCGTTCAATTATAAAAAAATATTTTATTTTCCTCTCTTTCCATTATATAATTAATATGTATCTTTAATAAATATATGATATAAAAATGAATGATATATGCGTTTTTCCTGTTATAATAAAATTTAATATCGCATGTTCGACGAAAAATGCTCTTTTAGAAACTAGAGATAAATGCATTCTCGCGGCACTTAATAAACGCTTCATTATGAAACATCGCTGAAAAAAAATATGAAATGCTCGGAGAAGTTTCTAATTTTTGAGAAAATGAATATTAAATGTCAACATGTTCAGAAAATTGATGTAGAGTTAACGACCGTGATAGAGATATTACGAAAATCGATAGAAACGAGACACATTTATCGTGTAATTTAACCTTGTATCTTATTTGATATATTTCTTATTTGATATATTATTAATAATTTATTGATATATTATTATTTCTTATTTGATATATTATTAATTATAAATTTTATTTTACTTTTTTGATTTTTTAAATGAAGTACGATGAAGTTTTTGTAAAAGTTGAAGAGAAACGTGTGCGATGATTACAACATCTTGTGGAGCCCCCCTCTCCCCTCTCTCTATCATTATCACTATCTCGCAAGGATGCACAGTTGCAGCATTATCGACTAAACTTTTTTAGAACGCGTCCCGACGTTGTCGATAAGTCTCATTAAATGACCTAGAAAGCGATATTAGCCGCGAGATACTCGGCAAACCGCAGATTATATTAATAAATGCCTTGTCGAGATGCGTTTCATTTCCGGACACTCTTCCTGATCACCTGCTTTTGAATCATGATCTATAAATGTATCCTATTGGGGACGTTATATTTCAAAGGATAATTACTAGAACTGTCAAATTTGGCAAAAAAATTCGTTCTTGAAAGTGATTTCTGGAAAAGAGAGTTTCCTTATTTATGTAAGCTTCTTTTCAAGTGTGCAATGTGTGTTTTATAAAAAATACGTATCATACGTATTTATCTTCATACGTGTTTTTAATCCACGATTACGTGTTGATGGTCTTTATATTCGGTCGCAACACTTGTTACAGGAATGACTTTGACAAAGATGAAACTTTCGGCTTCATCTGGGCGAAAACTTATCTTACGGCACTTCTCCTCTTAAAGAAAGTTAGTGTATCGTTTTGATAGGAGTGTCGGTAGCGTTGTAAATATTAGCAGCCCGCGGAAAGATTATATACCTATGAAAGCCGTTATATTCGTAAACACGAAGCGGCACGAAATTTCCAACATGACTCGAAATTACCTCGAAAGAGCAAATACGTGGTTTACACTGCGTATACATTAGCATATACTTATGCGATAAAACTGCGAATGTGTGTGTGTGTGTGGATATGTCAATAAAAAACATCCATCACACGAGACAGTCGCTAATTTATATCTATATTTTATTTGTCGCGTATATATTGTTTGATTTCTTTCCAATTATTACCAATAATGTTGGTACGATAGATCACTCGCGAGGAAAAAAACGAGAATTAATTAACGAATTAATGAGAGTATGTCTAAAAATAATGAAATGTTTGACAAATGTCGAATTTCTCTTTAATTTATATTTAATTTTTTTAAATCTTTGTAGGATCTGTTGAATCAGAAATCGATCACGTTCATTTATCGGACGGGCAATCTAATCTTCGGATAAAGAGAACAACTATATTGAGAAAAAAAAGTTGTTAACTTGACCAAATCGTCCAACTAAATTATTATTTTTTTAATTGAAATATTGAAATATTGAAATATTTAAGTTAAATAGATGTCATGATGATTTAATATGTATTATTTAATTTAAATAGTAAAATACTTCAATTAAAAAAATAATAATTTAGTTGAATGGTTTAGTCAAGTTAACAACTTTTTTTCCTCAATGTACATATGATAGACACGTGGATATGAGGTAATGTATTCGAGGACATCATCACTCGCACAATTATTTCGCGCGTAACATCGCGTTTCCAGAAGCTATAACATCGCGCTCAATAGAAAGCTCGAGAGATGTTCCATTTTCGTAACTAGAACTAAAAGCCTGGTATTCTCTTGTGATACATTTAACGCTGGACGCATCTGTCCGTAATATCAAAGCGAGCTCTAATATAGAAAATAATAATAATCAACTTGAAATAACTGCGTTTCGTCCAAAATACGTAGCATAAAATTTCGTTATTTTCTCTCCTGACAATTTTCGATAAAAAATTTATAAAATTTCGATTAAAAATTTATAAAATTATCAAAGAAAGCGAAAGATAATTTTTTTTCCTCCGAAAACTTTCAATAATCAGATACAAAATTGAAGACGATGTTTAAAGACTGCACATTCGAGATTCGTGAAAATAATTCTAATTTTAAAACAATATCATTAACATGATTAATTATTCGTACGTTTATCTGTATTACGATCGTAATTTATGAATAGTCAACCCAGAATTAAATCCAACTCGTCACACGAAACTATTAGTCAGACATCGATGACGATGATGGTGGAAATCAATCGAACGTCGCCTTGGAAATACAATTCAAGGGAACTTGACTCATATACGTAGTTTTAAATCAATTTTTATATCATTTGTAAATTTGTATATAATTAAATATAATGCAATGAATGGCTGCCTAAATGATAAAAAAACGATCGAGATAATCATGATCAAAAATGTCATCACGATTGGCGGTTACTTCAGTACCAACGTGTATAATAATTTTGTACCGAGTCATATCGTGAGTTATATCGATGTATGAATTTTTTGCGATATTATGTAATATTGATGCAATATTAAAACTAATTATTGCGTGATCTTGAGATGTATTACAATTCTTTAAATTCTAAAGTACCCTTTTCGACGAATCAAGTTTTGCAATCCCGATTTAACATTATTAATCAATCAGCATATCGACCTTACGTAAATCACAATATCAAATGAAAAGTTTATCGAATATCTTAGGGACGATCAGACTCTTGTCGGGAAAAACAGTAAGATAGCCGATGGATAATATTTAGGGTTGGCAAATTTCCACATTTTTTGTAAAATCCATGCCAATAGTGAAAACTGGTATTTACCGGAAAAGCTGGCAAAAACTGGTCTTTTCTATTAAAATAGATGAAAAACCTTTTCATTTCCGATAATGTGGTTAATCGAGAGCACTGTCGGATCCTGGGGGGAGGGGTTTAGGGTTAAAAACCACCCCCTTGCAAATTGAAAGAAATTAATTTTGCTAAATCCGCTTAAAATATGTCCGTAAAGAAAGACAAAGCTAAGCATGAAACTAAAAATATTAAATCAAATAATTTTGCAGAACCCCTCCCCCCCCTATTATCGAAGTCAGGATCCGTTAGTGATCAAGAGTGTTTTCTAATTCAAGTCTTATCTAAAATAAAATCTGCAATAGATCAGGAATCGATGTGGCGAATGAATTAATTTATTGTTAGATATTGAAAGCTAAACATAAAGCTCCATGTTGATAACAATTTTTAATTTTATTACTATTTTCTCATTACATTAAAAATTAATATAAAATTTATTAATCCGTTTATATCCAAAGTTTTTAAAAATTTCACATATTAATTCAAACAAATTAAAAAAGACTTTATTATTAGATCGATTTCACTTTTTTCAACTATAGTACTTATCGTTGGTATGATTTTTCTTAATGAAAGCAGAAATATGTTTGCATAAAGCTACATAAATAAATTTTCAGCATTACACATCGCAGTTATTTTTACAGCTTTTGCCAGTTTAATCTATTGGACCAAGTCCGGGAGAGTAGAGAAACCGGAATTTACTGATTTTTTTTTTTACTCACTGGACCTGTCCGGTCAACCCTCGTATAATAGAAGTCGCGAGGGAGAGAGGGCTGTGGCACGACAGGACAAATAAACGAACGAATGCCGTTCGAATGTTGGCCGACGAGCCAGTGCCCTGATGATACTCACCTGCCTTGACGAGGGTGCCCACCGCTAAATATAGCAGCCCCAGCAGCACAAAAACGGCTCGTCTCTCCATCCCGGTGGCGCTGCTGCCGATGTACGCGGTGACGCGTGACCGTGCGACAATACGATATCAACGAGCACCACGTCGATGATCCACCTCGTTGTTTCGCGGAACGATAGGGGAGCCGTCCTTTCACGGATAGATTGACGTTCACCGATGCCTCTGGATGACGGACGGTTCCCGAGAACGACGTATCGCGATCGTCGACCTCCTTGCTCTCGTCGTCGCTGCCCTTGTCCTCTCCCTCGTCGGCCAATCCGTCAGTCGCGAGATTTCCTTCTCACTCGATCGTGCGCGACTGCCGTTCGTATCGTTGACGTGAAAGATATCCGTCACTGTTTCTTCTCCTCCTCTTCACCCTCCCCCGCAGCCGTCAACGACGATGAGAGAGCAGACGCGATCTATCACTGACGTCTAAATGTTATCTCTGTACTCGGCCCTTATCTCCTAATACGCACTGTACACAGAGACCATCCGGGTATCACCACCACCACTATCGCCGTCGTCGTCGTCTTCCTCGTCCACCTCGTCGTCACCGCCTCGACGTAGCCGCTCCCTCCTCCTCGTTATCGACGTCGTCGTCGCTTCAACTTGGAGCGAGACGGATAGAGAGAGAGAGAAGAGAGGAGAGACGATTGCGAGTCCCTGCGACAATAGCACCGCGAGAGCAGCTACGATGGCAATGTCAAGAGAAAAATGGCGGCGGTTGTCTTCTGCTCGGACGTCCGTCTCGCTCTGTCGTGCGCCGTTCGTTCCCTCCTTTTCCGATGGAATGAATCAAGAATCGCTCCTGCGGCCCCGCGCCCTCTGCGATGTATCCCGTGTCATTTTAGGGCGTTATCGCACCTGTCGTCGAGTTTAGAGATCAAAAAATGATTGTATGCGAAAGTGACGCTGCGCGATCTTTGATTGGTGTATACTCTTAGTCCCGATCTACAATAGGTAATTTAAGCTCTAAGCCTTAAGAAATTGACCAATTACAGTCGAGTATTCTCTTCATACTTGACTGTGATTGGTCAATCTCCTAAGGCTTAAAGCTTAAATTGCCTATTGTAGACCCGGCCTTAGATCTAAAAATATACACCAATCAAAGATCGCGCAGCGTCACTTTCGATAATTTTTCGTACGATTTCAAGAATAGGACCTCTGTTCTTTATAGTTGAACTGGCTGCACTAGTTCAGAAATTATGGCCGATATTCATAGTCCGGTCTTACATTTAAGATCATCTTAAGCTCTCATTCCACCAATCAATGCATTGTAGCTATTTGATTGGTTGAATGAGTTCTTAAGATGATCTTAAATTAAGACCGGACTATGAATACTGACCGATCTCTTTCCTTCCAATGGGCGTTTTCCAGCTAGCGACACAGAGATGTTTACGACAATTAATCGGATCTTTGATCGGACTGAACAGTGGTACTCAGCGATAGACTTTCTAAATTTCCCTAGACTAATCCGGATCAATAATGTGTCTCTGAAATAATCGAATTAGATTAACAACTTATTCTTATTTTATAGAAAACATCTTATTCCAGTAAAATACATTTTTTATATATTTTATAAATAAAGATATATTAATTAAAAGAATAATAAAGTATCTTCTATAATTTTTTATGATGTTTTTCACAATTTTTTCGATCAGTTCGACCGCAATTTCTTTCGACTGTTAATCTAATTCGATTACTTCAGAGACACATCATTGATTCGAATTAGTCTAGGGAAATTTATGAAGTCTATCGCTGAGTACCACTGCTCAGTCCGATCAGAGATCCGATTAATTGTCGTAAACACCCAGACTCACGAATTTTACAACAGTTGCAAAGCAGCATTTTCTGCTGAACGCAGCGTCCTTACTATGGCCGGTATTCATAGTCCGATCTTATATTTAAGATCGTCTTAAGTCTGGTCCGAGGTTGACTTGAGACCTCAATCAACCAATCAAATAGCTGCGTAGCAGCTCGAACAAGCTCGAACTTAAGACGATCTCAAATATAAGATCGGATTATGAATACTGGCCTATAGGATCTCTAGATACATTTGACGTATTTACCTATCGATTGGCTATCAGATGGAAAATTTCTAGGGTCGCGAAAGTCTCCTCGTGTTTTTCATCGGACCGCGTAAATCGCGAAGCGTGACGCGTGTCGCGAGCGAATGGCCGCATTCAGCGGACTCAACCGCTAAGTAGCAATCGAATATGATTGGTTTCTACTTTCAGGTCCGACCAATCACCATCGAGTTACGTCGGAAAATCTAGGAATGTTGCCCAACTGTTGAGTCCGCTGAATGCGGCCAATTTCACTTCGAAGCCGAGATCGTTTGTCAAAGCCAGCCTCGGGACCTGCAATTTCTCCGAAATAAAAAATAAACGCGTCGCCCTTGACGGAAACACCCTCGAGACTGCGAAACGCGAAATGAGTTCCTTCTCGCTTGTCGTCGAGCCATTTCACAGGGGTCGCGAGGCGCGTTTCAAAGGGGCCCTCGAATGAGCGCAGTGCATGGTAAACAACGTGAGTTTCGCGAGAATGTAGCCGCGCTCAATAAATTCGAGCGCGAAAATTTCTCGTCGCGCATTTCTTTCCGTCGATCACGTTCCCTATCGTCGAACGCGATCATTGGCGGTCACGTTTCAACGACTGTCAACGACGACCGGTCGCGCGGCATCTGCACCGGAAGCGGTTCCCGCGACTCGCCGTTTGCCGCCAAACTTACCTACCTCGCGTGCCGCGATGGAGTTGTTTATCCGTCGACGCTCGAATGCGGCAGCGTAAATAACTGAGTTCGAAACGTGCGTACATTTATATGCTTGGCTGATTGTCGAGCCGATACGTCGCAATCGTCTCCGGAGCGTACGTTGGATCGTGATTGAATTCCGATCGCTGATAGAAAACCTCGTGTGAAATTCGTCGGACGCGCCATGGCCAAGGTTCAGCTGGCGAACGTCGCCGTTCTCGACAATCCCTCGCCGTTTCTGAACCCGTTCCAGTTCGAGGTCACGTTCGAGTGCATCGAGGAGCTGAAAGAAGGTGCGGGTTCCGATGGTACGCGCGGCGATGCTCGCTTTTGCCGAATAAGCGCGCGACCTTCAAACGCGCGCATCCATCTTTAGGTTAATTTTATGACAGTGATGTCATACGCATTTTTCCCTCCTAAGCGGAAATTGTTCGAGAGTATTCGTAACATTTATCGGTCAATTGTAAAGACGACAAGTTACTGTTGAAGAACGCGATAGATACGATGGGAAACTTCTACTGGTTCTATCCTGTTTTATTGAGTCTTACAAAGCAATACACATTGTTGATTTATGTTTCAGATTTGGAGTGGAAAATGATATACGTAGGCAGTGCAGAGTCGGAAGAATTTGATCAAGTTCTAGATACCATTTATGTCGGTCCAATCCCAGAGGGACGACATATGTTTGTATTTCAGGTAAAGCGTCACAGTCAGCTGTACTATTATAACTGCTTTGCGTCGCAACTTGAGGATTTTAATATTTTTTAATCTATTGTATTTTATTTTTTTAGGCTGATCCACCGGATGTCAGTAGGATCCCAGTCAACGATGCTTTAGGCGTAACTGTCGTATTGCTGACTTGTTCCTACAGGGGTCATGAATTTGTTCGAGTGGGTTACTTTATAAATAACGAGTATACGGACCCGGAACTCCGGGAGAATCCACCTCCACAACCACAATTTGATAAAGTTCAAAGGAATATATTAGGCGATAAACCACGCGTCACTAGATTCAAAATCAACTGGGACGATTGTCCAACCGGAACGGCGAATAATCTTCCCGAGGGCATGGAAACACCAGCGTTAGAAGATACGTCGCAAGACGCACCTACGTCCACATTAGGCTTTACAGAGAATACACAAAATGGGATGGAAGTGATGTGAAAAACGATTTGCTGTTGATAAGAATAAGTTAGCTGAACTAGCATTAATACAGTAATTTAAACGATAAAGTAGTACCTGGCAAAAAAGAAAATGGAAGTACACACTCCATACATCTATTTAGATATAACTCGGAAAATCGCGCAAAATATCCTTTCATATGATTATCGATGTTTTCCCTCGATAAAAGATTCACAACAAAGTTTGTATATTTCAAAAAAGATCCTACATGTGATAATCTTAAACCTGACAAAAGAGCGAATTAATTGTTTGTGGATAGTTAATATTTCTTGTTTCTCTCAATTGAATAATGATACTGTGGATTACAAGTTATTGTCTTCTTAAAATGGCATAAGTTTTGCAAAAAGTATAAAATTAATTATAAATTAGTAATTATATTAAATACCATCTACAAACGAACTAAAAATAGTGATTTGCAAATTATTTTATTATAATGCAACGAAATATTTAACAATGCTCTATAATGCAATATTATTTTAAAATTGCTGTTTTGATAGCCTATACTTTAAAGCGTGAAGTTAAAATACATTGAGTTCCCTAAGTATTATATTATTATTGCTTATATTATCGTCACACGTTGCATGTAGATCATAAGGCAATTTCCATTTTTTATTAGTGTATATACATATTAAGATAAAAAATATAATATTATGTTTTTTACTTGAAAAAGACATAATTCTTCACAATTTTCTTCCAGATAAAAATCCCTGTTTTATTCAATCTACAATTATCTATATTTTTATGCAACAAAAATTTTGCATTTTATGCAATACTATTGTCAAATCAATTAATATTTTTTTATATGCTAGAATGTTACAAAGCGTGCTATTTTTTATACTATATATTACTCGTCATTTTCTTACATTATATATTATTTAATAAAATGCAATTAAATGAAATGAGATCAATTATAAAGCTTGTAAGTAAGAATGTGATACGTATGTGTATAGCAATACACACACAATTTTACATATCTTCAATGCGCGTGCGTCACCAGCGACGACATTTTGTCGCACATAATTTTTACAGCCAACATGTATTCATCGTAAAATTTTTACCATTTAATTTTTATTCCGAAAAAATATGGAATATATATGAAGTTTTTCAGAATTATTATTTCATTTAATTAGCAAAGTATAAAAAAATCGCAACGAATGTATGTGTGTATAATTTAATTTTTCTTTAAAAAAGTCTCTTCTATAAAGAAAGATTTATTACGTCCGTAGAGAAAATTTTATTTTTAACATACCTTGCCAAAATTACATATAATATATCACTATGTATTGTTATAGATATATTTTAGTCACTGACAGCTATTCCTAATTCCTATTGATGGTATTCAATAGATTATCAGGAAAAGGCCCAAAACGTACCTAAAATTGAACCTTCTATTGTTATATTGTTTTATTCTATTGTTCTATTGTTTGACCAATTTTTTTTTCTTCGGTTTCTTTTTATCTCAAAATTCTCTTATTTACCTCTTATTTATAAATTATACCTCTTATTTACCTCTTATTTATAAATTATATACTAAGCTTATATAACACGTTGGAAATAATTTTCTAAGAAAAGTAGCTGAAAAGAGAAATCCAATTCGGCTTAAAAATTTCTGAGAAATATATTAAAATTTTTTTTTCTTTCATATCGTATATACAATTTTCTCTTTTCATAACTAATATATAAATACCGATATATAGTTATAGTATTGCATTTTGAAAAGCTTCATTTTGTAAATTTTCAAGATACAAACAAAATTATAATTAACATTATAAAATATAATCTTCATTTTTTTATAATGAAAGATATGTATAATTATGAGTTTTTAATTATTTATATTTAATATAAAGCAATATCCTAAAAAGTTGCATTTTAGAAACATGCAGAGAAAATATTAAATGTCAACTTTCCATATCCCAGGTAACAGCATGACATCTTAATAACGACATGACGTCATTAAAACGTTAGAGAAGATATCATTTGACGTCATTTGGTTACCTGGAATATACGTATATGTATATATATATATATGTATATATATATATATATATATATATATGAGGAGCAACATGCAAAACTTAACAAGATCCCTTATAATTTTTAATATAGAGAAAAAAATTTCTATAAATTAATAAATTATATATATAACGATGTGACAGTGCTAATTTTTTTAATAATACTTATAAAACTTAATTCTTCAGTTCTACATGAAAATGAATAAAAAATTATTCAAAATCATGCGTTACTTATTTTCGGTTTTTTTATGTTGAGTTTTGTATGTGCTCTTCATATGTGTATGACATTTTACACATGTGTATGACTTTAAAGTGACGCATCGAAAAAGTATCCCCAACATAAAGAAAAATCATTATTAAAGAGAAAAATTAGAAAAAGCAAATAATTTATATATTTGTATTTGTATATTTCTGTTATATATATATATATATATATATATTTCTTTTTAACTTCAACAATATAAAGAAAGAAGAAAAAATGAAGAGATAAAGAGAGAGAGAGAGACAGAGAGAAAGAGAAAACGAAAGCAGGGAGAGAAAGCAGAAATAACTTAATTTCATAAAATTTATGATGCTTATTGGTTTTAAAAGATAGGTTATATAGGTATATTTTCAGATGACCCCCCCCCCCATTCAATTTTGTAAAAGTGCATTTCTGAAGCTTATAGTTTTATGGCATCAATAGCGGATGAATGTTATGAGGATCCAAGTGCAAATAATCTAAAGACCCTGATCTGAAAATCTAAAAGAAAAATCTATGCAAAATACATGCGAAATTGAAAAACAAAAATTTAATGATGCAAGATGTAATTCCACATTCTACTTGTATCTTTATCATGTCACTTATTTTTCAACAAGAGTTACAAATTTAATTTATGTGAGTATTAATTTCACATGTCGATATATCTCTTGGTATATAATAATGCTACTGATCACATTTAATATTTTATATCGTTATTCAAGTATAATCAATTAATATGCAATTATTACATATATAAATTAATTTCTCGTAGCAAGAATTATTTAACTTCGGATTCGCTTATCTATTATGTTGTGTGCGGGCAATTCACACAGCGAAGGATCTTATCTTTTTACGCTCTCTGCAAAATAAAAAGCGAGTGTATAAGCATGATAAAATTAATGTATAATCGAGTATTAAAAATGTGGAAAAAAAGGAAAATGAAAAATCGATAAAATGGGAAACGTAAACGAGAGGAACAATAAGACCCGATAATTCATTTGGTGAATGGAAGATACACTTTAGCAGCGCAACCCGTAAGAGGGAATAATTCTCGCTGCGTTAAATAAATCATTAAATTATTATTAGAATTCATTGATTAATTATATTATTAGGACGATTTATTTTATAATTTATTGAAATAATTTTTTATGTAATTTTAATTTTTACATTTTTATATGTTGGACGTAAATTTACATAGTTAATTTATATTTTATACAGAACTGTGTGTCTCATTGTAAAAATTTACAGTTCATTTGAAGTCCGGCCCTGACGGGGTCATCCGAATCCCCACCACTATCGAAGTGAGATGATGTCGAGAGGGGATGCTCCTCGGAGTTGAAGACCGGAGACCGGAGCATGTACAAACGTGTTCAGTTGATTTGATGGTTTTGGACTGGTCAATTCTTCCCTCAATCACGTTACGAGACTCAGGTGAATATCGCTTCACGGTATAAGTGCAACGCCTGTAACCGAAAGCAGTCGGTCTCTCTTTCTCGAATGAGTTTACCGGCACTTTGGACGATTAATTCGCTCAGCTTTAGATTTTCTAATCACCCGTGCTACAGTGACAGATCTGCCGCAGTGTGTGTGGCAAATGTACTTGCATCTCTACAATATCGTCAAAATGGTGAGTTTTTTATTTACATTATTACAAATAAACAATATAATTATTTTAAACACGATTCCGGAAATATTCGACAAAAGATGGATCCATAAAAGAAATCTGTTGAAGGTTCGTTAAAGATAATGCATGGTGGAAGTAATCGAGACAAAATAAACGTGTTCAGTTTGACATATATATATCATTATATGTACACGTGATCGTAACATCATTTCAACAACCCCCGCTCATTGCGATTTTGCGTGATTGTCCTTGAAGAGTGTAAGAGGATGTTTTATATTCTCTGGATGTCTTCCCTTTTGAACACGTGTGCTGTTGTGTAGGGTTGAAACCACCAGGATTTAACAGAGATCGTGAATGAAGGGGGTACGAGATATAGACGAGCGATAGAGACAATGCATCGCGTAATAATAGATTATGTCACTTGGATTAGTTTTTCGTTAACCGAGATTGATCGCGAGGAGCAACGAATTCATAAAGAGTCGTGAGATAAATAGCACGTGCGCAAAAAAATCTAGATCATTCGAGAAGGAAGGGACAGCGATTGCAAGTATATATATATATAAATGAGCCGCATCTCTGTCAGTGGTTGATGATGAATTCGTTCTACATTATTATATGAATGATATAAAATACATTTTTTTAATGATAATCGATAAACATAAACAAGAACACAACTAATCTTTTATGATTAATTAAATGTGAAGCTCCCCCTTCCTCCAAGTTGTATGCGCAATTAAGTTATGAATTTTATCCTTTTCGAGATTATCCTGTTTTTGACAAATGACTCAGATGTCAAAGTGTTATGCGGGGTCTACAATGCGAATCGTTCAGTAGGTGGCAGTCTTTTCGATATAATAAATTTATGTTATATTCGTTTTATGTTGTCTATAATATATATTATATTATATTAAATATTATATTAAATTATATTAAATTCGTTTGTCAAAGGTCAATCAGATTATGCATAATTAAATCATTTCTTTAGGTGTACTTGTGGTAAAAGCGAACGCGAAAGTCCTTAAAGTCAAGTTTTATCGTTAAACTTTTGTTTAAAAATATGTCGAATTTGTATCACTTGTCATTTGAGCCAGTCAAAGAAATTTGCAGAAGAGAAAAATTAATAATTTTTAATTGTGTCAATTTTATTTCTCTCTCTTTCTCTTTTATTAGATGAAAATGAGAAAATTATTCGAAGATGGTGTAAAATCGACGAATTTAAAATTTGTAATGATTCAGCAAAAAGATAGGACATGGATTCATGAAATGGCGGATCCGTCCTGTCGCCATTTTGTGTGAGTTTTATATCTGCATATGAATAGCATCGAATGTTTTGCGGATACTTGTCAAGATTGTGCGACTGAGATCAATTTTTACTAGAATATAGAAAGGGATATCTCGGGCGAAAGGACGAATCACGTTGTCAAACTTATGTAATTCAGTCCAATGTAATAGATCTTGATCAGCTAATGACTTTTTAATGAGTTTCAAAGAAATGGGAATCATCCCAGCAATATCCGGAAACTGCGCATAAGATTTAAGCATCTTTCAATAAGATCTGTTTAGCAGCAGTCAAAATTCGAAAACTGCGTACGCGAAATAAAACTCAACTCATAATGAACTATATATTTATATTTTACATTATAGAAAAAAGAAAGGTATTTTTAATTATTGAAAATAGTTAAAAAATTTTTAGAAATAAGTGTCTAAAATAAATTATTTTATTGTTATATAATTTCGTTTTTCCGGAAAATTTGCATATCGCAACATAATTACATAATCTTATTTCGCAAATTTTAATAGTGATAGTTTTAAGCAAAGATCTTACTGACTAATGACGAGTTCAAAGAAACGAAATGGCATCTTTCTAATAAAACCTGCTTAGCAACCATCAAAATTCGGAAACTGCGCACGCATACGAGATTTATTTCGCGTAAAAGTTCAACTCATAATGGACTACATTATAGAAAAAAGAAAGATATTTTTTTAACTATTGAAAATAATAGAAATATTTCTAGAAATTAGTATCTAAAAACGCATACGAGATTTATTTCGCGTAAAAGTTCAACTCATAATGAACTACATTATAGAAAAAAGAAAGATATTTTTTTAACTATTGAAAATAATAGAAATATTTCTAGAAATAAATGTCTAAAATAAATTTTTTTATTGTTATATAATTCCGTCCTTCCGGAAAATTTGCGTATCGTGTTGCGTTATATAGTCTTATTTCGCAAATTTCAATAGTGATAACTTTAAGAAAAGATTTAGAGAAACGAAATAGCATCTGTCTAACAGTAAGATCTTAGCAATCGTTAAAATTCGAAAACTGTGCATACATACGAGATTTATTTTGCGTAAAAGTTCAACTATATACTTATATTTTATACATGTTATATATTATAAGAAAGAAAGAGGAATTTTTAACCATTGGAAAAATATTGAAAATAGTAAAAGTAAAATAAAAAGTAAAATAATAAAAGTAAATAAAAAATAGTAAAAGTAATTTCAAAAAGTGTATAAAATAGATTCTTTTATCATACAATTCCGTTTTTCCAGAAAATTTGCATATCGCATTTACGTCTCATTTCGCAAATTTTAATAATAATAATTGGTTGAATAATTGGAGAAATGATCAAGACTCTTTAAACTGGGGTATCAAGAACCGTTTTCTGAAATAAAAGAATTAACAATAAGAGAGTAATACGTTAGAGTCCACAAAGAAACAATATCGTCACTTCTCGAGCGATTTCATCATCTTTTGAGGACGAGAAAAAAATCGGCGAAAATATTAAGAAAAAAGCCGACATAAGGATATCTCCGATATCAGGAATGAAACGGTAAACGTGTCGCTTAATTACGTCGCATTTCTCCATATCGTCTCACCAACCGGATGTGGTGGAATGCTACAAAAAAAATGCTCGTACTTTTGGAATGCAGCGCGTAACGACTAAACGACGTTTCCGTTTGATGCGAAAATCGGCCGGATCGGGAAAAAAAATCGAATCGTATCGCGTAAAAATGAAAGAGGGAAAAGAGCGCGATCGAGGAGTAGAAAAAGAGGGTGGCTGGAATTACTCGTTCACTTCGTGGCTCGAGTAGCGAATGAGTCATCACCTGTCTCCTCGGCGATTCGGAGCCGGGAATCTCCGAGTGAGAATCTCTTTGCGCTCCGAGAGTTGCGCACGCAGAAGCGAACAAGTGCTTCGAGATTTGCGAGAATATGCGTGCGTGGGTGTGTATGTGTGCGCTGCGTGCATGTGTACACATGTATGTATGTGTGTGCGCGTGCGTTTGTGCTGTAGACGATGCGATAATGAATCACATTCTCGTCTTTAGTAAATAATACTTTATAGAATAGGTTTTTTATAAAAACATTTTGAACGGAATTATGTTCGTAATTTTCTTGAACAATTTTTTAAAGCGCTTCTATTGTATTTAGGGATTCTCTTTGTGATAAATGTTTATCGGTTATAGACGATGCGATAATGAATCATATTCTTGTCTTTAGTAAATAATAATAATAATAATAATAATAATAATAATGATAATAATAATAATAATGATAATAATAATAATAATAATAATAATAATAATAAAGTATTATAGAATAGGTTTTTTGTAAAATAATTTTGAGCAGAATTATATTCGTAATTTTCTTGAACAATTTTTTAAAGCGCTTCTATTGGGATTCTTAGAGATTTTCTTTGTGATAAATGTTTGTCGGTTAGAGACCATGCGATAATGAATCATATTCTTGTCTTTAGTAAATAATACTTTATAGAACAGGCTTTTTGTAAAAAAATTTTAGGCGGAATTATATTCGTAATCTTCTTGAACAATTTTTTAAAACGCTTCTATTGTACTTAGGGATTCTCTTTGTGATAAATGTTTGTCGGCTATAGACGATGCGATAATGAATCACATTCTTGTCTTTAGTAAATAATACTTTATAGAATAGGCTTTTTGTAAAAAAATTTTGAACGGAATTATATTTGTAAGTTTCTTGAACAATTTTTTTTAAAGCGCTTTTATTGTACTTAGGGATTCTCTTTGTGACAAATGTCTATCACAGGTAGAAAAAAAGGCATTTTTTACATTCTTAAAATACATCTCTAAAATAGACATTTCTTTGTTCAATCTATGTTATAGTGGATTTAACTATATTATACCTCCGTGAAATAGGAGGTATTATTTTCACAGGCTTGTAAATGACAGCAGAAATAAATGCTATTATAAAATTGATGTTAGATCAAGATCTGAAAATAATTAACTAAATGTTTATTTTGATGTTAATTTTATCGATAAATAATTACATTAAAAAATGGACATTTTATAAATTTAATATTTTCCTTTTTATTTAAATCTTTTTATTTTATTTCCTTTTTATTTAAATCTATCAATAAGTTTTTTAATCTCATTGTGGGATGTAACTAACAGCAAAATGTAGAAAACAAAAAATAACAATTATTTTCATTATTTTTGCACTAAAATGCAATATTATTGTTGCAGGACAGAAACGGTGAAATGTGTGAGAGTAATGACGATTGTCCTATTGGACAATATTGTTATACCTCCAATCGATGCGTGAATTATATTGACTGTAACCGATACAATCGGCTGGAAGGCCTGACAGAGGCACAGACCCCATCGCAATGTGGTCCGTGCATGAAAGGGTAAGAAAGTATATTAATTCATTTTCTTTTTCATATTTTGCTATTTTTTATCGGCTAACATGACACACGAACAATCGTTTATTTGTTTAATTATTGGTAATTCACTTATCAACAGTTTAGAATTTATTTAATTGTATCAACATTATATATTATGCGTTATAAATAAAATTGTACAAATGAATATAATGATACAACATTGAGATTAATACAATAATACAATACAATACAATATTGAGATATAATACAATCTCTTACATTTGAGAACGCGCAACTCTTAATTAATACTTTATATCCAGTATATTGAAGCAAATAAAATTTAATTTTGTGTTTTTTCATTAGTGCATTTTTTATTAGTGTCCTTTAAATGCTTGAATAAATAAAATGAATATTTTAAAAATACAAATGAACTTTTAATAAATTACATTATTTTTTCGTTCATTATATATTTGAGATTTATTAAATAATACTACTTGAAAAAAAAATTAAAAAAGAAACATTTGTTGTATCATTATTTTAGACACAAAGCCTCATCAGAATACAAAGGATAAAACTAATATCCCTCGCAAAATTAATTAATATGATCGCAATATTTTTACATTATTTTTTCATTGTCATTTTTTATCATTACATAAGAATTTTCATTTATAAAAAAGAGAAATATAAGTTCACAATATATATTTTATATCAATGGTGTCTTTCGGCAATTTAGAATGGAAAATATCAATATAAAAAGTTCACTTTAATCGATTGAATAATCACGTCAGATAATAAAATAAGATCCAATTAGAATGTCATATAATTATAACCATCAAAGTCATTTAAGAACATATGAAATAAAATATATATTATGTAAAATAATAGAATATCTACTTGATATGCGTGTCTTTGCAATATAAAAGATTTTCTCCTATCTATTTTACAAAATTATCTATTTTTTCGATTATAGATACGCATCAGAGCATCTTACTAGCAATGTTACGTCATCAATATGTAAATATATAGAAAATCAGGGTAAGTGATGTTGTTTTGTGGATTTCATTAAAGAAATAAAAAATAATTATTCGCACTTCATTATTGATTTTTGTTTGCTATTCTTCCGCGTCGAAATGAAAAATCGATAAAAACACTTATATATCGACATATATCTTAAGCATGTTACATAATTTTTGGATTTTTTTGCAATTATCTAATATATTTATTTCATTTGCAGCGGGATCTGGTATAAATCATAAATTAATTATATTATCCACTGTGATAAGTTTGTTGACTGTAATTGTTATTGTTGTATTATACTTTTTCAAACACCGTAAGTTTAATTTAAATTTATTTTTTAGATTTAAAATTTTTTCAAACCTTTACAAATATACTAAATTTAATTATTTTTTTTCTTTTATAAATCATATATATATATATATATATATATATATATATATATATATATATAACTTCACTTTTTTTCTCATGATAGTTTTTTTTTTCATTGTGCAAGTTTATTATCAAGATATACAGATACAATACAAAAATTTTATATGTTACATATATATATATATATATATATATATATATATATGTGTGTGTGTGTGTGTGTGTGTGTGTGTGTGTGTAACATATAAAATTTTTGTATTGTATCTGTATATCTTGATAATAAACTTGCATAATGAAAAGAACTATCATGAGAAAAAAAGTGAAGTTATATTTATTATTAACGTAACTCTATATATTATTTTTTTACAATATATTTATATAGGACGATATAAAATGTCAATAAAGAATTTAAATATTGGGAATATATTTTTTCAGAGCAAATTCGCAGATTTATATCAAATTATATTGGAAATAATTCTAATGCAACAGTAATTGACAGTGCCCCACCACAAGAGCAAAGTAAGTCATATACAATTATTACATACATACACAATTTATGTATGCATATGTGTATATACACGCACACGCATACATAACATATATATATATATATATATATATATATATACACATACATACATACATACATACATATATATATATATATATATATACATACATACATATATGCATATATGTTTTCACATTGCTTACAATAAGAAAAGTTTTGTCGTATGTTTTAGTATAGAGACTATTTCTTTATATGTATATATATGACTGGCTCTCTTATCATAGAATTTTGCTTGAAGTGATAGTTTTAAATTTAATTTATAATATTTTGCATCTTTTCTTCACATAACATCCTAAACATTCTATCCAAGATTCAATAAAAATTTTTATTATTCCTAATAAATCAGCATCGGACATAGTGCCACTTATTTGCAAGTGAAAATAGTATTTGTAAGAACATAGCTATATTGTCGTTGATTGAATAAATTAACATAATATAGTTTGCAAAATTGCATTGAATTGAATTGAATTTTTCAAATTAGCTCTGTTTTAAGATAATGTATTCATCATTTTACATTTCTAAATTATTTTACATGATACAAACAAAACTGTGAGAAATTAATCGATAATTAAATTTGCATGAAAGAGAACTTTGCTTTTTTATAACTATTTAAAATTTCAAAAAAGGATCTTTAAAGTATAATGCACAGGATGTATTTTATATGAGAGACATTTTTTTCAACTTGCAATATAAATTAATAAACTAATTAATCTAACAAAAATAATTTGCACTTTCTATAATTGCACCCTTCTTGTAACATTTTATATACACACGATAATGCACAAAAAGTAATCAAATAAAAATATATATTGACGAAAAAAAAAAATTAATTATTACATTACAGTACATCTATGATTTACCTATATAATTGAATGCTGAAGTGAAAGTGCAAAGATTCAAAACGCGGTAATTCTACTGCAAGGAAAAGTACACATTATTGATAATAATGTGATAATTTATATAAACAATTTGTTGATGTGATAACTTATATAAACAATTTGTAAATATTTGCTTTCAGATCCATTCATTAAATGTGATGAAAAAAAATGTTGCACTCTGGATAACAATAATAAAAAGATTACAGAATCTAACGAATTTCAAAACTCTATTCCGTGCACTATTCAGTACAGACCAATAGACGCATATGCTCCTGCACATAGTAATTTCAATATCAATATCAATACCAATCCCAATAATAATCCACTTTCGAGGTAAGTAATAAATAAATTCCTTGTTATATCTTTATACTCGTTTTTAAAATAATTTTATCACTCATTTCCCTCATTATTATTTCTATTAATTTTCTAACAGTTACATAAAATTTGTATAAGTATTTACTTATTTACAGCAAGAAACATCTTGTGATAAATTGTACATGTTACAGAGAAGTTGCAATTATTGATATGCCAAATGACAGGGATACAGAAATATTACAATCTGACCTATCTAATGATGACAATCTACCTAATTACAATGATGATGATAATGACACTATAGATTCTGGCACAGAACCGAAAGACGAAGGTGATCAGAAAACAGCAAATCTATTCATCAGTCAACAAGCCACACAAAACATCACAATAAACCTGAACGGATAGAAATATAAATAATTATAATTATTGTTAATCATTTTGTTAATATTGCAATTAGTTAATGATGCATTTATATACATGAATATATCCATATATACCTTTGTAATTAGGAGTTTCATTATTTAAAGTTATGTTAAATCATCTTTTCAATTTAAAATAATTGCCTTCTTTTTCAAATTGGAAAGGTAATTTATCTCTAAATAATGAAACATCTAATTGCCTACATCTTGCAAAATCTCTTTTATACATGCTCCACTTTGTATATCATATAAATTTTTATATTATCAGTTATGGACCATTATATTTTATATAATAAAAATTGTTTTCTATATGTTTCTACTATTTATTATATATGCACATACATATATATTATATATATATATATATATATATATATATATATATATAATTTATATTGTTTAAATATATATATATATATATAATTTATATTATGTTTAAATATATATTAATTAAAATATAGCATAGCATATATAAGAAACTTATAGAATATGTATTAGATTAGTAAATTTATATATTTCTGATTATATAATTTTAATATGATCTTAGCATAAACTTTATTTTAATCGAAGTTAATTTTTCCTGGTATATAAAACCAATTTTAATCATTGTATTTTAATTATCAAAGTTGGAAATATTTATGATTGAAATTGCATATATACCAATAAGTTATAATAATTTAGGACAATGATAGTATTTAATTTATCAAATACACGTGCAATTGTGTGGAATAAAAATATTTTTCTACACTTTTACACAAGTTATATATACTTTACTAATCTTACAGCGTGTTTTGTAGGACCGATTGCTTCCTAATTGTAAATACAGCAAAAAACATCGTGTTAACCTAGATTTTATGTTTTGTTTAATCAACTCGTTTACGCGTATCATCTTTATATATATATATATATATATATATATATATATATATATTCATGTATTGAAAAACTAATTGAAAATATATAAAAAAATGAAATAATTAAAAAATCTCAATGTATAGTTAGTTGTTGTTTCCTCTGTACACGTTTATATTTTGTGTGAATTGTATGTGGAAGGAAGGGGGGGGGGACAAATTCGAATGTATTTCGAACCTTAAAATTGTGTCGATATTTAAAAATTTCAATAACAATTAATGTGCGCTTTATAATTAACTTTTAAATCTCCATCCCTCTTTCTAATGAGAACCTACTTTTTGACGTCACTATAGGGATACATGGATTATGCGACGTAATAAAACGAGTTTGCAATCTATCATTTTGTAAATTCACGACTGTCGCGGCGCGTAAAAGTGGCGCAAACTTCAGACGACACGAGCGCTAGGTAAAGTCCCGGTCCACTTTTGTCAACCTTTTTTTTTCCCCGTTGGTGCTATTGCGAAATGTGACGTTGAACGGCGAGAGATTACCGTCGACTGTTTCTTGCCTTGTGAGATTCTGCGGCACCGAGGTTGTGGTTCCCGTCAACGGATTGCCCGGGTGTCCTTAGAACGATATCCAGCTCTATATTTTCGACCGACGTGTTCTGGTTCACTGATCGACAAGAAATTTTAAACTTCGACGATTTTTCGAAAAACCTCGTAGATATATAGATTCCGTCATCTCGGAATAACATGGATTTATTGTTCTTCTCGTCCATAGACGATGCCACGAAAGCATGGCTCGATACCTTGCATCGGATGTGGTCGCTATGTAAGCAGAATTTTTTGGATATAATGTATCTTTTTTTCATTCTTGTCTCATTTAACACATGCATTCATTGATAATTGACTCAATTGTAGGGAAGAAGTGCGACGGTGTTAGCAAAACATTAACGGATTACTTTGAAACGGCACCAAATCCATACCTCAGCACATTGAGAATCCTCGTCAACACCTCTGACTTTGATCACATGACAAACAGCAAATCGCTAGCATTTGCAGGTTTTTACTCGTCGATTATTAATTCCCCTTGCACTTGATTGTAGTTTATTTAAGATATCTTTACATGATATAGAAAATAAATTGAGTATTTCTCCTTTATTTGTATCAATAGATACATCTCCAATGATTTTGACCTTGATAATTTTGTCACAAAAACAATATGCAGGAATTCAGGTTGAAACAAAATCAATTATCTTTACAACCTATATCAAAGTCAAGGAGGTATACTCTGTAAATATTTATAAATTATCAAATTATTTTCTGGAATAGTTGAAACAACATTTCAGATATCTTTCGAAGATGTGAAGAAGACAGTTAAGATTTCTTTGGAACTAAATTATTTTGTATTGCATATATTATACTTTTGTACATTACACTTTTGCTCTTTGAAATTTAATTAGTAATATATAATTTTATAATATAATTTTATTCATATTGCAGTGATAGAAGAATTTTCAAATTGGATGGAAGATAGAAAAGAAGGTTATAAGGAATTTCTTGTTCCTGACTTGAAACTAGCAGCTTTCAAATTAATAAAGCAGAAACATATGAAACAAATGTTACTAATTAAGAAGGTATCTACTATATATGAATTCGTGGAACATAAGGATATGTTTCTACAAGCAATAAGGGTATGTTGCCAAAAGATGGTTATAATATGATTTTTGTTTCTTAGTTGTATATATATTTTTATATATTTTTTTTTATTTTTATAGGAAATGATACGAGATAAAGAATATAAGGAGGCTGCACAATATGCTGCAATGTTACAATTGCAGAGTCATTTTATGAATCCAGAAATATTATTATTGCCACTTATATTACAAAATAAGTTACAAGTAGTTGATGAATTTTTAGTTGACTGCCAAGATGTTCAAAAAGCCTTGACGACTTATTTAGATAACTTGATAGCACCAGGAAAAAATGTACAAACCACATTGGAACGATTTATCTAGTGAGTAATAAAATATATCTACTTATTCATATTATATGACAGGCATTTTAATCTTATGATAAATTAATTGAAATTGTCGTTGAATTAAATTTTCAGTGAAAATGATATTCCAGAAGTTAAAATATCGTTAACACAAGTTCGTCCAATAACTAAGCTTGTTGCACGTCTAATAAAACAGTACAATTTATCGCCTGATGTATGTCCACATTTGAATACAAAACGAAATGAGGGAGCATTGCAGTTTCTCATACATAAACGTTATGTGGATGGTAGCTTAAGTAAATATTTAATTATCTTTACGCAATTATTTAAAGACATTATCTTGTGGGAATAAAGATATATCTCTAAAAATTAATCTTTTTCTTAATTGTTTCTTTTACTGCAGATGTTGCCAGTTGGAGAGAGATGGTGAGAGAGGCAATAGGAAATGATGTTAAGTTACAAAAAGAATTACTTCTTATGTTAATTAATGTCCAAGATGTACAAGAAGGTTTATATTGGGCGAGGGAATATAGAATACCTAAGCAGGAATGGCCATGGTTAATTGTGCATGCAGAAGAAGAGGAAGTAGAAGAAGAAGAAGAAGGTGCGCAAGGTAATGCTTTATAATCTATGTTTTTACATGTTTTTGCACTTCATGAAATATTCAACAAATAGAGAAAAAGTATTCAAGCTCTTATAATATAAACATTAATTTTTTTCACTTAATTTTAAACAAATATTCTTCTGTTTGCTTTTGCATATCTTTTCTATTATACTATATTTTGCAGGGGTAAGTGATGGAGCTTCTACAAGTAGAGATGAAAATTGGGAACCGATTGAAGATAATATAAATTATCATACATTAAAATTACCAAGAGAATCTATTAATGTCGTGGATAACGGACGTTTATTTGAAGAATTTCTTGATAATGGATTAAAAAATGTTACTATAGTTGGAATTGATTTGGAATGGAAACCTAGTTTTGGTAATAAAATTTGAAAATAAAAAGAAACTATAAAACAATTTACTATGCAATTTAATATGAATCTTTTATATATGTTTCTGTGCACAGGAACAAAGCAACCAGAATTAGCACTTATACAGATAGCTACTGAAGATAATGTTTATATTCTGGATGTGACTACTCTTGGTAATGAATTACCTGAACTCTGGGTTGAACTTGGCCTTACGTTATTTGGAAACAAAAATATTGTTAAAATTGGTAAGTGACTTTAGTATTTGAAATAATATTGTATCTATATTATTTTATATAACTATATGTGATACAAAAAATCTAAGACGAATAATAAATTATATATTTTACACTCTCAAACTAGACAATTAATATCATTATATGATATGGAAACAAAATATAAATGTTCATACTAAAATTATCATAACATATTATAGGATTTGGAATAGCACACGATATAACAGTGATACGCAATAGTATACCTGCATTGTCATCTATTAAAAACCATGGTCAAGGATACCTAGATTTGATGATTTTGTGGAGAAAATTAACAGAAGATTACAATTTTATTTTTCCATACAAGGGAGATCCAAACTTTACAAGCAAGAGTTTAAGTAAACTTGTAGAACTGTGTTTTGGACAAAGATTGGACAAGTCTGATCAATTCTCAAATTGGGAGCTAAGACCTCTTAGGGAAAGTCAAATAATATATGCTGGTTGGTAAAAAAAAAATCTTTGTAATTATATAATGCATTTGCATATAATTGATATATATATATTGTTTTATATGACAGCATTGGATGCTTATTGTTTATTGGAAATATATAAGGTATTAGCGGATTATTCGGCAGACATGGATATACCGTTTGAGGATATTTGTGCTGAAATACAACATATCCCACAGACACATAAAAAGCCTAACACGAATAAGCCCATACATAAGGTATAATTTACAGAAACTTATATTGACATGTACATTATATATGATGATATTATATGTTACATTATATATTATATGAACATAATATATTGTGCAATAGATAACAGCAGTTTTCCATTGATGAAAGAAAATACATTTTAATTTGTTCATTTTTGTAAATTTTATGTAACAGAAATATAATTTGGAAGCTACAATGTTTTATTTTTATAAATTTTATATAACAAACATATAGCTTGGAAGCTACTGTCATTGAATTATTCATATGAAATAAATTTTTTTTAAAATATATGCATATATTGATTTAGTTGTGTGTTCCTTATGTGTATGTATTGTTTTGTATCTAGACATTAAATATTTTACAGAATTCTATGTATTCAAATCCTACAACGTGTGATAAAGGCAGTGAGAATTATCGCGCAAATGCAGGAGCTTCACCAAAGTACGAAACGACTAAATACAAACCTGCAGTCAAACAAGGGTATCATAATAATAAGCAGAAATTTGCGCATGTTGGAATACTTAAAACAACTAATGATAGAAGACACGATAATCAAAAGAGATACGACAATCATGATAATCAGAATCGGGATAGATGTGCGCGTCTCGGAATAATTCGAGTAGCTAATGACGCAAAAACCGATAACCAAAGGAGATATGAAAATGGTGATAATCATAATCAGAACAGATACACGCACGTTGGAATGCGAGGAGCTGATGGTGGAAGATACGAGAATCAAAAGAAATATGATAAATATGATAATTACGAGAATTATAATAGATTCGACAATCACAATCATAATAGATACGATCATCCGAACAGATATGGTAATCAAAGTAGACGTGATAATCATAATAGATATGACAAACAAATTGGTAGACGAGAGGATGTTCAGGGTAGATTTATGGATAAAATTGGAAAAATGAATAGATCAGAACCCAAAGTGCAGCGACAACATCAGGAAGACTTGGTCGCCGCGCATACGTGGCGCGTTGTATGCGATTCGATGCTGGGTGGCTTGAGCAGCAAGCTACGAATGTGCGGCGTAGACTGCGTACATGTCTTGTTCGATCAGGGTGGGGACGATTCCGCCAAACTGGCAATGCGTGAAAATAGGATTCTGCTGACGCGCAATAAAAACTACGAAAGAGTAAGATTTTACTTTTACACTTTATATTTGTCATAGTCGAACTGTTGTAACGCTCATTTTATGACATTGCAGTTCAAGCAGTATCTACCACTGTTTGAAGAAAACTGCTACAGGGTAATGGCCGACACACCGGATAATCAATTACGCGAAGTCTTACGTTATTTCGGTGTAATTGTCACACAGAATGACATTTTCAGCCGTTGCCAGATATGCAATTGTGACGAATTTGTCAAAGTCCCGAAGCAATTGATGGATGATCTTGTGCAAAGGTAAGGCTACTTTCGATTTATATCGCTTTGTTTTTGTTTAATCTTTTCTCTTTCTATCAATTTTACATGATATAATAAAAGCAATGATTTCTTTTTAGCTTCGTGAAAATTATAAGAAAAAACAATTATCGAATGCTTCCCAATCGAACTGATAGCGTAGGAAAAGCTCGTATTGATGACGATAACTCGAGCGATGATTTCGAACTCGTTCGAAATCCAAACAATTATTTTACAAATAGCGAGCATCGTACGTGGCGTCTGTCTACAAATACTATCGACGTCGACACATGTACAACGAGATACCAAATGCGAATACAAATCGATAAGGTCCCATTAAATGTACTGAAGAATGTACAAGTCTTTTATATTTGCGAGCACTGTGGAAAGATATATTGGGATGGTTCGCATTTAGAGCGAGCTCTTAATGGTGTTATCAAAGATTTAATCGTTAAACAGTAAGTATTAATTTTAAATGTGATATAGAAGAGAATCTCGAAGACTCCTGCTCAAAGGATCAGGGTAAAGGACAGAAAAAAATCAAAATCATCCGTAGTTCGAAAAACTTCGAGTAATGATTGTTCCTAGAATTTACGAGCCACCAATATCGAGTATGTGATATTGCCACGCTTAAGCAAGCGCTACACACATTTGATTGTAATATTGACGTAGATAAACATATATAAATATATATATATATATATATATTCTTTGATGATATATTGTTACTGTTCTTATATTTTTAATGTACAACATCATATATTTTACTGTTCTTTTTCTGTTCATTTAAATCTATATGATATAGTGAAATTACGCCATCAAGTAATATAAACTTGATCTGATAAAATTGATTGTTGTACATTACATTATAGTTATGATGCCATGGATTCTTTTCAGTTACTATAATATAAGTTAATATTATATAATATTATAATCGCCATTGTCATTAACTGTCAACTTATTAGCATAGATTGTTAAATAATTAGAAAGTTTATTAGATTTCTGTCATTTTTTTAAATCGATAAGTAACAAGAGATTTAAGGTGCAGATGCAGATTATTGATTGATGAGGACCACAAACACAAGCATCGCATTGTGAGATGTAATTTCTGATACATGACTGCATAATTGAGATTGCGTAATATTCCCCTCCATATAAGAGTGAATCAAATGCATATATGCCAAGTACTCAATGTATCAACTTTGTTGCATATTTGTAATTTCTCGCAACTATCTTTATAATAAAAAAAATAACTACCTTTGTAACAAAAAAGCAAAAATGCCCAAAGAGTACAAGAAGACATTACTCTGATTTTTTAAATATATATTTTAATTATTCATATAACAAATATATTTACATAGAAAAATACGCGTATCTATTTTTTATTGAAAAAAAGTATAACTGACACATTCTAGATTTTTTAAATCTAAATTTCATATGTTTTCCACAGGCTGCGCGTTTTAGCAAATTGTGTGTTTCTACTTAAATGTCAAAATAAATATAATTCTTCCATTCGTGTATAATTTTGTTTATTCTTACTCCCATCCAAGTGAGTACTAATGAATGATGATACACAGATTGAAAATATGTGGTAGTATATATGTATATATTGATAAAACAATTTTACAAATGTTTCAAATAATTTATGAAAAAAAATTAATCTCTTTGTATTGACATTTTATCATCATTATTATCGTTCCTTTATACAGTATAAATATCTACAAAAAACACTTAATATATCATTTTACTACATCGTTGCTCTATCTGTCGATGGGGATTCTCTAGCTGGACCAGATTTTTCAAATTCTGCTGGTTCTACAAGTCGTTTCTTCCCAAACGGTGGCGGTCCAATTAATTTTTCCACATCATCGTATGTTAATGTTTCCTTTTCCAATAAAGCTTCCGCGAGCTGGTGCAAATATTTTATACGTGTAAAGTAATATATACGATATGAAAATCTAAGTTATACCTACATACATATACACAATTTTAAAAACATATGATAAAGTATACGTACTTTATCTAATTTATCTTTATTATTCTGAAGTAATCGCCGAGTTTGATCATATGCATTTCCTATTATTCTCCTCACTTCTGCATCCATTAGATTCGCCAATTTCTTACTATATGGTTTCTTATTTTTCTAAAAAAGGATAAAAATTATATACATGTCACTCTTAAACGCGACGAATGGTTTGCAAAATTATTCTTGTTTTATACATACTGGATCAGTATACTCTTCGTTGAAAGAAACTAAACCCACGGCCGAACTCATTCCAAATTGTTGGACCTGAAGGTACGCCGTCTTCGTCACTTTTTTCAAGTCGTTTTCAGCGCCTGTCGAGATCTTATCGAACGTTATGTATTCCGCTACTCTACCGCCCAGCATCATACACATTCGTTCAAAGAGTTCCTCTTCGCTGTGAAGTTTCTGATCGGATTGAGTATATTGTGCAAATCCCAGACTCAGATTAGTCCGTGGTACTATCGTCACTTTGAGCAACGCATCTGTGTGTTCCAGCAACCAGCCCACTAACGCGTGGCCAGCTTCGTGATAGGCGACGACGCGTTTCGTGGATGGAGTCAATGGATTGTTTCTCTTCGTCAAGCCACCGATTGTTCTGTCGATTGCGTACATGAGATCACTGCTGTCGATCTGTTTCTTCTTGTCTCTTGCAGCATGTAATGCTGCTTCGTTGCAAACGTTAGCGATATCGGCGCCTGGAAATGTTAAACTCTCGTATAATTGACTGAGATAATAAAACATTACTTATTTATTAATGAATTTAATTTTACAATACCACTAAATCCGGGCGTAAGATAAGCCAAGTATCCCGAATATTTTGAAGGTTCGCTTCGTAAAGATATCTTCTTTAAATGAGTCTCGAAGATTTGTTGTCTCTCTTCTAAAGTAGGAAGGTCGATCAAAATGTGTCTATCGAATCTGCCGGGTCTCAGTAAGGCTTTATCCAATACATCCGCTCTATTTGTTGAAGCTAATATAATAACATCCTGCTTTGCTATCATTCCATCCATTTCTACTAAAAGCTGATTCAACGTTCGTTCAGATTCGCTGTTGGAGATTCCGAGCGAACTGTCGGAACGTTTTTTGCCAATTGCATCAATTTCGTCGATATATATGATACTCGGTGCTCTATGGAAAGTTTTATTAAAATGAACATTAATATTATTAAAATACTAATATATAAAAACAGAGTGTCAAACCTCTTTTTCGCCTCTTTGAACAGATCTCTAACTCGAGCAGCACCCAAACCACCAAAGACTTCAATAAATTCAGAACCGTTCATGGATAAGAAAGGGACACTCGCTTCGGTTGCCACAGCTTTAGCCAGCAACGTTTTACCGCAACCAGGAGGCCCCAAAAGCAAAGCGCCTGAAAATGCAATCACACAAGTCCGTTTTTATAATATAAACTGTTGTGACCGTGACGGTCATGAAATGTGGGGTACCATTGTGAGGTGGGAACCTTGGATATAGCCATAGGGATGTTATTATAACTTGGAGCTATTTGTAATTTTTTATAGTTTTTATTAGCTTCAATTGTATAGTTTCATTAATACTATCTTTTTCTTTTCAATTTCCTTCACACTTTCCTCATCTCGCTGGTGCACTTATACAGGGTGTCCCGAAAGTCATAATCAATTTTTTAAAGACAGATTCCTGGGATCATCTGAAGACGATTTTTCCTCAACGAAAATGTCGACACTAATAATTTTCGAATTATAAGTGATTGGAAATAAGGGGTTTTTCGTAAACTAAGCTTTGTAGAAATAAAATATTAACAAAACCACATTCTTCGATTAATTTTAAATAGAGTTTACTTTAGAGAGTTTACTTTAGTTGAATTTTAATTTAAAGCTTAATTGCAAAGATATATGATGACAAAAATCGGGAACATGCAAAAAATGATGGCCTTCATCGACATTTTCACTGAGGAAAAATCGTCTCCAAATGATCCCAGGAAGCTGTCTTTGAAAGATTGATTAAGAGTTTTGGGACACCCTGTATTGCCGTATGGCCCGCACTTAGGCATTTAGTATTCGACTGTCCGCCGCGGACTCGCGGTGGACGGTTTTTAACACCTCATTTAAAGGGTGTTTTGGAAAGCATCGCCTAGCAACATGACCATATATGATCATGGAGGCTTCTAAGGCCGGAATTCATAGTCCGATCTTATATTTATTGTCTTAAGCTCTCATTCCTCCAATCAATAGCTGCATTGTAGCTATTTAATTGGTTGAATGAGTTCTTAGGATGATCTTAAATGTAAGACCGGACTATGAATACCGGCCTATGCCAGCGAAGGAGGTTCAAGGTCGAATCCCTTCGTTGGCATTTTGCGTTTCCGACAAACTCGCGCGTGGTTCGCTGAAGTAGCGGTTTAACGCGGTTCGCAAACATTCTATGGCATTAATATTAACAGTAAAATAAAATAAGTATTATAAATAAGTTATAGTCTTTCGGACTAGAACAAAACTTTTATAGTATAAATATTGAAAATTTTCTATATACATATTTAAAGCATACCTTGTGGAACTTTAGCGCCAAGTGTTTTGTAACGTTCTGGATGTTTGAGATAATCGACAAATTCCATCACTTCTATCTTAGCTTCCTTCAATCCTGCTACATCCGCAAAATGTACACCTTTACCCTTTCCCATTAACGGTTCGACTAACGTGAATTTTGCTTGTTTCATCTGCGAGATAAACTCGAAGGGTTTAATAGAGAAACGTTTTCTCAGTACACTGAAGATACCGATAGCTATCAGCGCGATAAGCAAGAATCTCACTACATTCGCTATGTATTCCATTTTCCTTTCGTAGATCACTTGTACTCCTTGGCCTAAAACATTTCAAGTATATCGTAAAAGATGCAATTTCTCTCCAATGTTTTATTATCACATTACAGATAATTTTACTTACCAGCCTTAATGCCAAGATTTTTTTCTACCTTTCTCAACTTTTCTTCGAAATTTTCAATGCTTGGAACAGCCATATGATACCTTTTGTACGGACTCCTTCTTCCCTTGATAATGGCACCATCGTGCACCACAATTATAACATGATCGATACTGGGATTCACAATAATCGCCTCGACTTCTCCTTTGCTCAGCATGTGATACACAAATTCATTCCAGGAAATGGAAGCTGCAGGCTGTTCACAAACATTGCTCACAACAAGTAGTAATATCTTATATCTTCAACTTGTAACGATTTCTAGGATAAACAGCAATCAATGAAAAACTCACTTCTATATTTGATGTGTCTATCTTTTGCCTTAATGCGATTAACAAAGCATACAACAGTATGAACCACATAGAGAGTTTACGAAGAAACAACCTCATCTCTTCGTTTTTATCAGGTTCCTTGTCTGGTTTCTCAGAACCCGGCTCCTTATTTGAAGACTGCTTGTTGGACTTACTACATGTTGTATTAAAATATCTGACATTATCGATTCTCGGGGAGAATAAAGTAAACTTGCTGCCGCGCAAAAATGCAGTCTGCACGGCGTGAAATTCCTTACGTATCTTCTTGTAGGCCTAAAAATAAATACTTTCGTTACTCCTCGCGAAATATTCACCACTTAATTCGTCAATACCAAGGTATCACATGTAGAGCGACATATTATCAATTAAAAATTATAGTCGGTTAAAATAAATACGAAACGTAAGTAGGAGTCGAGATGTCATAAGGTGTCATAAGATGTCATAAGATGTCATAAATCGGTGGATACTTGCATGATAAGACACTGGGAGAGATAACCTGTGCGCGCAACTCGAGCGATCGACGTCGAGCAACGTCTTTTTCCTCGGGAGATAAACATTTTTCGATGGGAAATTGAATATTCGGCTGGGCAATACATAGTGTCGCTTCGAACACTTGGTCAGACTCTGCATAATTTTAGATTTCAAGAATAAAATCGCAGATGACAGACTCGCGCATCGTAGACGATTCGCGCGTGTGCGAATCATATGTTCGCGATCACATATGATTTCGCACGAAACTATGGAACGTATAGTGCGCCTCTCCTGTCACTTGAATCGGCAAAAATCACCGAAACCAGAGTGCCTCGTTGCGATTGACCACAGCCAATCATATCGACCGGTGCCTAGGGTAACTAGCGACGATTGACCAATCAGAGAGTCCTATTTTGAATTGACCAATTGGCGACGTGGTCAATCGGGTGTCGCCCAATGAGACGGCCAATGCCCGGAACCTCCTGATTGGTCGGTCTAGTGAGAAGTCCGAGAACCGGTGAAGGTCCGAGAACCGGGAGGCTCCCGTCTAGGTACGCATAATTCAATGGCTGACACGCAACGACCAGATGGCAGCGCAGAGGCGGTCCGGAAAAGAGATGTATGGTAGTTTTCCCCACCCCCCGACCCCGAAGTCGCCATCAAACTCACGGAAATCTGCTCGAGGTACTCGATGAAATTCGGGTGAGTTATTCTGTTAATAATTTGTCCTCGGACACGTCCGAGCCTGCGACCCGGTTACTTGACCCGGGGACGAGCGCGTCCAGTAGACTTCCGCGAGGATCATCGTCCGACCGGTCGTTAACGAATGACAGTTTTGCGGTTACACCGTGGGACCGAGAGCTTGACACTCTTTTCCGTGATATTGAAGAAGAAGAAATATGCGCGCTGACAGTCTGCGTAAATTCGACGATAATTCGCGCGCGAATTCGCACGTTCATCTCCTCCTGCCCTCGGCTCGCTTGCCTCGTTTCCATTCTTGCAATTGGTATTTACCCCGAGTACTCCGGTCAAATATCGCAATTTAATTGGTACGATGAATTAGGATAATCTTTCAGCGATCTGTTGAAATTTTGTGTTTTTTTATATGTTTTGTTTACATACTTTGTTCTTTGTCCTACAGGTATTTTAGCATCATCATCGCCCCATACGATGCCTGTCTTGCATGATAGACGGCAGATGCCTCGAAGCGACGTTTTCAAACCGATTTCTACCGCCTGATCGAAGGATCATGATAGAGTAGCACCTTTTGAACCGAGCCACTGTTTAAAGGCACTGTCAAAATGAATGTCAATGCTGCTGCTGAGCTGTTCTATCTACTTGAATCCAATAAACTTGGAGAGGTCGAGGAGGTCAAGAAAGTATTTCACGATCATTTCTTATGCAGTGAGTAATATATGTATATTTTATTGCATTAGAATAATTATAGTAGTTACCTAACTTTTTCTAATCATGTCTTGTATTATATTTGCAGCAAAGGACAATTGGTTGGTAAATGGATTATTCGATTATTATCTCTCCACAAATTCCTTGAGGACTGCCGAAGTATTAGCGGGAGTTCGAGATCCACACGACAAACATCTGTTGGATCGTTTGTCGGACGTCCTTTCAAAACCCGGCAATAGCAGGCAGAGAATACAGGCGCTCACATTGCTCGGACATATAGCCAGACGTCAACCTACTTGGTTGTACAAGCTAGCCAATCATGCTTTATTCAGAGATCTACTTAAATTACTTAAGGTAAAATATTTTTTCTCTTTCTTTTATCAGTGCATATAATTATATTATATGTATACACATTAATTTTTTTTCATTAATTTGTCAACTTCACACGCACATTTAGTTATTGTTTTAGGATTATGAGTCATTTTTTCAAATATATATAATTTACTTATGATTAATTTATACCGTTTAATGTATGTTATTACACTTATATTTATATTATATTTATAATATATTTATAACTGTTTTATATACTAATGATTATTTATCATATGATTCTTAATGCATCATAGTCAAAATTCTTACATATTGAATAATATGATATTTAATCTGAAGATCTACTCTAATTTTATAAATATTAAAAGGAATTAAATAGATGGGTAGTTTTGCAAAATTATATTTTTTAAGGTGGAGGCAGATATATTACCACTTATGAGTGCCCTACTTTTGTTAGTAATGTTGTTACCAATGTTACCTGCTGCCTTAGGGCCATATCTATCAGAAATATTCGAGGTATTCGGCCGTTTGGCCTCTTATTATCATTATCAGTCGTCTTTACTTTCCTCTTCTACCCCTTTTACTTCGACCACTACTGTACCAAATGTCATCGACAAGGACCATTTGTACCTCATACATTTGCAGGTGAATATTTAACGATCGCTTTTAAGTAAGATAGAGAAACTAACAAAATTTTACCATCCCATCATTATAGGTAGGATTATACAGCTTATTTCATAGACTGTATGCAATGTATCCTTGCAATTTTATATCATACCTGAAGCAACAGTACATACAACGCGATCAAATGGCTACATTTACTCATACTATTAGACCTATGTTGGATTCCGTGCGTATGCATCCTTTGCTTGTTACAGCATCCAAGGATGCAGAAATTTCAGCCACTAGGTATATATGTTTGCTACATATGAGAAATAATATATCTTATGATACACAATGTGTCTGAGTACTTTCGTTTTTTTTTTTTTTTCAATTTAATAGGTGGAAAAAGATGGAACATCACGATATCGTAATAGAATGTGGTCGTTTTACATTAGACAAATGTCGGGAAGAAATTTTAAGCGTAGTTAATTCTCGATATACTCCACCTCTAGGTCAGCATTTATCATCTTCATATCTAAAAACGCATACAAAAAGCTATGTTTTATACTTATGTATCTATTTATCTATGCAGATCAATCTTCCATTACTTGCGCGCCAATAAACATCTGTGGAGGAGCAACTGTGGAGATAAATAATGGGGAAGATGATACATTCTGGTCACCTAGCATGGCGGTGCCACCGCATAGCCCGCCGTTTCAAAATACATCCCACGAGCCACGCTCTGCCCCGGCAACGCCTAATAATAATAGAAGTGGTACTTCACCGCCCGAGGCTGCTATTGAAGCTACTCCTGAAACGACTCCTGTTAAGGTATATAAAAATAATCTTGTTATACACATGTTCTCGAAGGGAAAGAGAGAAATATTTATTACATTTTATACAGGATATACGAAAATTAACGAGGCAAACGCCTTTGGGATCTAGCACAGTGCGTGCTCTAAACGTTGCATTGAGCAACAGTGCATCTTCTCGACCATCAACGCCTACTCCGATAAATTCCTTGTCCATTAGTGCAATGAGAAGCATGGATATTACAGGAAATACACATGGATTTCTATCACATAGACTAAGTAAGATTATGATCGATAGACAAAATGTTCTTCAACAGCCACAAAAATTAATGAGTAATAGCGAAGAAAATGGAAGGCTCTTAGAAATGGCGATAAGTCAAAATGGGAAGAATGATTCTTGGCAAGAAGATCAAGAGGTTTAATTCTAATTTATCTGATGGATTTTTTATATGAAAAAAATATAGAAATCATATTATATATAATTTTATAATATAGGTACTGGAGATAGTTAGTTCACATGGAAATGGAACAATTGAAATGTCAAAATACGTCGAATTGCAGTCCGAAGCACGAAATGAGAAAAATACAGTTAATGCTCTAGCTGATTCGATATCACAAAAAATTTATAAACTTCGATTATATTCTCAACGTCATTTTTCGTCGGAGGACTCAAATTCAAATGTAACGCACAAGGTGGGAAAAGAATTCGAAAAATTTTCTCAAAAATCACCGCATATAACTGCTTATATTGCAACAGTTATAATTGGTTGAAAAAAAAAGCTTATGTTCTCTCTCGCAGATTCGACACTCTAAATCTTGTCCAGATATGGAAATGCAAAAAAGATATAATAGTGAAGACGTAATAGATCAAACCAAATTAATAGGAACGATGAAACGCGAAGATGCTAGTATTCAAACATGTGATTTATTTCCATACGAACATCTGTTTTTGGGAGTGTTAGATCAGAATAGCCAAAATTTTAGCCAAGAAAGCTCCGACTCAAGACTATCACCAATCAGCATGCTTGATCAGTATATAGAGACTTGTACAAGAGTGAATACCTTCTCTAGCAAAATGAGTAAATATAAAATAACATATATATAACATGTACGGATGAAAATATTTCGATAAACAAACTGAAACACCAGCTTTTTTACAGAAACAAATGGTACCAAGCAGAAGCAAAAAAAGAAAGGGGACGAAGATGCAGAAGAAGATGGAGGAGACGATGATGGTATAGATCCAACTTGCGCTAATCATTTACTTCAATTAATGCAGATGCAACTGCAGTTTGAAAGGCAAAGACGAGAAGTCCATGCTGAACGTAATCGACGTTTGCTCGGTAAATCGAGGGACTTGCGAGCTTCTGAAGAGCATAATCTTGCTTTGGTCCGTTCATAATTCCTTTCGTACGATAATGTTTATTAAATTTTTTGCATACGACTGTTAGTAAATTATTTGTCTCCTGCAGACTGATCGGTTAAAAATGATGGAAAGAGAAGTGGAAGCATTAAAGACGCAACTGGAACATAATAAAAAGGAAGCACTTCAAGCTGAGGAACAATATAAAGAAACTATGCATCATTGGCAAACTAAAGTATGATTTTTAAAAATATATCTATTTAATTTTCTTTGTACTGAGAAAAATTATACAAGATTGGAAGACTAATCATCTTTATAATATGTACAGTGTATTGAGGAACAACGACAAAGTCATGCATTCAAAGAACGTTTAGAGTGTCTCGAATTGGAATTGAAAAGCGAACAAAGAAAGGCGACTGAAATGCAGCAACAACTTCGTTCTACTGAGGCGGAATTATTCAATGCGGGACATCAATTAAAAGCAGCGTTGAAAGCTGCAGATCGTGGTAAAGAACTGGAACGCATTGTGGATATTATGCAGAAGAAATTCGTGCTTCTAGGAGAGGTATATAGTTTCTACAAATTAAATTGATTAAATTAAAACTTTTAGCAAAATATGAATTAGTTGTTGAAAATGTGAATTAATTGTTGAAATCGAATTATCTGTAAAAAACGATATTATACATAATTGTGGGCACATTTCTCTTACCTTTGTACACAGGCACAATTAAGATTTGAAGAAAATACAAGTACTCTTTCACCGACGATTAAACAAGAAGCGACGCAGGTTCAGAAATCATATACGGAAGAATTAAACAGTAAGTGTTTGAATTTGCAGATTGAAAAGAATTGAAACTAATACTTTCTGTAAAAGAGATACAAATTATACATATATTATCGAAATATTTTTGTAGATATTCGACGACAATTGGAATCGCGAACGTCGCATTTGGAAGCATTAAAGGCACGTTTAAGTGAGTTAGAAAATAAAGAAGCACGGAAGGAGACACAATTGGTGGATTTGCAACGACTCTTACAAGAAACAAAGGAGCAACACGCGTCTGAATTGGAAGCTATCGAATCAAAGTATCGAGCGCAAGTAGAGATTAATCTATTACTGGAGGGTCGTATACTTGAACTTCATGGCAAATTGGAAACTGCTACATGTTCCAATACTTCGCCCATGGCAAATCCCGCTTCCTCAGCCTCGCCTAAAGAACGATCACCACCTTTATCAACCAGTTTGGCCTCGTCCAGCGAGGGCAGCCTCGCTTTCATCCATCCAGGCGGCGGAATCATCATGAACGATTGTTGCGAGACCGCGACTGGTGAAATCTCCAATTTGCAAGCTATGATAGAACCCTCGAGTAGCGGTCAAGCCACTTCGCCGTCGCGTCCTCTTACTCAACGATTATCGATGCCGAAACAAGATTAAAATGCCTCTGGAAAGCATAAAGTATCGTTTCATATATCGTCAGTAAATGATATACGCAAGATTCACATAAAGATTATACATGCGGAATACTCCGCGACTTACTTGGAATACGTCGCGATACATATTCGTGTGCGAACAGTACGAGAAAAGTTATTTGTAGCTTTTTATCGATAGAATTTAGGCGAGATTCGAAAGAAAGTTGCTAATCGACTGATTGCGATCAAACAGGCACGCTCTATAACAATTTGTTATTCAGTATATCTCTGGAAAATGGATTCATAATGAAAATAAATGGTTGAAATATTTTGCTGACCAATTTTGATGATTTTAATCTTTCTCTCTCGATTGTATTATGCAAAAGAATCTTTCCTTGTAGAAAATTTCCCTTTTACTGTCTTCGCTCCTTTCATTGACTATTTCTATTAAAGAGAGAGAAAGTCTGCAGTGTTATATATAAATTCTTCTATTGACTATTATCTCGGATAGAGATTGGAAATAATTTTGAAATAATAGCATTAAAATTATCGATCGTAATTCAAAATATTAGAATATTTATCATATGATATGCGTTATTAATTTATCCTGTTCCATATATACACATAACTATCAACTTGTGATATTTTTCTCGGCGAAATTTCAAGTTGTTATTTTTCGTCGTTATCATCGCGCGTGAAAATACAAAGGTAAATAAATGAAAAACATAATCTAGAAAAATATATATTACAATGACATTATCATATGTGTGCGCAATATAATTTATACTTATGATATAATACTGAATGATTAAAAAAATTTTTGTAGATATAAAAAGATGAAATACGATGAGACAAATATTTCTTTCAGTATGCAATGCAGTGAAAGATTAACTTTTCTCAGTCAATAATATTTTCTTTGCTCTGTGTAATAATATTTTCGCTTCATACAAATTGTTCTTAATAGGTTTGCAACTCTTGACTTATTGTCATAAGAATAGCATCGTCTGGATTAGCATAATTTGCTAAATCTGAAAAAGAAGGAAAATAAGAAAAACATGAAATATCAAGAGGAAAATGACTATGATAAATATTAATTAAAGTGCAAATTTTTTAAACACATGCAAGCTATCCCAAAATTTGCAGTTTTTGTGACAGATTGTTTAGTGTATCTTGTAATTTTTTAAATATTCATGAATATATGTTTAATTATGAATCTTGAACAAAAAAATATGATATGTTTAATTATGAATCTTGAACTAAAATAATATCCTTATTTACTATACTTCGTTATACATCCACATAATCGTTACTCACGATTATGGCCTCGATATAATGGATTGGCCTTCAATTTCCTCAATAAGAGTTCCAACAACCAAAATATACTCAACCATGCAAGCGCACCTACTGAAAACGTTCTCAATAGTATAACACCTCCAAATGTGTCTATCATCCAACCACATATGAAGCTACCGCTTGCAACTCCTAAAATGAATAAAGAATTTATGCTAAAACATAAAAAAAAAAATAGATAAATGATTTTATGCAATATTAAGCTAATGACTCACCAATTCCTTCGAAGATGGCACCGACAAAGCCTTGCATAGTGGCTTTGGTACCAGATGGTGTCACTTTGTCACCGTAGGATACCATTGTTGGCCAACACAGACCAAATGAGGGTCCATGGAGTAATTCAAGAATTAAAAACAGCCAAGGATTTAATACAACGCTATATGCCATAAATCTGCGACATCGTTATTTTTATCATAACAGAATGTACAAATAATAAATTAGATGTAACAAGATGTAAACATTTTTAATTATTCACCTGATTGCGTAAATGAGTAAGACGAGACTCATGACGTTAATGTGGCCGAGTTTCTTCAATATGCTACCCGATAGAAAGTTGAAGGGTAATTCTCCTAAGAAACACTGAACGCCAGTCATGAGACCTTGCAGAGTCTTAATCCATGCAACGTGAGAATTTGTCGCTAAATCTTCGCTATACCAAAACAGAAAGTTCCAAATAACTGCTGTGCACATCCCAGCGCCTATGCACCACCAGGCAAATACTAATACTCTGCCTTCTGTGACAACACTCGATAGTTCCCGAAATAGTGAAGGTTCATCTGTAGAGCACTCTGGATTTTTCTGTAATGATACTGCTTTCTCCCATTACTTGCTAATTTCGGATTTTTTTTTGATAAATAAGAAGTATACCAAACTTCTGCACGATCTTAATTCTAGTTCGTCGTATGTGTGTGTAATATACATATTTAGGAATTGTTTTGTACCTTTTTCAATGTCACAGCTACTATAATGATATCAGCGATCATAGCTACCAGCATAATGTAAAATATACAAGTATAATCTTTTCCATACTGTCCTTCGCTCAAAAGATCCACCAGCCAGCCTGCACTTATGCCAAATATACCGAAACCGATGCTGCCCCACATCTTCTGTTTCCCATAATCGTTTCTTCTCTCGTAACCTGAAGTTCATGATATAAGAAAATGGCTATTTTACAAAATCGATGTAATTTATGCAACGTTGAGCGCTATGAGCACAAACCAAGAAGATCGAAACAAATAGCATCTGCTATGCTAACTACGACGGCCATTCCGATCCAGCTTATTATAGCTGCCCACAAGAACAGATGGAATTGATACGTGGATTGTCTTGTATCAGCTTTCGAATCTTTGGTCTCTAGTAAGAGATGATTAAATGCACTGCTGTTATGACAAGTTGCTGTGCACTTGGTTCTCAGTTGGTCCCCACATATTGGCATGTGTGCGTCACCATAAACATCCATAAACTCATGCACGTTTACATCTACGCAATTATCTGTCTGTAAATTATTTTTTTTAACAAAACATTAATGTCATTTCTCCAATGGGTAAAATATTCTATAGCAAGTTTCTCTTACAATAAAGTCTTTAAATATATCAAATTGTGCACTAAATTTGAATTTGCTGTTCATAGAGACATTCTTGCCAGATAACTCTAAATAACCATGAGGTGCTCTCTCGCAGGATAACTATAAAAAAAAATGATTTAACACTTTTGTTACATATCTCGTATGAAAGAACAATACGTGTAATAAAGAATTATATTAAATTCATACACACCTGACAAACTAAATCACTATGAATATTTTCCATTATGGCACTTAACGCTTTATGTGTAAATTGTTTTTGTGGACAAATCTTTAGAAATGGTATATTTTTGTTACATATAAGAGTAATGCTCGCACTTCTGTCTATTTCAGGAATAAAATAAATAGAGAAGAAGGCTATCGTTAATATAGCTTGGAATATCAAAAAGAAAGTCTTATGCAGTTTGAACTTGTCAGCTAAACTACCAAACAACGGCTTCGCAATTAGACCAGAAATCGGTAATACTGTATACATTGTGCCAACTAATGTTCCAGAGAAGCCCAATTGCTTTCCAATTGTTGGCAAAAATTGTACCATTGGTGCTGTCGCTGCAAATAAACAGCATCAATTAATACAAAATGCAAGAGACATTTATATAAATGTAGCGATCAAAAAAATAGAGCTTCAATTCAACTCACCAGCATTGAAGAGAAAATAATGTGACTTTATAGGCACCAACTCCTTATTGACGTTTTCCAACATGCTGCCGTATTAATCAATGAAATCCTTGATTTATGCGTTATTTTTTTATCTGTAATAAGGTGAAACAAGTTTACAACGCTTTGTGTATTTGAAATTATCAGTCTACGAGATAAATTTGCTTGGTCATGTAAAAAAATCCTCGCTTTTATCTATGTTTTCAGGACTAGCACGATAATTAATCTCTACCTGAGAGACTTTTTTACAGCACATATGCAGTCTGTATTGAAACGCCTAGAAACGTGAAAATTACGTATAACTCAAGCATGCTCGAGATGGAACGGTCACTTATCGATGAACGATCCTCTCGATTCGCGCGAAAGATAAAAAGCAACCATTGATCCGCGAGAAGCAAATTTTACCTCGGATGTGACGGGGTTGGCTTTTGACTAGTCGAAGAGACTTGGCAAATTGGATTAATCCAAGCTAATAAAGCGCGTTAATAAAAAACACCATCTCACGCGCGATGATGCTCAGCCAAAATCCTACTCGCACTTTATTCACCAACCCGTTCACCGTCACACGAGATTCGAGATCTTCGTTATCTGCTGCGTGTACTTTGCAATATTGTATGAATCACGAAGCAGATAAGAAGATATAGGATAGGTACGTCGACGACGAGCTCCTTTCCCGGTTTTATCGGTTCGATTACGCAATTTTATCTACAGAGTCGGATTATATATCCTATCGATTATATCAATCGGTTGATGAACCTTGCACGTCTGCAAAAATTTATACTGCTGATTAGGGGCATATTTGAACGGAGTACAACTTGCGACAAGTCCCTCCGCATCCATCGCACATCGCATCTTCACTGCAGATTCTTCTTCAATTACGTGTCGAATTACGCGCTGTCAGCTGTATTACGTATCTATCATAGGCTGGCCGTTCCGCCTACTATACGTTATTAGTTGCATTTAGGTACTTAGTTGGACCTGCTAATCATTTAATTATCCGATCAAGAATAGAAAGAATAGAATAAACGTGTGTGGGAATTAGGTTTGAGAATTAGAAACATGCAAAAAAAATATGTATATTTATTACCTTGCAAATAAATGCACATAAATGGCGGGCATTTGAGGCATTTGAAATGAAGCAGATGCTTGAAAATGTAATCAAAATAAAATTAACAAAGCAACAAAAATCTTTTTTAAATGATACTTTTAATAATCTTTTTCAGAATTTTTTTTCTTATTTCTATTTGAATATTTGCACTTATTTCAAACATAGAGAAAATATAAAAAAATAAAAAAAATAAAAAAAAAATTTTTCAATGTTTTATTTGAAATGTCAATTGTTTTGAAAAAAAATATATATAATATAATAATAATAATATATATCTTTAATGTTCATATGTATATATGAATATTAAAGAAATATATATACATAAGAAATACAAAATATAAATGTATACATAGATATATCATTGATAAAATAGTAAATAAAAATAATTCGTCGCTATTTAATGAAAAAAAAAAAAAATTATATAGAATATTTCCTCATATATATTACATATATATTAAGAATACGATTGTTACCCTCTATCGTTACTCTTTTATCACAGAATTGATTTTTACGATATTTTGTAACAAACTGTTTTAATTTGTGTCATCGATACATTTACAATATACATTTACAATATATATGTATATATTTATAAGTTTCAATATACCGCTTCTTTTCCTGACGACATTCCGCGTTGACGCGCGGCTCGTATTCGTAAAGATGAGTTAATGAATGTATCATGATAATTAGCGGCGTGTGTATATTTTGTCTTTGTGTTTTCGCGCTTGTACACACATACATACATACATATATATATATATATATATATATATATATATATATTTCGGTAATCTCGTTATATACTATCGTATATGCGTCTCCTTTTTCAACATCCTTGTCTCTTATCGCGATCGGATCCGTCCCAGATCTTGCAGTTCTCCCTTTACATGGAGCATATTTTCTATGCGAGATATGTGTTTTATATATACAAAGAAAGCCTAATTCTTACATACTAGAGCCTTACAATGTTAAGTAATCTACATAACATACACCAGCAACAGAGTTCGCTCGATATTTATTATACACAAAAATTCTCTTCGGTTTCGCAAAAATGTCCCGCGCTCTTCTATACGCTTCCTAAGATCGACAATTAATCTATAAGTCGGATTGAATCGAGAATCAACGCAAAATCGACAGCTAGATGACACTCAGCGAATCATGGACCCGAACCTCGGAGCTACAAGGGTTTTGTCTGTCACTAATTAATCTGAATAATTCCGTTTTTTTTTTTCAACACACACACACATATCGACAAGACATACATTCGTTCGCGCGTGCGTTTGTCAACATGAGAAGTAATGTTGGATAAAATGCATTTGCATACGAATACAGTAAGTATTTATACATACATAGAGAGAATTTTTTTCCCTTAAAATTTACTCTAAACATTATGGTAATCGCGGGACAACGTGGCATTTTAAAGTATTTTATATAATTTTTATTTATTATAATATATATAAATTATATATATATATATATATATATATATATATATATAATATATATGTAAATATAATAAACTTTTATTATAATATATAATAAAATATTAAATACAAAATTAAATTTGATTACAAACTATTTTGTAAACTTAATAATTTATTAATAATTAAATGAATTTTTAAAAAGAGATAAAGTTTTACTTTATTAAAGGAAATGCAATAATAGAAAGAGTATTAAATAATGGAAATATAAAATAAAGAAAAATATAAAATATCAATTTTATAAATACAATATTATATTTTCTATTGATAATTGATAATATTAAAAAATTACTTAGTCTATATTTATAAAGAAATTCGTGTAATTTTTTACTATATGCAACTATCTATAATATTTACATAGCCAAGTAATGTCCCAAGATTACTAAAAACATGAGAAAATTTATAATAAAATTTTAAAATATTAAAATTTAAGAAAAAAATTTTCTCCGTGTATATATATATATATATATATATATATATATATATATATATATATATATATATTACTCTTGTTATTCCAAATATATTTTATCCAACATTTTGCACGGAGGAACTTTTGATAGACATATGATCGACATACTCTCGACGTTAGCGGTTTTAACTTAATTAGAGCTATTAAACCTGTCGGTCTCACTTTAGAAAACTATCAAAAATTCCTATATCGAAAGTAGACTTGTCCCTTATGTACAGATTATTTTCTTTTTATATCAGATAGAAGCTAGACTTCTTTTCGAACGGTGTAAAAATGTCAAAGGTACATTCGAATTAGTCGGTTATTTGTAAAAAAGGAAGCTACAGTCAAAGAAATTTACAAACATCTATTTATCTAGCTTCGTAAAGAGTCTTGCGCCGTCAATTGCGTAAAAAACAATAAAAAAGACAAGTCGCGAGGAGGATGTCCCTTGTAAATGAAAAAAAAAATGAAAAAAATGAAACGAAGGGGCTCATACTGCTCTCTCGCGTGCTCGCCAAGAGACTTTCAATTAACGATCATCACGACGATAGATTTGTTTCAAACAATTCCTCGTCCTTTGATAACATCGCCAGGTTACATTCCGAGGTCCATCCCACCAGGAAGATTAATTTGTCATCATTATGAATCGATCTTCCAGCAATCTTAGCGGCTAAAGCCAGGATGGTCTGTGGTGATGCGGTGGAGGTGGTTGAAGAGTGTACAGCGAGTGGATGTACTGCTGATAGGCAGCTTGATCCATAAGATTGGGCCCGTGTGGAGTCATATAAGCGGAGACCGGCGAAACGTAGGATCTTTGAGCGGCGGCGGCGGCAGCGGCGGCCGAATGCAGAAACGGATGAGGCGGCGGATAGTTCCTGGGCGGCTGATTCCCGAGCTTGTTGCACGCCGTCGACTGACCCGAGGCATTCGACACGGTCGGCGGCACCACTTGCGGCTGCTGCTGCTGCTGTTGCTGCTGCTGCTGCTGTCGTAGAGCCATATTGTAATAGCTGGTCGGATTGCGAAACTCGTCCGTCAGGAAGGCGAACGCGGCCGCTGCGGTAGCATCCTTGTCGTAGGCGAAGGGCGCCGCGGCGGCTGCGCCACTGGTGGACGCGGCAAAGTTGAAGGCACTGCCGGCGGGTGGGACCGCGGCTGCTGTCTTCAGGGCGCCGATGGAATCGGCGGCCACGTACTGCGGGAAAGCGGCTATGCCCGCCGCCTGCTGCTGGTCGACGGCGGTCGTCGTGACGGCCGTAACAACGGCTGCGTTTTGCTGTTCCTGCTGCTGAGGATGCTTGCTCTTCCGGCTCCTCTTCGTCTTGGACGGCGTCGCGGTGGACGGCGTCATCGTGGCCGCGGGAGGCGCGGTCCGCGCGTCACCCTCGCCCCGTCCTCGCGATATCGCCAGAATACCCTGGCTGTTCTTCTGTGCCAGACTCTGCAGCAGATTCAGCTGCTCGAGCTCAGCCGCGCCAGTCGCGGCACCGCGACCGTAAGCAGCGAGGTGCTCCGGCTTCGTCGCTGGCGGCGGACGTGGGATGGTCAATAGTTGCTGTTGTTGCTGTTGGTCCTTGCGATCCGATGGTGTCCGACCTACGAGACCGAGGCTGAGTCGTGCGTACGCTGGATTAGCCGCCATGGAATCAGCCAGGCCGCCGACGAACGGTGTGCCATCGTATTGACTGACAGAAACTGAAACTTCCGATTGAGGTAGAGCCATTATTGGATCGAAATTCGGAAATTGTTCTTGATTCGAACGCGTCGTCGTGTTCTCCGACAAGCCGCGCGAACTGGACGCGTCACCGCCACCACTGGGTGGTGGTTCATACGCGCGTTTTTTCATTGGAGGCGGATTACCAGTGGGGCTGCCAGATGCCCCGCTAACGGGCTTGGAGCCGGCATCGTAATAATGTGGACTAGGATACACCGGGCGTGAATTCGATGGCGGTAGCGGGTAACCAGCTTGGAAACCACTCGGATAAAGTGATTCGTGGGCTGTCGTCAAGTTCTCCTGGAATGCCCGCAATTGATTCGGCGAAGGCGCGGGTAATTGTTCCCCGCTGTTGCTGGACGGTGCTGTTTTGCCAAGATAGCCACCGCGTGGCTGGATCTCCATAAAGCTGGCCCGCGATTCCTGCGGCGTTGATTGCTGCTGCGTCTGTTGCTGGCCGCCGCTGTGTCTCGAAACGGATCTCTGAAGCTCGACGTTAGAGAAACTATTCGGATACGTTGGCGGATATTGACTCGGTGATTGATAGATCTGATGATTCGTGGCATTTAGATTCAACGACGACTCCGATTGAACGGGAAAGCTCCTCTGTTGATCGCCCGTCACCGGCTTTTCGGTAGCGTTAGATTTTAGATATTCCGTCCGGTGATCGGATTCATTCACCGACGACGATATCGTAGGTGACTGTTGAACGTACGTGGGATTTTGCTTGAAATCCTGAGGATAACTTGCCGATGGCGCCGCGGCCGCGGGATACTCATCGGAGCTTTTTGGTTGAAGCTGAGAATAATTGGCCGTCTGTTGGGGAGAAGGCTGCGAGTAACTGGGCGATTGTTGCGATGGTGCAGCTGGATTGCACGCGGCCTTTCGTTGAGGTGAGGATTGCGGGTAATTTCGAGACTGTTGCGGCGACGGTTGCGAGTAATTCGTCGCCGTTGCTGGCCCGGGTGTTTGTTGCGGCGAAAGCTGCGAATAATTTGGCGGTGTCTGCGGCGAGTGTAGCGGATGCGAGTAGGTTGGCGGCTGTTGCGGGGACGACTGGTGTGAATAATTGGTCAGCGATTGTGGCGACGATTGCGAATACGGACTATTCTGCGGCGATGGCTCGGAAAACGGAGACGTTTGCGTCTGCGGAGAAGCGTGTTGAGCGAAAGTCTGCATTTGTTGCTGCTGGTGCGATGATTGCGAGTAGCTTCGATCTAATTGCGGAGGAGTCGGGTACGAAGAGTTTAATGGTTGCGAAGGTGACGGTTGCGAATAGCTGGCGGAGCGTGATTGCGGCGATGACTGAGGAGAAAAATTTGGCGGCTGAGGAGACGGCTGCGAGTAAGCATTGGGTGGTTGAGGCGAGGGCTGAGAATAGTTCGCGGGTGGTGGCTGCGGCGAAAGACGACCGTATCCAGCGGACTGTTGAGGGGAGGATTGCGCATATGGAGAGTGCTGCTGCTGCTGCTGTGGAGACGGTTGCGAGTAATTCGGCGGTGTTTGAGGAGAGGATTGCGAGTAAGGTGAATGCTGCTGCGGAGAAGCTTGCGCATAATTGGCAACCGGCTGAGGAGAAGGCTGAGAATAATTAGCGACTGCATTCTGCTGCGGAGATGGTTGCGAATAATTCGGCGTAGGTGGCTGTTGCGGAGAGGGTTGCGAGTAGTTTGACGGGGGTGTCCGAGCTGACGGTTGAGGATAAACTGGCTGCGGAGAGTGTTGCGGATAAACGGGAGACTGATTTTGATTGTTGGCAGGCAATTGTTGCGGAAAGCGTTGCGGCGACATTTGCGAATACGCTTCGTTGGGATTCTCCTGGGGCGAAGTTTTCTGATACGGCGATTGATACGGTGGTTGCGCGTGTACCTGAGGATAAACAGGCGATTGTTGTTCGTAGGACGACGGATAGGCTGGTGATAAAGGATGAGGATTTTGCGGAGATGGCGTCGGTGGCAATTGTGCGCTGTATCTCGGTGGCGTCGCGTAATAAGGACTGTTATACGGACTACTCCCGGTCGACAGTGCGTCTTGATAAAATCCCGCGCCTCTTATCGGCTCGGTTGGAGTCATCGCGGGTTGACATTGCGGAGAACGAGCAGCTCGTGGAATCGCCGGTGGTGATTCCTGAGAGAAACTAGACACCGATTCACTAACACTACTACCGCCAGTGCTCAGTCGTCGTTGCCTGCCGCAAAACACTTCCTGTAGATCGCCGTCTTTCTTCGTCGCCGCGGTCTCTTCCACTTCCTCGTCCTTCTTTTTTGATTTTGGCGCTCCAAAGGCTTTGAACCAGGCACTCAAATTCGGCGTAGCGGACTTTGGTTTCTGCGTCTCCTCCGTATTCTTAGGTTGAATCGTTTCTTTATCCTCCGCTGCACTTGATGTCTTCGTACCCTTAACGCCCAATGTTTTTTCCTCCTTAACATTAGACGGAGTAAGGGCGCGATCCTCCTCCTCGTCATCGTTTGAAAGATTGGGCGACGATACCAAACTTTTGCAGATCAAATGTATAGAGTCCACATTCTTCAACACGGTACCTAAACTGAGCTTTGGTTCCTCGTCAAGATCCTTACTCGATTGATCGTTATCATTAGCAGGGTGTGCCGCTGTATCATTGGTGTTGGCATTGGGTAAATTGAGCGGTTTCTTCAAAAGCAAATTTCCCTTACTCTTCCCGGGTTGCAAACGGTCGATCGTACGCTGTATCTTCTTCGGCCGACTCGGTCCATGAGGACCAAATATTTTGATGGAGCTCGGTCTCTTACGTGTAGTAACCTCTGCCTTCGATCCCGATCGACCGGACTCGATTGGAGGAATGTGAAGTACCGGAGAATCACTGCCGGAGGAAAATCCACAGAGTTTGGGCGCATCATCAAGCCATTTGTTGATATCCTGTCGCACGCAATAGCCGAATTAATATGCATATATAAATAAAAATATAAATAAAATTTGAAGAAACAAAGATGTAATTTACCTTTTATAACAAACGCTTTGGAATCAATATATAGTTATAATTATATATATATATTATTAATGAGAAATTATTAAAATATAAAAAAAAATTATTCTGTAGTAGATATAAATAAAATATTTTATAAAAAAACTTATTGACATATATCAAAGAATTATAAATATTTCTAAACTCTAAAATTACCTTCACATATGTTCACGAAAATTTTATCTTTTTCAAAATAACAATCTCAATATCTTATATCTATAATTTATCATCTTGTGTGCATATTTATCCGTATTTATTTTCCAATAAAAGATCTTAAAAGTGATATTTTTTCGTAAGCTTACATGAAGTGTTTTCTCTGTTGCTTGATTTAATGCTTGAATCGTAGAATTCTCTTCCATTCCTTTGGTATGTTTAGCATGAACAGCTTTCTTATTCTCATTGATTTCAGATTCTTTTTTAATTGTATCTGCATCCACAGTTTTATCTTCCTTCGTACCTTTTTTCGACTTTGATCGCTTTGCGTTATCTTTATCATTGTCGTGGAAAATATTACTGATTGAAGGCACTTTTATTGAATATGTGAGGGTGTTGCTTTTTACCGTTTTTCTCTGCTTCTCTTTTTCGTTTTTCAGTTTTTCCTCACGTCTTCTGTCGCTTATCTTATCCTTTAAACTATCAAGCGAATCCACGTCTTTATTACCGATTAACGTAGAGAGCTTTTTGGAGATGTGAGTATGCTTTGAGTCTAAAGTGCTTTCTAATCCTATATCTTTGGGATCCGTTTGTTTTTTTAACTCTCCGTTCTTTAATCCTTCATTCTTTTTTTGTTTTGATTTCTTATCTTTTTGCTTTGTATGAATCTTGTCAGATTTTTCATCAGCCTTTGTTGCAGTCTTTGAATTCGTCTTCTCTTTCTTACGATTCTTTTTCGTTTTGACATGGGAAGATTGTTTCTTATCTTCCTCAAATACTGCATCACTTTCTTCTATTTCAATCTTTTTTAATTTACCTTTCTTAGTGTTGTCTGTTAATATTCCAGTTTCCTCGAGTTCTTTCTTTTCTATTTTTCTACTTTTGCTTTTTACCGGAGATTCATAATCTTCCTCAAAGTCCTCTTTCCGCTTTTTGTTTTCTTTCGTTTCTTTCGCAGATAGTACAATTTCCGAGTCCTTTTTCGATTGATGTCGCTCCTTGTTCCCTTTCTTATTCGACATTTTCAATTCTTCTGATTCTTTAGATAGCTTTTTGGTTTTAAGTAAACTATTTACATCAACGTTTTTTCTTCTTTTCGACGCTACAATACTAGTCCCGGATATTGCACCTTCACTCTCTTGGTCTTCCTGTTCTTCCTCATCCTCATCTAATTCTTCTTCTCTTACTTTCTTACCCTTCTTCTTTCCTCTTTTCTTCTTTGCAACCTTAATACTTTTACTCCTCTTTTCATCTTCATCTACTTTCTCGTTATTCTTAGACTTTGTTCTACTCTCGGATTTATACGATTTAGACTTTTTGGTTGATTTCTTCGAACGTTTACGTGTGTTATGATGCGAAGAAGATAAATGACGTGGAGGATATGACGGAGACGTAGGTGTTCCGGCTAATGATCGAAGAGATGTAGGATCCTCGTCGCTGGATGTCTCCGATTCTAAATATCGACTCACGGCTTTATCAAAAGCTTCCTTAAGATTAATCGCCATTTCCGTATATTCTATAAAATATATATAATAATATAATAAAATATATATACAATATATACATTATTATATTTTTATGTTTTATCATATATATTAATATATATAATATATATTAGCATAATATATAAAAGTGTATTATCAAAATATTTATTTAATTAAAATGTAAAAGTCAATGTAAATTTATACAATTGTAAATAATGCAAGATTAAAATAGACATATAATGGACATATATAAATTTAAAGACAATTAGAAAAAAAAGAATTACAAACCGTTATCCGAGCCATTGTACTGTCTACAGTTGTCAACGATAAGCCGAAAATCATGTTTAAATTGACTTAAACTTTTGTACGAACCACCTTCCAATTTCTCCTCCATAGTGCTAAGATCCATAGGCTTACGTACGACACTGTAATATCTATAAACATTATTTATATAATATTGTTAATTTAAAACGCGCATTAGATTAAATATTATTTTTACTTTTAACATTTATATAATTCGAAATATATACCTTGGCGCATATTCTTCATCCACGGGATCGATAAATGGCCAGGCATCCACATGATCCTTAATACTTTCGAGAACTTTGTGCATTCCGACACAACGTTCCTCTTCTTCAATTCTGAACGAATAGCCATATTTGTATCCATAATTACAAGATACATAATTACCATCACTTTGAGTGCCAATACCCTTTTTCTTTTCTAAATCTTCTACCTCATCTCTAGTATGAATTACAATTTGGCCAACGGCTGATGCCAAAGAATTGTTTGTCTGCCGTCCTTTTTTCTGAATCGGTGGTGTCGGTAATGGCGGAGAAGTATCTTCCTTAATATAAGAAGATTTTGAACTTTGTTGTGTCCCCTTTTTAGTCCCTTTGTTTGTTTTAGTCTTAATCTTAGATCTGACCATGACTGCATCCATCTGCGTCGTAGGCTCTTGACTACGAAGCACTCGCGAACTATTACGTTGTAATAGTTTACGCCGTTGCTGCTTCTCTTTCAGCTCGAACAATTTTGGTATTTCTGGCATAAAGTCTTCGGATAATGTACGATAAAGTTTCTGCTCGGTATCGTATTCCTGGGAATATAAAGTAATAATTTTATTTTCAATTCTGCGATAAAAAATTGCATAACACACTTTTTTCTTTTTAAGACAAGAATAATCATTACCGAGTCACGAAATTTTTCAACTAATCTGCTCCAATCCTGTTGAGTAAAACACACAACTTGCCAAACGCTCTCTCGTCCCTTGTTTTCGCCGTCTATTAAACTAGCTTCCTCCTTCTCTTCCTCTTCCTCTTTCGCCACTCTGTTCCGTCGTTTCTTACGCTTTTTGTCCTTTGGCTTACTTTTCTGCTTGTGTGAGGCACTATTTGAACTATCAATGTAATCCTCCCGGTACAATCGAGTGCCGTAGAAGTACCAATAGGCAGAATTCTTACGATCATGTCCCAAAGGTTCGACTCGCAAACTATCCGAGTCCAAGTTACTTAACGATTGCTCCTGTTATTGATATTATATTATTAATTAATTACAATATTGCTCTCATATATATAAAAGTTCTCATACTAATTAAATACATACTACGTCTTCGGCGTCTAGCCTGAAGTCACAGAGCGCGCGTAATATTTCTACTTTTTGACGAAGCGGTAATAATTCAAAATCTACATCTGTATTGAAAGGATTTTCGCACTTGTATTCCTGTATAAATGTGTAAAGTGTGTTTTAGTCTCATTGACAATATTGACAATTGAGAATTTTACATTGCGCAATAATGGATAATACTTACTTGACATTTCTTTCGAAAAAGTCTACGTAGAAACATCTGATAATTAAAAGTAGAGATATCATTGCGAGTGTCATTTGGCAAACAACCTTCCAATAATTTCACTATTAGTTCCTGAAGCAGTCGTCCTTCGGTACCTCCGTCCGTTAATAAAGCTTCTTCTAAATCCTACAATTTAATAACCTTAATATATCAATACATCATATAATTTTTATATAGTATTCAAAATAAAAAAAATAAGAAAAGAAAACAAAATGATATATAAGCCAGATATATTATAACAGTAAAGCTGAAGCAATGGCAACTATTTTATTGTATAAATAAGACTGAAGCAGTATAGTAAACAGGTCTTATAACTACTGCTTACTCATAAGAAAGAGTTAGCATTTCATTCATTAGATACCTCAATATCAAAATCCAGAAGATTGAAGGCAGCTCTAAATAATGAGCAAAAATGTGCTATACTTGGCACCTCCCACCACGATTGAATGTCTAAGAAAAATAAAAAAGTGGTTAAAAAAAAAAGTTTCTTAATCTTAATCTTGTTTCTAATTGAAAATAATTGATGCAATTGTATATCATATTTACAAAATATAAATAAAATTACTTAAAATTTTAAAATTATTTGATAAGATAGTAACTATTAATAATTTTGAATTTAAGATATTATTTTCTGTTTAAATGTTTGAAAAATAATTTTTTTTTAATATTTCATCGTATATATTTTCTTTTGTTTATATTTTATTTATTAAATACAAATATATAGCATTCCTTTATTTAATTTCTTAAATATTAGATGTAAAGGAAAAAAGAAAAAATAAATAATATATCTAAAATTAGAAATTCAAGTGTGATGTTTTTTAATTATAAAATGGGAATGATTGCATCATGAACACAATTTTCTTTCTACAAGATTTTTTCTAAATATTTTCAGTACAGTTTCTTTGCATATTTACAACAGAGTTTGATTTAATTTGTTCAGACACAATCATTCATTTATGATAATTAATGTTCATTTAATTTGTATTCATTTGATATATACATATCAATTTCATGTACATCTTCATATTCTATCAATTTTAATTGTAAAAGATATGAAAATGTAGGCATAATGAAGATTTTAATAGTGAACTGAATAATTGAATAATTTCCTGTCATTATTTTTCATATAACCGTGAACACATCAAAACTACATTAACCTGTTAATAATGAAAAATTTAAGACTTTAAAAGAGAAATCTTCTTTAATAAAGAATCAAGTTTCTAATTGACAGTATTTACACTTTCAATAAAAAGCTCTTTCTAAAGATTATACCTCCTTCAGCTTAAACATTTAAGACACATGATTATAATAAACAGAATATACAAAGAATATAAAAGAAGTCTGATTCTACACTCAGAGAAAGAGAGAGAGAGAGAGAGAGAGAGAGAGAAAGAGAAAGAGAGAGGATCAAAAAATATATCTGCTTCTACACACAAAGACCTGACACTATTTCAACTCACATTACTATTTCAATTGACACTATTTCGCTCTTATATATTGGAAGAAAAAAAAAGAAAAAAAAAGAGAAAAAAACCATCTACGGAAATTATCGGACGGCGTTTCGGGGCACGATCTCCGTGCGTCCGATCGACTCACCTAGGATCCCGATGAAAGTAGGAAACATAACCCGTCGTGTGGCGGGCGAACCGGACGAATCAGGGTGTCCAGGGCGGGACACGGGAGCTCGACGCTGGTCGACGTTCGAGAGTCGGAGCGCAGGAACGGAGCGAGCGCGGATCGCCTTCCTCGGTAGGCCGGCGCCGCAGCAGCGGCGGGGGAGGGCGAGAGCGAGAGGGACGATCTAGAGGCCCCCGTAGAGCGTACGGACTGCGCGTGCGACGAGGAGGATCGAGCAAAACACTTCCGCCCAGCGGTGGAGCATATATATATATATAATGCGTATATATATTATACATACATATATATATATATATGTAATATATATATATATATATGTGTGTATGTGTATGTGCGGGAGTGTGGTACGTGTAAGTCGCGCGGAGCAGAGCCCGTATCTCAGAGCACCGGGATGGAGCACGTCAGCGGTGAATGACACTCGTAGCGGTAGTCCCGGTAGGCGCGCGCGAGCGTGGCGCGTTCGCGGGCTCGCATAGCTCGCCGACCGGAGGACGCGAGCGGAGCTGGTCGGCGCCGATCTATCTCGCCGCGAAGCGACGACGATCGTGCGGCTCGATCATCCCGATCGGGACGCGCGACGACGCGAGACACATAACCATGAGCCGCTACCAACACTAGGGTCCCCGCTTCTAGCTCTCTTCCACTCCGAATTACGTTTCAGCGACGACGGGGGACGACGGCGACGGCGATGACGCGCGCGCCGAACGAGAGCGGCCACGAAGCGACGCGCGCTTCGCGTCGACTAGCTTCTTTCTCGTCGAAAAGGCGGGAGACTCCTCTCTTGTCGCGTGTCCGGGGAGATGACGCTGCGTGCTTCTCGTATCCCCGTGTTGTCGACGATATCCCCCTGACCTGACCCGACCTAGCACGATTACGCGCGGACACTGCGCACCGCGGATAAACGGTACACGGACTAGCGCGAAGTATGCAGCAACAACTGCAACCCGCGGGCGTATACCCGGCGATGCGTAGTACACAGATGCGTGGTCGACTGACGTTTAAAGTCACTAGAGACCCTGCGGGTCTCTAGTGACTTTCAACAGCCGCGTTAAATTCCCACTACCGCTGGTTTCTCATTGGTCCAATTATCATTGACCGCATTCAGCGGATTCAAGTAGTTGCTGGGTGCTTTCCATTTAGCGACACAGGTCGACACAAGTGTCATTCTATCTTTGTTTATTGTTATTTATTGAAAAAAGATAGAATGACACTTGTGCCGACTTGTGTCGCTAAATGGAAAGCACCCGCTAAGTAGCAATCGAATATGATTGGTCTCTACTTTCAGATCCGACCAATCAGCGTCGAGTTACATCGGAAAATCTAGTAATGTTGCCTAACTGTTGAGTCTGCTGAATGGCCATTGGTCGAATTATTTCATTGGTCACATTCAACGGACTCAAGTTGGGCACATTACTAGATTTCCGATGTAACTCGACGCTGATTGGTCGGACCTGAAAGTAGAGACCAATCATATTCGATTGCTACTTAGTGGTAGAGTCTGCTGAATGCGGCCATTGGCTGCGTTCAGCAGGAAAAGCTGCTTCGCAACTGTGGTAAAATTCGTGAATCTGATTGATGTATGCTCTTAGATTCAATCAAAATTAAGAGCATGCACCAATCAGGCTCACGAATTTTACAACAGTGCAAAGGAGCTTTTTCTGCTGAACGCAGTCATTGGTTGAATCAGTCGCGACATCTTTCTGCATTCAGCGGACTCAACCGCTAAGCAATCGAATATGATTGGTCTCTACTTTCAGGTTCGACCAATCAGTGTCGAGTTACATCGAAAAAGCTAGTAATGTTGCCCAACTGTTGAGTCCGCTGAATGTGGCTATTAAACGGCCTTTTCATTGACGCTAAAAAATAGCGTCAACCATTGGTTGAACAAAGAAGTAAATAGTTGCTTCTTTGTTCAACCAATGGTTGATGCTACTTTTTAGCGTCAATGAAATTGCACCTTTATTCTCTGACCCCATGATCGTTGTTGATTGTCGTATTTCATCATCCGTTCCCCAAGATTTTGTTGAGCTTCGCGAGTAGTGAATCATGACGTCGATCGTTATACCGGCTGCGATGCGATTTAGTCGCTTGACGATTGATAATTTATATCAAATAAATAAGAGGAATTTACACAGGTATAATATTGTTATTTTTTATTGGCGCGAGTTGCGACTGATTGCTTGTTGCAAGATCGTATACCGAATTGAGGTTAACTCTTGGTTAATACTATTTATCATTTATCCAATTATATTTCCTAATGACACGTAACATAATTCTTTTCAGTTGATACTAAATAATATTTGTTATTTAATTTTCTTGAAATATCTGGTATTTTAGAATCTACACTTCTTTTACATTGGTGTAATTGCATCATAATAACAGAAACTAAAGATTAATTTTAAGGATTAATTTTACTAAATAATTTTAAAGATTAATTTTACTAAATAAATTTTCTATTATTTAATAATCCAATAAAATAATAAACATAATATTCAATACTTTTTTTTGTAACGTCTAGATATTTTTAAGCAATTTTTTTTAAATATAAAGAATTTTTTTTTACCATTTTGAAATATGTATAGATTGAATATGCTAGAATAAAAGTTCCTAATTCTTTTTTGTACATAAATATTTGAATTGTAAAAAAATGATTAAATAATTATTTGCAACAATTTTTTATTTGCATAGTTATATTAAATTTTTATTATATGGATAAAATGTAAAATTTTAGGTTGTCACAAGTATCTTCTGCATTTTCTTGGCAGAAACAATATTATGGCACAATAACGGAAGAGAAAAAACCTGATGCTGCTAATGTACCTCCTAGAGTAGAGCAAGAAGCTACAGAGAAGATTAAGACAGAACTTGAACTTATCAATAAAGAGCTTGCTGAACTTAAAGAATCTAAAGATGTTCTTGAAGATAAATATAAGAGAGCATTGGCTGAAGGAGAAAATATTCGAATTAGACTCACCAAACAGATTCATGATGCCAAACTTTTTGGTATTCAAGGTTTCTGTAAAGATCTTTTAGATGTAGCTGATATATTGGGAAAAGCTACCGAGAGTGTACCAAAAGCTGAACTAACAGAAAAGAACCCACATTTGAAAAGTTTATATGAAGGATTAATAATGACAGAAGCTCAATTACATAAAGTAAGCACTTTGTCAATATATCAGCTCAAAAATGTTTTCTCATAATGTATCTAGGCTGTTAAATATTATTTTTCTTTTATTTCATTTTAGGTTTTCAAGAAGCATGGTCTAATTTCGTTAAACCCAATAAATGAAAAATTTGATCCTAATGAACACGAAGCATTATTTCAACAAGTAAGATTTGTGCAACTTTGATAAATAATTATATAATAATTTTGAAATAATAAAAAAAATTTTCAGGAGGTTGAAGGCAAAGAGCCTGGAACAATTGTAGTTGTATCAAAAATAGGATACAAATTGCACGAAAGAATAGTAAGACCAGCATTAGTAGGTGTCGCTAAAGGATAATTATTTAACAAAATATTCATTTTCTATGTTTTACAAATTATAAATATAAAACCTGATAAAATATTGATATTCCACAAACTGTACAAGAATTAGCAAAGGAAATATAATGTGTTACTATTACATAAAGATTCTTACTATGTTGTAATATGTACAAAATATGTAAAAAATTGTTTTTTAAAATATAGTCTTTTTGTCACATGTAATTTGATTTCATCAGAGGAATAAATAATATACAATGATAATGATAAATATTACACAAATTTCACATAATAAAAATGTATATATTCTATATAACATCTTGATATAAAAAAAATGATATCACAAAAATATAAATTATAAGTTGATAGTGTTTAAAATACACTTGATTTTATCTTAATTCAGTTCTTGTCATGGCACATTAATTGCAAATTGTATTGTACTTTTGTATGTTTAATAGTATATTTTAACATCTCTCGAATACTTTATACAAATCAGGTAAACTGGCTATTTGTAATATTGTTGAATCATGAGCAAAATGTTTTGGTGGAAGTAAACTTTCTTTAATCGCCGAGTATAAAACATGTTCGGTTATATATTTCCAATCGTGCGTCTCAGGTTTTGGATTGATATAACTGAAAAATTTTGCCGTTTCACGACAAATATTCTGAAAACACACTTGTTCTTTTCTCCAATTAACTTCAGTTGCCAGTCGCATTATGTACAATGGAATTTCTGCTTCATATGGAAAATATTTATCTGAAATATTATTAGCAACATGTGCAATTTTTCTGAGAATATTTGGAAATATAATATTATCTGATATTAATTTATGCACATACCTAACAACACTGGCAACGATCTTAAATTTCCTACTTTATCCATAACAATCGAAAAATATTCGTTCATCATATCTGCTTTTTCCAAAAGCAACTCCTTTACCCTTGCTGCCAATTCATCTTTTGGTCCATCCTCTTCTGTCCAACCAGTTTCTCCCGAATCTAAAGCAATCATTGCTAAGTCAAATAGCGATATCCGTTCCTGAAAATTAAATTCTGTATTAGATAGCTATAAAGCATGTTTTTAATTTATTTCATCTGAAATACATACTGAAAATTTGATGACACCAAAATTTGCAAAATCATAAAGCATAATCTGGTAAAAAAGCTCCTCTCTAAAACAAATGTATGTATATTAAAATTAATTTTAAATAAATTTATATGTTTAATTTCTTGAATATAATAATAATTCTCTTACGCTAATTTTCTTGTATTGCATATGTACAAGTTCACTCCACTTTGTATTAAAGCCGAAATTTGATCAATGCAACCGACAAATGTCAAATTGGTGAGAATGTTTCTTAATCCCTCGTGACACTCGTCTTCAACTTCTTTTCGTAATTTTAAAATACTAGTCAATTTTACCTCGTGTCTAAAATTATTTACAGAATATGACCTAAACTGTGATGCAGACTTTGGAGAATCATCAGCAGAAACAGTTTTTTCAATTGAATCTATACTACTTTCAGGTTGATTTGTATTGGATATCGAACTTTCATCTTCTTTTTTATTATCGTTTATACTTTGCGATGTAGTTTCTTTTTTATCTTCTTCTAAATTTTTTTTTCTATCATCGATAATATCCTTATTTCCGAAATATTGATACACTCGCTTACGAGCTTTATCAGCTATGATGTCTCTAGAATTATCTTCCATAGATTCATCCACTGTTTCGTTTAAAAATTCTGTAACATTATATATAGTATTTTCTGAACGAATATTATCTGGCTTATCTTTTTGTACAGATGTACTTGGATTACAAGTGTTTTGTTCCAGTGAACTTATAGTTCTAATATCTGATATATTACTCCAATGTGTTGAAGTATTAACTGAAGTCTCTTCGATATAGCTCTCTATCTTAGATAATGATGTAAAATTATGTTCTGTAATATTTAAATTAGAATCTTTTTGTTGACATTTATTAATGGATGGATTTTCCGTAGTAATATGAGATATATTCTCCTCTGAAGAAGTTTCAATATTGAGAGATTCCGTTTCTGCATTACGAGTTGATTTTTCTATGAAAGTATTGCTATCATGTTTGCAAGGAGTATGTATGGTGAAATTAAATTTATCCAATTTTTGATCAGACGAATCTGTTCTAATCATTTCTTTAGCATGGACTTTTTTCAATTTATCTGGATTTTCTTTATTATATTCCGGTAAAACTTCTTCTAGAACTTCTTTGCTAATGTCAACTTTTGGTAACCTGGCTTGCAGATAAAATGTTCTAGAAGCACTGTTACCAGCTAATCTTTCATCTAAAGCAAATTTCATTCTTTCAATTATTGTATCTTCATGAAGAAATCTAACTTCATGTTTTGTTGGATGTACATTAACATCAATATTTTGTGGATTGATATCCAAAGATATATAACACCATGGATGGGTTTTCTTTGGAAGATATACGGAATATATTTCCTCTAACATTTTACGAATAGCTGAAACGTTAAATATAAAAATTTTATATAAAAATTAGAAGAAAAATATTGATACATGCATGATTAAACTTACAAGAAGAATCAACCAATCGATTATTAATAAATAGAAGCATCATCATTCGTTTATTTGTGTAATTTGCATTTGTCACCAAAGCTTGCATCTTAAACTTATAAGTGTCGTCGTTTAACTCAACCTCCAATAATTCACGAGCAACTGAATTGGTGTACAATATTCTTATATTACTTTGTTTTGTTGAATTATGTGGTGTTCGGACCTGAGAATATAACAGAACAATTATATGAAAATAATTCTGTTAAAATATAAATTATATATAAGATATACATTTTTCAGATATACATGTAAATGATTTATCTCACCTGTGCACTTGATTCACCATGTTTTTTTAATGTAAATCCTACTGTTGGATTATGCACAGCATATTTCATAACTATTTCTGTAATTTTATTAAATTCTTCTGATGGATTTGATAAAGCTTTCCTTCTAGTTGCCACATTATAAAACAGATTCTCTATTGTTATTATAGTGCCTTGATTTCCAGCGCAAGGTGCTGGAGGTGCTTTTAACTTGCTATTAATATATGATGCTCTGTAATTGTGCAGCAAATACAATTTTAATATCACAAAGAGAATTACTTTTTTTTGTAATAGAATTTTGATAAAAATTAAATTTGCATACTTATAGGCACATTTTTCATCTGCTGTTTTTGTGGTAATAGTAAGAAGAGCTATATGACTGATACTAGCCAAAGCTTCTCCTCGAAATCCAAACGTTGTAAGCGCACTGAGGTCTTCAAATTTTTGCAACTTGCTTGTTGTGAATCTTTCGCATACAATGTCCATGTCTTCCTTTCGAATACCTGTACCATTATCTTGTATCTAAAGGAAAAGAAATGATTATAGACTAATATTTCTACCGATATAAATTATATATCAAGTACCTGTAATAGTTTCAGGCCTCCTTCCTTTGTAGTAATTTGTATATTTGTTGCTTTGGCATCCAAACTGTGATATAAAAACAAATATTTGGTAAATATAGTAACAAAAAATATGTAGCTCACAATTTGTACTAACCTATTTTCTATTAATTCTTTCAATGCATTTGCTGGCCTTTGGATTATCTCCCCTGCTGCGATTTTATTCACCACGATTTCATCTAACTTTTTAATTTTCGCTGGCGTACACATGTTGCTCGAAATTGTTTGATAGATTTTTAATTATCCATAAAACGACTCTCTTGCTTCTTGGTATCTGTTATAAGTATGTTATATGAACGCATTAAATGTATATTTTAAAAATATAATTTAATTTCATACATCAATTGAGATAATCAAATTAAGCTAAAAGTTGTGAAAAGTTTTATGTTCGATGAATTTTTATAAAATTCTTGCACTTTCGACAAACTCTTCATATTTAAATATTGGCGCCATTAATATGAGGAGTTTGTCGTATAATTGGCGCCAATATTTAAATATTAAATAGAAAAAAATTTAAATCGCACCAATCACCAATTACCAATATATCGCAGCAATTATTATTGATAAAATGCGATCCATTTGACGTTGCAAATACTTCGAAACGTTTGTTTAAACAATCATGGGGCAAACATATTTTGATTAATCAAATGATTTATTCGCAAGTGAATTAATCAGAAATATCAAAGAGTAAGTGAATTAATCAGAAATATCAGATATATCAGAGAGAAGACTTTGTACAGCACTGGTGCTACCGGTATTTCGTGCACATAGCACGGAACAAAACCAGAAATTGCGCACATTATATATTACCCTCTGAGAACATTCATGAACTTTGGCTTTGTAGTTCATGTCCACGTTGTCAATGTCCATAGAGGGAGTATCGCTTTCAGGTATCACCTAAAAGCAGGCCATGACATCTCTCAGTCTTCTCTCTAACAATACTGGCGTGCGCATGTGTTGACTTGACGGCGGTAAATCCGCAACTAGAAAGACGTGAGAAGAATTCAGTTTAATCAAAACCAGTGTTGATTATTTTAAGAATTCATCTAATTTCTTGTGGAAGTTTTATCAAAATCTTGACCTAATATATTGCACGAAAAGAGATAGATTAGCATCAAGGATAGAATCGAGGAAGAGCTCCACTATCTTGATCTGGTGAATAATTGGTGCCATTTTGATTATTATAAAAAATTCGAAAGAATATTTGTGATGAAAAATATTTTTGAAGAAGATTGGCTACGATATAAATTTATGACACGATTGATGATAAGAGGTAAAGTAACTAATTATATCTTATTTTTGAATCTTAAAATCTTGTTCAATTATACGTTTCAGTGTTTGGAATTTTGTGCTGTAATATTTTTACATTACATTACATGTAGTTTTCTTACGTTACATGTTATTTGTAGTCAAAGAAGAGAAAGAAAATTTTTATAATATTTGTTTCAATATTTTATGATATTTTTCTCACTATAAATTTAAAATCCTTATATTTGTTAACAATAATTTTGTTTTCTCCTTTTTTATATGTGTGTATTTATAAATTAGTTATATGATCATTATTATAAGAAATATAATCATTTTAATATCTTATAATAAACTATCTTGCAATGCTATAAGACTATTTTTTGTAAATTATGTTTTACTGATTAATAAAGTTTTGCACATCATGTAATTATTGATAAATGATATAATTTTTAAAGATATTTCTCGATATGACAAATTACGATATTAATTACAGATATTATAATAGACTTGATGCAGGAGTTGGAAGTGAATGATGAATTGATATATGAAGTAATGAACATCATAAATACAGCACACAAGAAGGATTCAAGCTTGATTATGTAGAAGAATCCCTTATATCTTTGCAACAATTAGATTGTGGCTTGGTATGATATCATGATATTTTGAACATATTGTCTTTAAATACAATAAATTGAATAAAATTCTGGATTTATATACACTAATTTGAAGATTGGCCAATCTCAAATTTGTAACTTACAAGATGTAACTTACGTATGCTTTTGTCATATTCAGCTTTTGCATATGACAAAGCAATTTTAATTAAAATTTTTGGCACTTTCTTTATCGATTTCTATATATGAAAGTTAATGTATCAAAAGCTGTCATATAAATAATTACTTTTGATACACAGTCTTATAGTCTCTGGAGAAGTTGCAAGATGAAGACTATAACACAATGTTGAATAAAGGAACATATGGTGAAATTGAGAATATACAGATGACAGACATTTGAACATTGACATTATTCTTTCATCTTGAAGATAAAAAATATGATAGATATAAAATATATGATAGATATATGATACATATAAAAAACGTTTTAAATTTAACTTAAAATAAGATTTAAATAGGAAATTTTAGGAATGGGCTTTAAAAATGATTATAAAAACAACATTTTTTTTTGTTTTACAATGAAACAAATTAAAAATTATTGTTACTGCATAGATGTGGAGAATATTTTTTTCTTATATTATTCTCTTATATTTTTTTTATTAAACTAACTATAAAATTTAGTAATATATCAAAAGTTTTTGATTTAAAAATTTCACATATTAATTTGAACTAAAAAAGACTTTATTATTAGATTGATTAATTTTTTTGTTTAAATTATAATGATTAGTATAATTTTTATTAATTAAAAAATCTTTTTGCATAAATTTATATAAATATAGTTTAGTGTTAAACATGTTAGTTATTTTCTATAGTTTATACCAGTTTATTTCATTGGATAAAGTTCAGAAAAACCGGAATTTACCGGAATTGATTTTTTTTTATTCATTGGCTTTTTCCGGCAATTCTGACTTTATCCCGAGATGCGGATTCATGCTTCATCGAAAGTCTTAAAAACGAAGAAATATATATGTAAAATGAATAGAAATAATTTCTCTCATATTTTGTTTCGTGAATTGAACGTTTCATCATATTTAATCTCGGAATCTGAAGATGTGCGAAATATTTTTTTATGCATAAAGATTAATCCTAATAATACATTTTTGAATAAATTCAGATATTAAGATGAACTCGCAGTCCTCATTCTTATAATTCTCTCGATTACTACATAAATATCAGCTCATTTTATTCGACGTTCATCATTTATACGTTTTTTTCCTTTTTCTTTTTTTTTATGCTTAGAATGTATATGTGACGTATGATTCCGATAACATAACAAAAGCTCAAGATTTGCAATGCAAAATTAATAAACAGAGCATATGTGTAGCTTGTTATACGCAGGTCTATGCATTGTGATGCGATTGTGCGCGGGTCAAGGTGTTCGAGTGAAAGTACGAAATATCAGCAACTGCTGAATAAATCCTCTATAAGAAGCTGGGCGGACGTTTGTATGGAATTATTGCGCCAAACATGCGATTACGCAGATACAATGAAGTGTAATCGCTCTCAACGCATCTGATAACTGTAACAATCTCCTTTTATCTCAGAACTATGTTTCTTGAAATACCTCAGAATGTTGTATCATCTGTATATTTAATCTTCTTTAATGACACACCGTGTTTTCTCTTATTTATAATTATTTATTTATAATTAGGTAAAAAATATCTATATAATTGTGTTATCGAGAACTATTATTTTCTAAAATTGCAAGGCCTTTGATGAAAACAATAGTGTAGTTTTTAATGTGAGTAGAAATGTCTTTAATAATTTATTATTGCAACTTAATATAATAATCGGGCTATTCGTTGCACTTTCTGCAGAAGCCTCGTTCTCACATCTCCCGTTCTTTTCTCGACATTGCAGCAAGAGAAGCGACGTTATTGCGTAAAGATACCGTTTTTGCAACGTCGCGCCAATGGTGTCAGTTCGACATAGTTAAGAATTCAATCTGATCATTCAATCTGATTCATTCTGATCTCCCGAACCAAATGCGGACTAATCGAATCATAATATCGACTTTTTAGTTCGTCACAGTTTATGTTTTTAGTTGATATTTATAATAAAAATTCTTTATCAATCGTTCTCTTTTTTAAATCACTCTCAAATTTCACTCGATTCAGTATTGATAATCGATAGCTCCAAATTCTTCTCTTTTCTCTTTGCATAATTTCTTCTGTTTAATTCTCTTCATAACGCTAACTATATTGGTTGTACATTGTTAATATTGATTATTAGTAATATATATTTATTGTGCGAAAATGTCAACACGTATCTTTATATTTCACGGACATTCTTTACAAATAAGATATGTCACCTGTCATCATAATTTTTTTTGCAGCATCAGTGACTTTCTAAAATGTGTATAACATGGGAATAAACAGCATGATTTGCGATTTCTGCAAAGGAAGGAAAGGATTTAAAAAGCGAAATTTGCAGATTTGATTTCTTAAATTTGGCAAAAAAAATTAAGTTTAAAAATAAATATATTATATAAGTATCGTTGACAGGTGTTTTCTCTTTCACAAAAGAAAAATATGTTTCATGTTACAACTTTGATTAGTATACTAAATTTGTACATTAATCAAACATCCATAAGAGATGATGATTGTTTTATGCATGGATGATTACTATGAACATTAGAAGCAAGTTGAATAAGAAACGGTATGGGCTGCCTTGATCCATGAAGGCAGACCACTGTTGATGGATCAGCAATCGTGATTCAGCTTCAGCATTTACGATTTACCCTATACGACAAACTTTCACTATTCTCATCTCATTATGCCAGTAGATAGTCATCCAAACAAATCTACATTTTTCAGATACGCTTGATCGCTCTTGAAATTCGACGGCGAATCGTAGATGCTTCATACCAATGTATTTTTTCCTCTCTAGAAACTTCCTAAGATATTGTTGATTTCCAAGATAGTCCAAGATAGTCCAAGATAGTTTTATTCATTTGAAACTGAATGCGGTTTCCCACTGAAAAAGCATGCATCATTTATTCATTACACAAACATACATAAATTTTCCAAGATATAAGTGATAGTAAAATTGTCTTTTCATTCGCTGAAAATGCAATCAAGATATATTTAAAAAAAGTGCATTAATAATGGATGCTGTATAATTACAAGAATGTTTTTTATCTATATTTTCTTATTCCAGGTAACATCGCGTGATACACAAATACTTACAATGTATATCTTGTACATGTCGTGTCATTACATATGCGTGAGATGTATGTATCCGCGACGTGAGGTGCGAAAGTGCGTGCGGGATTAGACAGCTGTGATCATTCTATAAGAAACTACCGAGTGTGTCTGCCAGAGAGCACCTACACGAAGAAGGAAGAGGACTTTCGCTCGTCCACCATTCCGACGCGGATTGTATTCGTGGACGTGCATTCAAACGCTTGCTTGATATTCGTTTTTTTTTTTCAAATGGTAAATCTGTTATTTTTATTATTGTACTGTGTCGACTTTCGATATTGGCCAAAAAAACATGTTTCACGACGAATATGCCGTCACCTGTTGCAGATCATTAACATTTCCGGTTTTTAAAGAAGTAGTAACTGCAAATTTTAAAACTATTTTTAATGGTCTACTCGGGATATTACGTATACTCGAAAAATTTCGCTCGAAAAACATGTACATGTAATCATCCAATTCTACTCTAATCCTGTCTCTTCTTTCTCCTAGCGATGCAGAGTAATGAGGTGCAATGTGAGACCGAGGAAAAGGCAAAGAACAAGACGATTTTCAAGTTGGATCGAAACTTTTTTAATTTTTGCCACCAATACAACCAGTCCAGTTCACTCATGAAGGAATGGAAAGCAACTTCTTGCCGTGTCAAATCGGACAAACTACTGGTCTTGCTTGTCTCCAGAAGATTTGAAGGTGCGCGCTCATAAACGACGATTCAGTCTGCAAAGTAAAAAATAATATATTGTAATAAATCACACATACTATCTGTTTTAACGTATACATCGAGAATGACTTGCAGAAGGAATAGATAAAAACGAAAAATAGAATAAGAGATTGTTTTTGCGAGAATGTCTTCATTTACAATGATGAAATTGCGCCTCATCGCGCGGTATTGCAAAATGAATATCTTAGTGGCAACCGCGTTACATGGAGGAGTCGCATTATCATGTAAACTTATAATTATCGCGGATAAGACTCGACTCGCCTAATTTTCATTATCTGCAACGTTCAAGATCTAATTAAGCAAACGCGAAATGTGTTATCAGCATGAGGCGAGTAAATCTAGAATGCAGACTGGGCAAAAATAATCGCGTGTCGCGTTACGACATTACTCTACCGAGTAATGTTAAAAGCGGCTTCAAACGCGCGATGCGCTCACTCGGGAAATATTCACCGAGTCTAGGCAAGCGTTCCACCGTGCGATGGGGTAATATTGCACGTCGTCGTGATGACAACGTCGTAATTGTACGTAATGCCGTAAAATTTGTCACATAATTGCAGCCACGTTCGTAGACGCAACGCGCGGGCACTTGAAGCGTGTGCGTGCACTCTCTTCTCTTTTACGCGGATTCTCACGCCCGTCTTCCTCTGTAAAAATATGACAATACGTCATTTCATCTCCCGTTTATGAAATCTCTCACGCGTATTTATCACGTTTCTACCTCGAGAATGATATATTGAATATGTATAAACGGTGTGCCAATAGTGTCCCGTCAAATCCGGAGATCGAGCGAGGTGGAGATGTCAAGATGACGGCGGGAACTTTTACCCTGGGCGCGAAAAGCTGAAAAGTCTTTCCCATTAAAGAGAAAGACAGAGAGAAAGGAACGGGAACGGTGAAGCAACGCGAGCCGGTGATCGCGTAGTGGGACCAACAAAGTTACTTGGATCGACAACAGATACTTTTCTCGCCAGTAACCACCAGGACACCATGACGACACGATCGCTCACACCGTCCCCGACGCGACGACCGCCGACTATCGGTCTAATCACCGCTTTGTTCCTCATCGTAGCGACACGTAAGTCCTTCTCCTATGAATATTGCTTTAATTTAATTAAATTAATTAATTAATTTAATTAATTATTAATTTAATTAATTATCAAACTGACCGGGATTATTTCTCATCTCTTCGCGATGATCCGACTGTTATGCCGCGACGCAATTGCACGAATTTCGTTTCATTCGATCGACGAAAATGGATTCGCAATTATTAATACGACATCGCGAGAGGATATGTTTAAAGATATTTTCCGATTACCGTCAGTCTTTTTTTTTTTTTAGGTTTCTCTAGGTTTCTCGGAAAGAGAAGATAGTTTCTCATAGATTTCGATCTCAAATAATTATAGACTAAAGATGATCAAGATCTCTCTCTCTCTTTCTTACGATCGATCGGATCTCTCGTGGCTCATCAAGCGCTGTCCTTGATGAAAAGTGAGGGGATTAAAGACCCCGTGGTGTATCGAGTTATCTTCAGAATATTCTCTACGTGAAGCAATGACGTTTCTTGGACGTATATTCTCTACGTGAAGCAATGACGTTTCTTGGACGTAAATGAGATTATATAATATGAATATAATGTCGATTAGGGCAGCATATATATATATATATTTTTTTTTTTTCGATAGAAAAATCGTTACCTATCATATTTTACGTCCGACGTAGCTTTATCAAAATTTTAAGTTGTTTTAGTTGAAACTAAAAAGTACTCTCGTCGCATTATTTGGGCTAATTGGGGTATCCGCACGCGATTTCGCAGGCTGTTTCGTTGTCCACTCTACTTACGCTAACTTGCGGCTTCGCATCCTGAGACGACTTCACGCTCCGCATTTTTCTGCATGTGCTATTTTTAGCGCGTACTTTAGAAAGCAAGGAGAAATCATATGATATCAACTTGCAATTAGTAATTACTTGATCTAAAAACTAATATTGGTTTGCCGCACCTTCTTATGCTATAATAAGAAAAAAAGGAAATAAATAAATTACGGAGAAAAGAGATTTCATAAGAAATGGATAGAATGATAGCATACTTAATGTGGAAATCTAATTGAATTTTATCCTAGATAGAATTAGAGTAATCTAAGTATCTCAGGATATATCAGTAATCATAGGTACGACTCCAACTATCATCGAACCGGAAGTTAGTGGAGTCGACGCTCCAAATCTACAAATACGTATTAAAGCCATAATGTATATATCAATAATGATGTATACATATAAAAAATATCTCACTTTCGCTATAACTATCACCTTTATCAATTTAAAAAGACGGTCTTCCAAAGGAAAAAAAATTTCAATAAAATAATAAAATAATGACGAAATAATCAAGACATTTATAAGTTGGGGTTTTTAATTAATGTCGAGATGATAAACGGTCGAAATTTATCAACATAACTGGACTTGGATAATTATATACGTAGCATTTAATTATCGCTCGTGCGTTACGTGTAGACTTATAAAGATGCGCCTGCTTGTGAGATTTGCAAATCAAGAAGGAATCCCCGCGCATAAAATTAAATTCCGAACCTCGGAAAGAAGATGCGAATCTTCTGTGCGCGAAGACGGCAACGAAAACGAAAGGGCGATAACACCGGTGTCGGCGGACCCCCTGACATTTCCAGGCTTCCAGGAGGTGAAAGCGGGAGTCGGATAATCGTAATTGGCCATCCGTGTATATGATACAAGTTCCGAGTCCGCGATGTCGCAATCGTGTATGCCAATAGTCGCCGTTGGTCCAAAATGTTCGACGTAAATAATCTCTGCATCGAGATGAGGCGATTTACATTATTCGAGTCGCACTTTAGTTTAGAGTAATATAGGCTGTTCCTAAATTCGCGATCGTATTAATAATCTATCATCGTGTAAATGATAAATATTATTTTTTAAAATAATTTAAATATAATTTTATTTTTTGCCTTATGAATATTATTCATACTCGTCGTTTCTTTCTTTTCCACAAGAATCTTGTTAAATTACTCAATTATGAAGGTCGATTTATTTCTCTCTAAGGATGAAAGTTGTAATTTTAGTCAGTAGTTTATCAATTTCTTTGAGAATTTATTTTAGACAATTAATTCAATTACTTCATTAGAGCGATAATTTATTAGATAGATAATTCTACGCTTACACGAGACATGAGCTATAAGAGCATTTTGAATATTTTATCACCTTATAAATAGCTGGAGATTGTTATGATCATGCCGTCATGTCACCGAGAAATTTGCAAGAACCTATGATTTGCGTACGGAAACGTTATGCTCTCATATGCATAAATCATAAATCACAGCGGCAAAAAGTCGAGCATTTCTTAATCGACTTGTTATTTCAAACTTAAGAGGGTAATTCAATAAATAAGATAACAAGTCATGCTATGTACATATGTACAGTGGTACTAATGTTACCTTATTTATTGAATTATCCTAGTATCTGTTAAGTCAGACATTTATTAGAGATCATTTATTAGAGACATTTATTAAGACAGACATTTATTAGTAATCAACTTTGAAAATTTATACATGTTCTCTCTTTCTCTTTTTCTCTCTCTTTTTGATTAAATCTCAAATTAAATATCTCTTATTATTAAAATTAATTTTATTGAGTTCCTAAAAAATGTGCAAGTTAAGTTATCTTTGAGCATTCGTTTCGTAACAAAGACTCCGAACGCGTTCTTGCCTCAGACACTATCAATTCTAACATCTTGAACGCACATCGTTGCTACGTTGGTGAACATTTTGCAATCCGCGTTCGTTGAATCGAATCGCGGAAACGCAACCGCGCGACCTTGATTAATGCGCATAGAGTGCCAATCTTCGTCGTTGCCCCGACGTTTCTGGATGGATGACAGCCGTCCTTCTACGGAATTCTAACGGGACCTGGACGAGCAAAGGGTCCGATTTAACGAGCTATGTAACATAAACCGATGTATTCGAGCCTGCGATCTATCAATGGAAACGTGCGGCCTTCGCGTTTCAAGGCATCACTTTATCTGGTACACGTGATACAAGTATACAAACATGCAACACATTTCGATGCATCATTATTAGTACCTTCATGAATAATGTTTGTGCTTTCTCTCTCTCTCTCTCTCTCTCTCTCTCTCTCTCTCTATATATATATATATATATATATATATATATATATATACACAGGATGTATCTTAAAAAGCTCCCATTAAGCAAATAGCGTTATACCTGATTAAAAACCGAGTTGAAAAGTCCTGAATCATTTTTTTTCTATAATGAAAAAAATTTGAAACCATTTTTTTGAAATCATTTTTTTTTAAACCATTTTTTTCTTTTATATAATGCGAAAAACTTTATTTTGTATTAAAAATCATATTTCTTCCGTTAAAAGCGTTTTCTTAAAGAAAATTTCGTCAAGGAGGCTAAAGGTCGGTGCTTATTAGCGCAACTTTACTCAATAATTACCGCTTTATTAAGCATTATAGAAAAAAATGGTTCGGGACTTTTCGACTCGGTTTTGAATCAGGAATAACGCTATTTGCTTAGTGGGAGCTTTTTAAGATACATCCTCTATATATATTCTTTCTATTTTATATTCTATAACATTTTTTTTTAATATTATATACATGCTTAATATCGATTTTATTCTGTTTGACATGCGACAATTTAAGAAACTATAACTAAACTAAAAATGCAGTTAATTGCTTTTAGAGATGTCTATTTTCAAGATATCTATCCCGAGGGGTCCCCCGTAAAAAATGTACTGTCTAAGATTCTGCGATCCAAAAAATTTGTGAAACGTCGATCTGACCGCAACCGTTCCAGATGAACTGTCAACGTGTCGCGATCGGACGCGACCACAAGCGATTCACTTGGTGAGAGCCGAGATGCTGGATTCGCGGAACCTAGTTTTGCGTACGATGAGCACGAGGATACCAATCGTAACGAGTGTTCGATCAATCGTCAGCCAATTTATTCTCTCGTAGACGAGGTATATCGGTTACCGTTATCCATCAGATACCGTATTTGGGAATACGTATCCATCAGCCATCCCCAGATAGCAATAAGAAAGAGAGAAGAGAATGGAATATATTATTCTAACAAACTCACAATATAAACTCACGCATTATTACGTGTAATACCGGTTTTCTTCTGCAAAGTTCCTGTAATCATCCGTAGGATGGTAACGCGACTGGAATTGTATCCGGAGGTACATGGTGTAATGTCATTGTCATATTGTTATAACGCTTTGCGTTTAAAGGAACATTTTTGTAGCTGCAATTAGACGCAATCAAATTCGAAAGAAACACGCAAACCGCAGAAACCGGAGGAAATTCGCATACTATTCGCTAATAATTTGTTGCCTTAAGAAACATTTTATTTTTAATCACATTTAATTTAACAAACGTTTTCTAGAAAAATTTATATTTTTTACAATATTTATTATTTAGATAAATTACAATAAAAATATCTTACTAAAGAGTTATTTTATTCATCAAAGTGTATTTGATCAAAGCTTGTATATCGTAGCACATTTTATTTCTTATTATAATATGTACGTAATAATATAGTAAGAAAATATGTTATAATAAGTATTTTTAAGATCTATACAATGCGCCAAGTATTTCTTTTTTAATAATCCACACGCGCAACATCATGTAATTCAGTAATTGGTAAATCATCATTCAATCTTACAATATTATTTTACACTTGTTGCTATAATTACATGAAGTCTCTATGATTTATCATTATATTGTTGAATAATTCGGATATAGAATATAAAAAACGATATAAAAAATAAACTTGTTGCGATATTGGAAGCTATTGAAGCATATGTACTGTGACACGTTTGTACAGGAGTCGCGTGTAGTACACTTTCGCGTGATATTTTCATTTCACTTAATATTTAATTACATCGATTAATTTAATATTATTTGATAATAAAACCAATTAATTTAAATTTTGCATTTTGATATTATAGAAATATGTAGCGGAGCGTATTACGGAAAACTGATTGGTAAGCTGTCTGAACTTCATCATGGTGTCAGCGGCGAGGTTTATGCGGTTGACGCAAGGACACTATTCATCAAGGACTTTACGTACGATGGCGAAGGTCCAGGTGAATATATCGCGTTGCAGTAAATTCAAGTATCGACAGGAGACACTGATTTTTTTAAAATATGCTAAACAAAAATATTAACGATAAGAATATTTGCTTATCTCGAAAAATCAACTATGTGGAAGGAGAAATTATTTTGACTGATATTATTTTTATCGATGTTTAATTTTTAGATGAAATAACATTTTAATTATCAAAGTTAATAATAACATTCCATTGCATAATTGTGGTAAAAATTTAATTTCACTTATATTTATTTAATACAATTATATGTTATATGATTACGCATGTTCTCGATCATTAATTTTATGTCGTACAAATGTCGCGGATTTTCTTTTTACTTTTGAAAGAAACTTTTGACTTGTTGATTTTTGAAAAGGCACAGAAAACTTTCCCTCGACCTGATATAGACTGACCGCGATCAATTTTTCTATGCCGGAAAAACTTTCCCGAATCTCTCTGGCACGCCTACTCTTGATGCGCATACAAGCTGACTGAGATGCCTGTTCCAGATTAATAAGAATATCTAGATGCTTATTAGAGCTTCACAATCTGAAACCGTGTAACGTGTTTCTTATTTATTCGCTTAAAGCAGCTCGTTTGTCATCATTAACAACGAAAACTTTCCTTAAGAATTTTGTTGCGGAAAGTTTTTATTGATTATAAAAATAAAAAAATCATCATTCTCTTTCTAGCTGCCTTTTTTTACGTTGGAAGCAGTAAAAGTCCAGGTAACAATGGCTTCCGGGTGCGCGATGAACGCGGAACGTAAGTAAAACTAATGTAGAAGAATATATTCAAAGATGTTGCTATCAAAAAGATTTGTAATTAAATTAAATATGATTTGCTATCAAGATTAATTATGATTTGTAATTAATTATCTCATGTAGAAAAATAGTCCCGACTTTTGATTTTAAAGGCTCTTTTCCTCTGACCTTGTTCAATTTTTAAACCTTCGTTTAAACGTTTATTTGTTACAGTACAAATCTCCTTAAACGGTATCGCAAGAAGGACATCACACTGACCTTACCGGACGGCAAGACCTTGAACAATATCAAATGGTTTTCGGTTTGGTGCGACGAATTCTCGGTAAGTAATGCATAATGTTCGTGACCTTGGTCTGCGCAATATCGACTGTGTATACTTGCTCGTTGCCGAGAACCGGTCATCATTTTCTCGAAGTACAACTTTCACACTCGTACAGGCTTACCACCAACCGCTTGGATCCGTGTGTCAAGTGAATGGAACATACAATCCGATAGAACGTCATCTGATCGCTGTTTGCCGCATGTCCGGGATTAGATTAAGACTTTAGATTTTCCGATAGTTAATAAAATCTTCGTAAAAAACGTTCCTTCAACTTTCTATCATTCGCGAACAGATTATATATTATTTCCTTCGAATTGTGTCATTTAATTAATTTTAATCAAAAGAGCTTGGTTTTTTATTTTTTTTATCTCCCTTATAAATATTCAAAAATAAATCATAAAGACAAATATATGACAAATATATAAATAAGGTTGCAAATATATAAAGAATGAAAATTTAAAGAACATTATATATGATATAAATACAAATTTCTTGCATAAAAAGTCATTTTTTTTGTTTAGGTGAATTTCGGTGACGTCAGGATACCGCGAGGCTTCGATTATCCGAAACCGCAGAAATTAAAATCCTTGAGTGGCATACACGGCGTTAATTCCGAACCAGTTGTCATTGTAGATGCTCAAACTCTTCTGATACCCAGCTTCAGTTACGACGGAGAAGCACCTGGTAAGTTTTTTTTATTACTATTAATAATCTTAAATTTTGACATTAATAATGAATAACTATTGCAACACATTTGCTAACCATTAAAATCACGCAATTAAGAAATATTCTTTCAGGAGAAAAATCGAGTTCCTTTTTTACGTGACAGATATTATTTTATACAGTTTATAAGAAGATTTGTTTTTTTAATCTTTCAAAATTTTATAATAAAAAATTATAAATAATAGTATAAATATATAAAGTATAAAATATATATAATAGTAAAATAATAGTAAAATATATAAATATATAATAGTATAAAGTATAAATAATTTATATTGCGCAGGAGCTCGACAAATAAATACAAAATTGCTTTGCAGATGCCAAGTTTTGGATAGGTACTGGTCCGACACCGTCATCGCAGGGAATCCGGATACCCGATGAAAACGGGAAAGAGCAGCCGTTGCGTCGTTATGATCGCAAGACAATCGTCCTGACATTACCGGGCGACTTGACCGTTCATCAATTCGGTCATTTTGGAGTATGGTGCGAGGCATTTGCCGTTGATTTTGGCCACGTGCAAATTCCACAAGGTTTAAACATACCGCCGTCCTTGAAAATGCTAGGAGTTTCGCCACAGGTATGTCAGACATAGTTTAATTCATCACAAGTGCGTAATGGGGCGACAAAGAAATGCATTAACACGTACCTCTAGTGCGCTATAATACATTATGCGATTATCGATGATTTATCGAAGCATTATTTCGCGATCGATTTTTCGAAATCGTCGCAATTATCTCTTCTTCAAATTCTCCCTTTTTTTACCCAGACCACTTGACTTTGACTGCTACTACGACTGCGAGAACGTGATCGTCTTCTTCTTTAGAATCTTTATTTCTAAAGAAATTTTTTCTTCGATTTACCTTGAATCTTAATGGTGATATTTATTCTTCAAAATAATAAACCTCAATTAATAGCAAAAATTTGCGCCTTTTATCGCGACAAATTCAGTTTCCTATGATTCATGAAAATAAATACCCTGTCTCTGTCCTTGTGTTGCAGAATGTGCATCGCGGAGGGCAGGGACAGTTCAGGGCGCTAACAAGCGCATACGACATCTCCTCTTTCGCTTCCTCGTCGCCCTCCCCTTTCTCTATCTCGTTGGCGGGGTCACTCTCGCAACAGCAGCAGCAGCGTCCGACGACCTATCGGCCGCTCCTTCGCCGAGACGATCAGATTCAAGTAGTTCGGGCCGTGGAGGACGCGCACGCATTCGAACAACTTCGTTCCCAGGCGCAATCCCCCACGACTGACTATCAAAGCCACTATTATCGCGGGACCGATGAAACCTCACCGTCAACTTCGTCTTCGCTTTTTCGTCAATCAGTGACGGCGCGTTCGCGCTTATCCGACCCGCAACAAAATTCGTATGCTAGACTCTTGCATTTCCAAGGAGATAGGAGAACCGACTCGTTCGTGCGTTACTGAAAGCGACCGTACGAATCGACCGAACGCGGACATCTCTCATGCCCGAGCGTATTTTCTACGTGAAAGATACCCTTCGCTTTTATTGCACCTAATCTGTTAAGAACTCCATTTAGGAAATTTCCAATTTTCTACAACATTTGCCCAAAAATTTGTGTCATATCGTTTTGAAATGATGTGTCATTATGTTTTGAATAAATATATATATATATATGTATATGAAGAAAAAAAAGAGATATTTTTAATTGGATAAGAAATATAATAAACTGGTTTTTACATTTCTACCTTTTTTCTAATCGTAATGAAGACTGCATCAGTTTTCATATGCATCATATATTCATGTGGGCATTAAAATATATAAGAGGGAAAATGTGAAATTTCTTAAATATTTATTCTTGCTTTGATTAATCTTTTTCATATAAAATTTCACCTGCATTATTTGTGTGTGGGAGAAATCTTATAAAATTTTTTATATACATATGTATATACTTATCGTGAGTACCGTGATATCTAACATGTACACACATAATATATATATGTATATATATATATATATACATATGCACACACATATTCGTTTATGCGCGTACGTGTGTATTATATTTTTTATATTTTTATATTCATTTTCTATACATGTATATGATAATGTATTATACATCAAATAAATATATTTTTTACAATTGGAACTTTGTATATATTCCACGATTTTAATGAATAATTACTCTTCTTTTAATAATGCTATCGATTGTTTTCGATTATTTATCGTATGTGATTTCAGTCAAAACTTAACTGCGAAGTTCTTGACGACAGCATAGCTTTTGAAGTGCGATGGGCCGTGGCTGGGGACAGCATAGTTGTCCAGCTCGTTGCAAAATTAGGTAAATATAAATCTATAATTCAAAATTATCGCTGTGTGAATAAAAGTATTCCGTTCAAAAATATATAGAGTTGAAGAAAAATATGAATTTGTTTAAGAGATGATAATTACAAAATTGAATTGACTATTGATTATTAGATGTCGGACAATACATGGCCTTTGGAATATCCCCGGATATAGAGAAGAGCATAATGGTTGGCGGAGATGTCACTGTAGCGTGGGTCGACAAGCAGACTTTGCAAGGATATGCCATTGATTACTTCCTAGACGCAAAATCCCAGTGTTCGGGACGTCGAGGCAGTTGTCCAGATATCCGTATACTGGTATATGCAAATGAAACTGCTTAAAGTATTTTTTTCGTTCTTATCACGTAGCGATAATGTAAATCTAATCTTCTCATCTAAAGGAGAACACGGACTCGGTGCGATTGTTGAACGCGGCATTGGTGAATGGCTACAGCATTGTCACGTACCAGAGACCGTTGAGGGCCAGCGATGAATTGGATCGTCCAATATTGACGAATAGATCGCAGGCGATAATCTGGGCCATCGGGCCATTGAACGAGCGACAGGAGGTCAGTTTTCATAGCCGCTATTTGAAGACCGATCGGTTCATCGAGTTCAGCAGACCGCCCGCGTGGAACTGCCCCATGCCTGATCAGGAACAGATCTCTGGCCCCGGCGGAAAAGGAAGCGGCACTCAAGTAAGTTGTAATCTAAACTTAATTAGAGAGTTGTATATTATATTTCCTTTGGAAAATGATATGTTGAAATAGCAGGAGGTTACCAGTGCGAGAAGACCGCCACGTTTACCGGCGACTCCTGCACCGGCATCTACGAAAGACGCTTGGGAGATACCACCTATTCAGTGCAATGAGCCGGATGATGGGGTTTTTTATGCACAGATGGGGCCTACCGGGGGGAAACATGGCTATCCCGCCATTACCGGTAAAAGATTAAATCGACGAATAACATTAGAAAGATAGAATGCTTTTTTGTTATAATATTTATATAATATTTATTAGAGGTTTTTGAGCGGTAACTTCTTAAGGAAGCATTTTTCAACTCATGTTTATAGGAAATTTTTTGTTCAGAATTAAATTTCCTATAAGATCTTAAAGTCTGGCTGGAACGTTCGGGGCCACCCTGTGTATATATATATATATATATATATATATATATATATATATATGTATATATATATATATATAGAAGAAATATATATATATATATATATATATATTTCTCTCAAATATATATGTACTTAGTCTTTCGTAAAGTTAATTAAAATCTGCACAACTTGATCCGTTAGGTATTCCACGAGAAAGTATTACAAGAAACCTATCTATATCTGTAATCCAAACCGGTCTTTGTTTCACTTTCTCTCTAGGCCACGTCGGTTGGGGAATCTCTTGGTATATCAATGGATTGTTGATACCCGAGATTAATGTGGTTCGAGGAAAGAGATATACTTTCGTGGTAGAAGGTGGCTCAGATCCAGATGTACCAGCGCGTTATCATCCGTTCTACATCACGGATGACCCGATAGGCGGTTACCAGCACAAAACGGCTGAAGAGAAAGCGGTAAAGAAGGATACCCTCTTGCATACAAAATTTGCTAAAAAAAGTTGACTTCTTAATTTAACTTCCCCGTTAAATGAAAAATCCGAAAATCTTGAATTTATTGTCTAAGCATCCTCGAGACACAAAAATGTTTGAAAGCATACAACACAAGAATTTTTTGGCTTAAATACAGAATTATCAGTTTTTGACGATTTCTTTTCTTGTTGAATTTTAACAGAAAGTAAAGATATTTGCCGGTGTACTCCGACAACGCGGCAAGCTCATCCCCACTGGCACAGGTCGTCTTTGCAATTGGGTACCAGATCAGAATCAACCGCTCGCGGATGAATTCGCATCTTTCGGAGCTTATCAACGCACTCTGACACTTGAATGCGACCATGGTGAACCGGGTATTGTGGAATGGACGCCCGATGAAAATACACCCGACACGGTGTATTATCAGGTAATTCATCCCAACTAAAGATCTGTGTCGCGTATCGATTCTGTAATTACGATCTGTATAAATTTTTATCTATTTGTATACAGGATGTCCCGAAACTATCGCTTGATATTTTAAAGGCAGATTCTCTGGCCAATTTAAAAACGATTTTTCCTCAGCGAAAATATCGAGGCACTAATAGTTTTCGAGTTAAACGATTGAAAATAAAGGGTTTTTCGCAAATTAAGCCTTATGGGAATAAAATATTAATAAAGTTACATTCTTTAGTTAATTTTAAGTAGAGTTTACTTTAATAAAATTTTAATGTAAGGCTTAGTTAGAAAGATACATGACAAAAATTGGGAATATACAAAAAATAATGATCTTCCTCGACATTTTCGCTGAGGAAAAATCGTTTTTAAATTGGCCAGAGAATCTGCCTGTAAAATATCAAGCGTTAGTTTCTGGACACCTTGTATATATATATATAATTTGCGCACAAGCATTATAAAATACCTTTAAATAAATTTCTAATTTTCTGAAATAACATTCTTGCAGTGTTACACGCATCGTTATTTAGGATGGAAGATCAACGTTCTCGATTCTTGCGACCTCGGTGACGAACCATCATCGGCGGCCAGTGAGAAACACGAGGTATACGCGGAGCCAGCTAAGGGTCGCCAGGACCAACCGGCAGATCAGGATTTAGAATATGACGCTAGCATAGCCGTAGCGAGCAAGGTAACGCCACCAGAGGAGTTTCTTCATCAACAGCATGTTCATCATTCTCACCGCGAATATGGCCATCGTTATCCTCATCATACGACGACTAACAGCAAGTTAAGTGCCCCATATCACCACCCGCAGTTACTAACGAACGCCAATAACAATTACGATCGCTTGCAATCATCATCATCATCATCATCCGAGAGCTCGTATGAGGCACGTCTGAAGGACGCGTATCGTGTTGATGAGGAAGCTTTGCAGCAGCAGCAACATCGACCGGTCACGACCACTCACGAGCAATCGTCGTCCCTTCGTGCCGGTCACCTCACGGAGCTCGGACGGGAGCAGATTCAGCAGCAGATTGCTACTAATCAGCAATTGTCTAACCTCGTTGCAGATCACCAACGGCCAACTTCATTGAATCACGGGACAAAGTTGTCCTACGTAGGAATGGCCAGCGGCAACCACGGCCAGCTACCATACTCCCGAGCACCGCATTATTACGCGACCAATTACCATCACGTTCGCCATCAGCTTTCTCCGCCTCTTCCTCGTTATCATCATCAACACGAACCTCCGAGGACCCAACTGATGATCATACGTCGGCCAGTGACATTAACGCGCCGTCCGATGTTGCAGACTTTACAGGCCGCTAATACGATAGCTTCGACAAATGCGCTGTCATTGCCGTTTTCGTTGCCGTTATCACTGCCGTCGTCGTTATCTTTCTCATCGCCACCGCGATCAATCTTCATCGAGCGCAAAAAGTCCGTCTATCGGCCGCCTATTATCGCGGCGACGACGATGACAACGACGACACTGAAAACGATCGACAAAGCGGCTAATCTGCCGCTTGAGAAATCCATGACGAAAATCGACACGAAGCAACAACGTGCGCAACTCGAGGCGAAAATAGGCTCGGAGATCACTGCGGAAATTTCGGACAATCTCATGGATCCTCAATCGTGGACGCTTCTGAAACCTGCGCGTAACACCGGCTTTAATCCCGATTCCATCGTTATCGAAGGCGGCTTCAAGCCAATTATCAGAAATGCCGTAGACAACGCGCCCGATGTCATGCAGAAGAGGACGGATGTGAATGGAGGAGCGTGGCATGAGGACGACAGGAAAATGTATGGGAAGCGTTCGGATTATCGAACGATCGACGAGTTCTCGCCCGTTTTTATGCCATCGCTGCCTGTCGCGACGACATCTACGATCGAGGGCGACAGGAAGCGAAAGAAGAAGACATCTCCCACACGCATCTCATCGCGGCACGATGATGTCGACGACATGGAGATGGCGGCCGATCTCAGATTGGATACTTACTACCTTCCGCCGATTGCGAAGACGCGACCCGAGCAGCTACCATCCTCCTCTTCCGGCGTTCTAATCACTTATGACGGTAAAAAGCTCAAGGACTCTACCGGCCTGGCCAGATCCATTTCCAACATCGAGCATCGCGATAGCAAGGGCAGACTGACATCGGAACTGCTTAGTAGAACGCCGCAGTTCGGTAAGTTTCAAGGCGAGCTTCCTCCGCTGATTCCTGGCGAGATGCGCGCAAACGGCTCGTCGTACGAGAGAAGATATCATTCGTCGGACGTCGATCTATCGCTCCGTTCCGAGCTCTTGCCCAAGACGAGGCTGACCCTGGTAGAGAGATCGAAGAGATCCCCATCGGAAGGGCGTCGAACGATGTCTAGCACCAACTTTCAACGAGACGACTCGAACAATCACGATCATCGGGAACGCGAACAGGTCGAAGCAATCAGCGGAGGAGCAACACGCCTCGGGAATCTTGGATCTATCGTCCTGATCACGATCGTGGCGTATTGCGCGATCTGAAATCGTTGGCGATGTTTTCGTGTCCTTTGATGAAGATACATCAGTAGTATCCTCGCGGGATCGGAAAGATCGTCGATCATCCGAGTGCGTCTCTCGCGTAGGCCCGCGCCTGATATAGGATTCGCGTTCGAAAATAATAGACGATATACTCCAATTGCGTTAACCCTGGGGAAGGCATTTACTAACCTAATGAGAAAACTACTGATTTCCTATATGAGTAGTACAATCCGCCTGTCGAGCGTCTCGCTTCTGGCATCGCTCTCTTGATCGAATACTCTTCGTGTAACAGCCATTAGCTCCTGACGTGACTCGACGTGGTCTTTTTATGGCTTGTAGACATTTTAAGACGCTTTTTTAGGTATTATGTTATATTTAAACATATATCTGGAAAGAGAGAGTATGTTTGAGTTTTTCATCCCCAATTAAGGCGCACGAATTTGTTTTTCTATATTAAACAACGGAATTGTCTGGAAACAAACACACGTAAAAACCCAATCGAGCTTCGAAAATACTTATAAATGGCACCGGAAATGTTTGCAGTAACAGGTACTTGTTGAATTTTGCTGGTGTATCTGTAAATAAGATAAACCAATTTTGTTAATAAAGATAATCTTGATACACACAGGTCATCAAATTGTGCGTATATTTCTAGTTTTAAGAACAATAGAAAAAAAATATATGTGCATTCGATTTCGATACACATATACAAATATCTAAATAAACTAAATATTTTCCATCTAAGTTATTATGCTTTAATAGAATCTAGAATCGACTTCATAAAAGAAAAAAATAACGTGCAAATACGATATTAATTATGATAATATATTTTATTGGAATAGAAAACAAATGTTATACAAAGTAAATTGACACAATTATAATATACGAGAAAAACCGAGATTGAGCTATTTGTTATTAAAAAAAAATAATAATTCGCACACAATCTTCAACATCTTTTATCTGCCGCACATATATTTACATTCTTATGAAATTCTGTACATGAATTTAAGTACATATCTATGAAAAGAAATAATAAAAAAACCTACATATATAAATTATTAATTATATATATAAATTATTTTCCGAAATCTTATCAATCGTTACAAAAATATAAGCATAGAGCACACATACACAGACATATCTAAGTCTGCCGTTTATTGCAGGTATTCTAAATTAAAAATCATTAAGATTTCGCACCAGTCACCATTTAAATACCATATTATGATATCAGAAGGCAAAATGATGACAATGATGATAATGGAATGGAGATTTTAAAATTTGTTATCATAATATTAATTAAAAAATTGTTTGCAGATTTTATAGCTCATTAAGAGGTATATTTAGCGATTTAAATAATGGTGCTGCGATTTCAATTAATTAGTAATCATCAAAAATAAAATTGATTATGGGTAGCATATAGAATATATGCAGACGCGTTTTTTAAATTTATATACAGAAAGAGGATTTTGCATAACACATTTCACGCTTATAATGGAAAGATAGAGTGTAAAAACATTTTTTTTTAACGTATATTACAAAAGAAAAATACAATTTCTCACGCTGACGTCACAATCTGATATTGTGTGTATATGTTGGTGACTGATTTAAAAACTCTAAGGTATGTATATGTGGTTAGAGAATATATATCGAATAGCCTAAATACCAAGACACTTTAAACATAGAGATTATTTTTTTTTAAATATATATAATCAACACTGCGCATATATTTACATATATATATTACAGAAGATTATATATATATATATATATATATATATATATATATATATATTCCCTTATTAGTTATACAAGTATAATGAATATTCGGTTAATTGTTCTTTTATAATTTTAAGTGATATATAAACTTTACAGTCATATGTTTTCTCGGTGATAAAATTTACGTCTATGAACGAGTTTTTCTATTCATTTAATATTCTATTCATTTAATATTGCATATTATTATATTGTATCATTGCGTATATGTATATGTGTTTCAGTCGATTAATTTTAAATTTCATTCCGTATATATCGTAAATATGCTCGATGAAAGATCTCTTCTTAAAAATGTGTTAGTTACGATTATAAAATGACATTATTTTTAAAGCGACAAAAAAGCACGTTCTTTTAATTAATAATAAATATATATTTTAACGCGATTTAAATATTCACTTATAAAAGTATTATGAGATATTAAAATATCTATTGCAATATACACAATTGTATATTGCAATTTGCCTTTCTGAAAGATAAAAATTTAAACACTTTTTTTTTTCTAAAATTACATTCATCGGAAAAATAGAATTTTTTCTTATATCATTCTTGTAAAAAGTTGCATTTCATCCCGAATACAATTTCAAGATTGTTTTCAAATTTTTACATTGAAAATTTATCAATATTATATCATTATCGTAAGTGTACAATGCAGTTGCCAATTTCCATCTATCACGATCTGTTATGTGTTTACGAAAAAAAGTATAAACAGAGATATACATGCATGTGCAAAGAAAAGGATGTTCCGCATTTTCTACTATTAGCGATAAAGTTATCAAGCATACAATTTTGACAATCTATTGTGAAATTATAATTCAGATTCTACAAACAAAAACAAGAATCAGAAAAATTCTTTATACTATACATTTATACATTCCTTGCACAGAACATAAACAGTTCACAATACAATCAAAGCAATCACCGTGTTTTTTATTAATGTGAACACAATATACGTATATAATAGAGAATAACAAATATAAATACGCATGCGTGCTATATAATAATTAAACGTTTCAACAAAATTCATAAAATCAATGCTTTTCTCATATGATTAAAATTTACAATGTTTATAACAAATTTGCGTCGCAATTCATCAAAGTTGAAATTTGAAATCAATAATGCACGGTGAATCTGATAAAATGTGAATATTTATTTCTCTTGTTTCTGTTGATATACTTGATTAATAGATAAAAACAATGATTCTCCTAATTAGGAGTGCATATACAATTTCTGGTTCGAGAAATGTTATACTAGAAAAATGACAATCTCTTTGTGTACTTCACTTCACGGAAGTACACAAAGAGAAAAGATCAGATACATTTTTTATATGAAATAAATATAAATATGAAAAAAATATATATTTGAGAATTCCAAGTAATATCAATTAAAACGAAAGATAAAAATCATTAGATCAAAAAGTATAATTTCCTTGGTGAGATTCTGTTAAATAATAGACTCATCTCTTTTGATATAAACATTCTTTATACTATATAATACGTTGATATATACATAAACCTAATTCTTCAAATCATAATTTATAATTTATACATCAATAATATTTTTGATATTTTATGTGCAATGAAGACAAGAATTCCGATTCTAATATCTTATGTATATTTATAATTCGTGTGATGGACATTCGTGTTTCAAGCAAAATTATATTTGAAACTTTGCAAGTTGAATAAATTTGCCCTTTTCAATTCATACCCTTCTGATAACGACTAGAGAAAAAATATATCTCAGCGCATCTTACGGGAAATAATACAATCATAAACTGCTTTCAAATTTAGTTGTAATAGCAATTGGGAAAAAAATTATTGCATTTTCCATTCCGGGAAATGCAATAATTTACACATGCAAAGATACAATAATAATTGAAAGTTGTTCCTAGATTTAATTATAATAATAATTCGGAAACATATTCTACTTGCATTTCAAAGATATTTCGTAATGAAAAGACGATTGTTACTGGAAATAAGTATTCTTACTTTTTGTTCGAGCAAAAATAAATCTTAAAAAGCTTACCTAATATAGAAAAAAAAATGAAATCAAGAAATCAATTAAATTAATATACGATTTTACTAGCGTATGTTTTTTTGTCGATTGTCATTGTACCATCGTACATAATTAGATAGCAGTAAAGCATTGAATATTATAATTATTTGTCCGATATACTTATTATATCATATGTGTATACAAGACACGCTGTCACAATTACATGAATGGGCAACTGAGAAATATGGTGATTTTGTAGCAATTTTTCTCACCACGTTCGCTTTTTAAACATAAACTAATTATTTTGCAAAACTTGATTCTTTAAATCAAGATGCAATAATAGTAGAAAATGTGGGACAACCTATTACATTTACAGATATAATTGTATGAGTAATATATATATATATATATATATATATATATATATATATATGTATGTATGTATATATTAAATAATATTCATTTAAAAAGGCATGTAAATATATATATATATATATATATAAATAGTGTAATTATATATATAAGCATATAATTATAATAATTATATTATATAATTATAATTATATATATATATAATTATAATTATTATATATACATATTTTATCTATACATATACATAATATATATATATATATAATATATATATATATATATATATATAATATATATATATATAATATATATATATATAATATATATATAATATATATAAAATTATATAATTACATATAATTGACAAAAAAAATTTTTTACAGATTGATCTTTTACAAAGTTGCAAAGTATATTTACTAAGAGACGGCGATTACAATGGAAAAAAACAAAGTACCTATAAAGATTAATTATCAATTTAGCTAAACCACCGGCTGATGCCAGACAATTTTACCGCTGAGACAACCGGACACAAGTAAATAGTGCTTAGGTGAGAATTTCGTGCTAACCACAATATCGGAATGACCAATGTGCGTCGCTAATTCGTGAAGCTTCACAGACTCGTTGGCAGGCGGGACGCAATTAGACAACTCGGTGCAGTCGCTCGAGAATGCCAGTAATCGTACGCCATAAGCGAACGGCGAGCATATCAATCTACCGTCCGCCGAGAAGCACAGTTCTTTGATATATCCGGAACCGACATTCGGTTCCTCGATGTAATGCGTCAATCTAGGCGTGTTCTGATGGATCTTATGGTTCCTCGGTATCGCGTACATTGTTTGTACATTCTGTCGATTCTGCAAGTTCTGCACCCGAGCCCGATCGCCAATTATCACCACCGTGTGGGACGAACGAGGAATATTCACGCTCACACCGTTGTTCGATCTAGGAAGCCAGTCTCTCCTCTCGGCGCCGGGGTAAAATTCCCTCTCGCGTTCCCTGCGAAGTCTCGCTTCTCTGATCGCCACGAGCGCTTCCCATACGTCGCCTGTGCTAACGTGCAGTTCTACATTACCAGTAGAAAAATTGTCGATCGCGTTACGTCGCCGCAAGTCATTGAGCTGAGAGTGCGGTCTGGGAGATCTATATTCCCGTGTACCCTCTCGATCCGCTTCATCGGCAGACGCCGAATTGTCATTATTGTCGTCCACGTCGTGCCGATCTTCCGATCTGTCGTCTTGGTGAATCGCCGCGTTTACTCTCGCATCGGCGGCGGAGCTTGTACTGACCTCGACCGTGTCGAAATTCGTTCTGGCCGCGTTTCTGTCCGGACGAGAATTCCTCGACTGATGTTGTAGGTTGTTTCTACGCGTCGTCACCTGCCAACCTGTCCTCGACGACGGTCTGACCGACGACGGCGCGGCGTCCGTGGACACACGGATAGGTGGATCAAATGAGTTTGATCTCACATCCGACGCTACGTTGTGTACTATAAAGGAAGACCTGATGCCCGAACGCGATGGTTGCGATTGTGGAAAATCCACGAATTCGTCCACGTTTAAACTGGTTAAACGACCCTCTTCTCCCTCGTTGACGTGCTCCCCGTTGCTGGATGCTTCCCGTTCCTGTATATCGTGAACGCAGGTCCACTACGAAACGAAACGAAACGAGTTAGTGAAATTTATATCGATTAAAAAAAATAGTCTTGATAATCCGATGCACGATTCAACGCGCGGAATCAAACCTCAGATTTCTCTCCGCTGCTGACGTTTCTAGACAAGGCGCACCATCCCTGCGGATGAACTTGTAAACTGGATATTACCTCGGCGTCGTCACCTACGGGGAAATCAGTGAGGAACTCGACTCTATTGTGGGGACGGTTGTGAGAAAAGAGATGCGTGTAACTAGCTGCAACCGGTATGGTAGTTTGCGATAACTGCATTAATCTGTACATATTTGGCTGCAAGAATAATATAAGAATAATTTCAGGCCATCGTATTAAGATTATGATATATTTTGACAGAGACACGATAAAAGAGGGCCTACCTTGAATCCAGCCAAATCCTGACTTAGTGTGCTGAGTTTAAGATTGTGTATTATAATGAGATATCCTGAAGTAGTACATATTAACATTTTACTAGTGTCAGGAGTCAGCCTTGTTCGCATTAGTCCATTTGTATGAAATACGCGAGTGAAAACAAAGCTATTTTCTGTAAAACTGCAAGACATACATTGCAAAAAACACATCATTATAATCGTATCATTTTATAGATATAAAAAAGGACAAAAACTGCATGCATATTAATTGAATAATCCTTACCTGTTAATATCCCAAGTATATATACTACCGTCGAATCCGCTGGTCAATAATAGACTATCGTTTGGGCTATATTCTATATTTTTAACCCAATTGGAGTGTCCCTGAAGAGTTCTTATCCTCTGCTTCAAGTTTCTGGCATCCCATAGAGCAACTGTACTGTCGTCGGAACAAGTTGCAAACATACGTTGATCCAGAAATCTAATTGCGTCGACAATATCACATGTTTTATACATCGTGTCTTTACCATTCGCAAGATTTATGAGCGAACAAAGAACGTAAATAAGAGATTCTTGCAAATCGTACAAACCTCACACAATTGACGCAGTCATTATGAGCATTGTCTATTGCGTGTATCAACTTCCTACATAATGGGTCGAACATTAAAATACTTTTCTTTTCGCATGCTGCCAGCAAGAGAGACCTGCAACATCGATGGGAGATCAGTGAGAGACACGCGATATAATTTACAAATTTCAATTAACATCACGACCATAGCTCGAGAAAGTCGGTAGGATACACGACCACGTTACTAACCCGTCTGGCGAATACTCCAAATTAAATACGCCACCGTGTCTCGCGGCGCTCAAATTGTCCCCGTGATCCCACGAGGTGATGGGCTGTATCGAGGAGTAAAGAGTCTTGTGAAAATTGTCACTGTGGCCAAGCGGGAATTTCACACCCAGCTCCCGTTGTCTCAACCAAAGACTGTTCGGCGTCTGCTTGATCCTTATCTTCGGCATTTCAGCCAGGCGTTAATCAACTGCATTCAATCGAACGTGTCCAGCGACGTGGCCGAGAAGTTCGGCGAACAACCTCCACAGAGATGCTTCTTTCCTCTGACAAAACGATATCTCTATATGTACATGTATATTCTCGATATAGCGTTCGATCAACGAGTTTCCCCGCGGTTGACAATTCCCCCCTTGTTTCTTACGACGAGCGCGCAATAGCCTACCTGAGGGAGCTTCTCGACGCTGACGAGATCGGTCGACTACAGGCTACACAGGTACACAGGTGTACAGGTTAAGTTCGAGTCCTACGCGCGATATTACACGTGACTTTCCGCGCACGTCTCCGCCTACGTTCGCGAGACGCGCGACACACGACACGCGACAAAGGTAGCCCCGAAGTGGACGACGGGCGCGATTCGATTCCCGCGTGGCGTCCTGTCAAAATAAAAAAAAAAGGGACTCGATAAGCTTCGAATCAATTTTAAAAATCTGACATAACACGCAAATCAGCGCCATCTTTATTGAAGATAGGTGTGCGGTTTGCGTTGCCTGTCATCGCGTCGACGAGATACATTTGACATTTGGCCACATCCGCGCAAGTTCAATGATCCAAAATATTCTGGAGTTAGTGTTTTTTTTAGAAAGCGCGCAAAATTTTCACTCTACTCGTGCTTACACACACGATATAAATTTATAAAATCTTAGAAGACATTCTAAAAGTATGTAGCTTCATCAACGCTATTTTTCTATTTTTTTCCATTTATTACTATATATAATATAGATTTTTAATTTATTGCATAGAATGGCAATTTTCGTTAAATATATTTGGTATAGAAAGAGAATTCATTACAAAAAAAAATTTAGAATATTATTATAAAATTTGTTATATTTTGTTTGTTTGTTATATTGTTTTATTGTTTATATTATTTATTGTTTATATTATATTATTTGTTTGTTATATTATTTTATTGTTTCTCAAAATAAAAAAAAAGGACTCGATAAACTTCGAATCAATTTTAAAAATCTGATATAACACGCAAATCAGCGCCATCTTTGTTGAAGATACGTGTGCGGTGTGCGTTGCTGTCATCGCGTCGACGAGATATATTTGACCTTTGGCCACATCCGCGCAAGTTCAATAATCCAAAACATTCTGTTATGTAGTGGGAGTTATGTAGTGTTTTTTTTTAGAAAACGCGCAAAATTTGCACTTTACTCGTGCTTACACACACGATATAAATTTATAAAATCTTAGAAAAGACATACTAAAAGTATAGCTTCATCATCGCTATTCTTCTATTTTTTTCCATTTATTACCATAATATAGATATTTAATTTATTGCATAAAAGGGCAATATTTTCGTTAAATATATTCGGTATAGAAAGAGAATTCATTACAAAAAGAAATTTAGAATATTATTATATATTTTTTCATTATTTTTTTACATTATTTTGTTTGTTGTTTTTTCCATTATGTATATATATTATGCGCTTTCTTTATTTACTGATTATTCAAGTATAACGAGCAAATTAATTATAATGGAATCAACTATGTGTTGATTGATGGTATACGATTAAAAAAGAGATGTATTATTTATTATATATAATTTTTTTTTGCCTCATGGTTCTGTATGTCGTTAATTGAGAAACTTTCCGCATTACGTGTTTTTTGAATACGGCAAATAGCCGCGATATAAATCGATTGTATAATTGTAAAATAAATTTAAAATGTAAAGATTATCATTGACAATTATACACATGTTATTTCGCGTCGCGAATACAAAGTGTATATCATAGGCGTTTACCGTATTCAAAATATACAGCTTTTTATTCTTCGTCGGATGCAATATCTGTATGAAATTTGAGACCGGTTCCGCACAAATGCTTCTCCGTCCATTCGTCGAATCGTCGAGCGAGATCTTCCGTCATATAATTCGTCCAGTCCCCAATCTTGCCTTTTCTGATAAAACTATAATTTGGATCTTCTTCCGCCTTCTTGTTTCCCAGCAATAGTTCTATGTTCACCGATGGATTTGTCACCATTTTTGAAAATTTTAAATGTTCGCATAACCCGATGATCTGCTCGTCCGTCACATTCTTGTTTAAAAATTTCGCTGTCTTCTTAATCACCGCTATCTGATCCTGAAAAATACAATCGCGCGTTTCAGTAAGAGATTCATTACAAAGATCCATCCCGGCAAAAGCGAATGGCGCTTTCTATATTTACCTTTTTCATTTCCTCGTATGTCGTAAATAATATATTATCCTGATCTCTCATCTTCCAAAAAGGTAAAACATGATCCCAAAACGGGCTACACGGAGCTAAACAAACATCATTTCTTAAATTTGATGCTATTAATATTTCATAAATATCGCTTATATCTTGGAGAGAGAATTTGTGTCTCTCTTTTGCAAATTAATTTACAACATTGCAGATATTTCCAGTCTAAAGTGACAAATTACTAAGTGCACATTCAACTTGTGACACTAATAAAAAATACATATGTTTTTTGTTATACATCGAAAATTCTATTGAAGGATAATTTTATGATTCGCGTGAAGAATCTGTTTTTCGAATTAATAGTATATTACTCGATACTCGACGCACCACTATCTTGCAGCATCAACTCCGCAAAGTCATCGAAGCTCCCTTTCATGCTGTGGAATGCTCTGCAGTAATGATAAAAACTGACACAGGTGTCTTTTGGATTTCTCGTAACATATATTATCTGCAAAATATTACATATTATAAAAAATTACGTTGCACTTCTCCATTTATCGTGCGTATCTTCACCTTTGGTTTCTTTTCGTGAAGTTGTCTCGGCAATAAGTCCCACGGCAAATGACTTTTGATGTATCGCGGCCTTGGCATCTTTGTTACATTTTCAACGGAATCACCTAGCTTCGTAAACCATTCCTCGCAATTTCCGTTGACCATGATAGCCGAACTCCTGAAAGAGAAGGGATTCGACAGGAAAATGAAAAAAATATTGCGACTTTTCGTGATTAATTCTACCGAAATGATTCTATTGTACAATAAATAATTATGAGTTTTCGATTTAAGGAATCGACTTACTCGAGTAAGGGACTTCGTACGACGAAAAGCGTGCGAGCATTCTCGTAATCGAAATTATTCCCGATGCACCACGTCATCTCCTGCGCCCAGTGACTACCTAGGAGAAAATTTCATCGTGTTAAGAAGTAATAAAGGATCGATTTAAATAATATAATTATGCAACATGGAATTCATTGCAATTATTTCTCCTGGCGTATTAATAATTATGCTCATAATTATTCTCTCTAAAATTGCATACATATGTACATATATTATATGCACAGATTTAAAGTATAATCTTTCAATTTTAATTGATTGCAATTTTATTAATTACAATTTTTCTTCTGGTTTTGTATCAGATGTATCGCAAGATTTCTCTCTAAAATTTTATACATACATATATACAAATAGTTTTAAATCCATTTCTGAACTTCCTACACATGATGAGACATTCTGTATATAATTACTTTATTTTTAAAATTATTACCAGTCCGAGGATACGAGATCATCCAAACGTCATCTTCATAGACGGTCAAGTCGCGTATCTTTTGCGCGTAAAAGACAATTTTCGGTGGCAACAAGGACTGACTGGGTAGTACTTTTAAGAAACTCGGTTTTACTCCAAACATCTCGTCCAACTTTTCTCCCTTCTCGTCCTCTATGGTCGAGAACACGAACGACTCTTTAGCCACTGTAAAAGATTTAATAATTAAAAGAGAGAAGAGATAGAGAAAAAAAAATGATATGACAATTTTCTGCATCTGACACTCACTCGATTCTTGAATATTCGTTATGCGAAAACTTAAGACTTGCAAATGCAAGACGTAGATACAGTGTATTCACGCACACCCGGATATTGTCGCATTCACGACTTGCGGAGAAATGAACGTACCCTCGTACTGTTGTTCCCATTTGAATCCCACCGACGACTCATGGGTTACTTTTTACTGGTTCTGCTCCTTTGTCCCGTTTATGCGATGAAACTTGTGTACACTTTCATATTCGCGCCACAAAAATATATAAATTCGCCATATATGCGCGTATCCCTCTTGTACACATATATTGCTCGACATTGAAGCACATATCTCACGATTATTTGCGTCAATAATATATATATATTTATTAAATGTATATTTTCAATATAATTTAATTAAAAAATGTAATTAAAAATATTATATACATTATGATTGCTCTACAATTTTCATCAAAGGACAGGAAAATTCTAAATTGCAATATTAAAAGAGTCAAGTTTTTTGCTTAGCCTACTTAGCTTTTTTCTTAATAGTATTTAAACAGTAATATTATTAAGATACATTGTAAAAATATGTATCTCTCTTTTCTAACTTTTTACAAACTTTATCCAATTAAAATAGTTTTATTCAGATAGAAAACGACTTTTTGAGAGAGAATTTTGGGTTTTAAATTTATCTTACCCTATTTATTTATTTTACATTTCTCTTTATTATTCACAATTAAAATTCAGAAAAAAGAATAATAATGCAAAGATGTTTTCTTAAAATACAAGTGTGTTATTACACGCACACACACACATACATATATATATATATATATATATATATATATATATATATATATAGGACGAATGACTCTTTATAAAATACATATAACGAATTAAAAAAAAAGTCCAAAGCATGCGAGAGCATTTCTTGTAGCGTTTGAATTATTTGCAATGTGTTATTAACTTTCTCGCAGAGAACAGAGATTTCACTTTCGGAGAAAGTTGCCAGCTGCATTCTTATCGATATACTGCGCGATAGGTGTATAATTATTATTAGTGTGCATGTGTGTCCTCATGCATGCGTAGGAATAAATAAACTTATTTTGCTTCGCGTAAGATATGGCAATATACTGTTTTTTAACAACACGACACATAACTTCGCAAGAGTTATAATGTATGAATTGATAAAAAAATTTCCCAGTACCTCGTATGCTCATGTGATTCACCATGAAGAAACGTATAGGCTTTATATATTTGGGGACGAGATAATAAATTATATATAATATAACATACAATACGCGTTATATTATCATACGACTTGTCTAGCGATCGTAGACTGTGTAGATTACGTGTAATTTTCATTTTCTCATCGATTCATAGATGAAGGAAATTTTCCCGCGGATCAGATTCGAGAATCGAGCGCATAGACGTTGCGCCATAAAGGTGCGGCCTCATTGACGCTAAAAAGTAGCGTCAACCATTGGTTGAACAATGAAGCAACTACTTACTTCTTTATTCAACCAATGGTTGACGCTACTTTTTCGCTTCAATGAAAAGGCCGCTTAAAGATGCGGCCTCATTGACGCTAAAAAGTAGCGTCAACCATTGGTTGAACAAAGAGGTAAGTATAGTTGCTTCATTGTTCAACCAATGGTTGACGCTACTTTTTAGCGTCAATGAGGCCGCATCTTAAGAGGCCTTTTCATTGACGCTAGAAACCAGCGGCAAATGGGGATCTAGTGACTAAATTTGCCGTTTGTCTTAATGGTGGGAGAAGTAGTGGCAAAACGGGTGGCACCCGATTGACCACGTCGCCAATTGGTCAATTCAAAATAGGACTCTCTGATTGGTTAATCGTTGCTGGTTACCCTAGGCACAGGTCGATATAATTGGCTGTGGTCAATCGCAACATGGTCAAACGGGACGCTCCCCGGCAAAACATGCTTTCTTTCACTCTAATTGCACTAGTGTAAAGCGGCCTTTTCATTGACGCTATTTTTTAGCGTCAATGAAAAGGCCGCTTTAATCCTACTGCCATTGTAGACGATGTGTATAGTGTATGTACGTAAATTATTTATTTTCAGTACTGGCAGTGAATTTTAGAACGCAGCCTGTATATACTGTGGTTTGGTGTTTGGCGTTTGGCAATGTTTGGTAGTTTGGTGGTTTAATGAGGTGTGGTGCGGTCTGCTGGTTCTAGTCTTCATAGCTGCAACAATTGTTAAATGCGCTCGCAAATTATTATTCATGTCACGGGTAAGTTCTAGGATCGTATCGCTTGTCGCTTTTTGCGTTACAAGAAATTCGCGTATTCCTATTGATCTCGATTTGACGTAACATTGAAGGTTATACTTTACTTGCAACATATATACACACATACATGCATACATATTAACAGAAATGCATAGCTGTTACGTGTTTTAGAGAATCTTGCAGATATATATATGTTTCGGGAGAAAAACTGATGCGACTGTGGGTTTTATTTTTTCTATATATATGTATTTTGTATCAAGATACCTTATATCTTGAAAGATATCTTGAAAGAGTAAAGGATTATATGTGATGTGTGATGTGTCAAATGCTTCTCCATATATAATATGTAGGATAATTTGTCACTCGTTTTGATATAATAATTTTTTTATAACATATACAAGAATGTATTTATTGTTTTTATAAAATAGCGTTAATATTTAAGAAATTAAAGTTGATTTTCAATATTTTGTTATTTTATTAAGCATTCTTCTCTCAGTTTGCTGCTACAATATTTCAATTGCTTTTTCACAATGTATTTCAGAGAATTTTTATAAATAAATATTTCTAGGGGTAAAATTCTTTTCAGTTTTATGAATCGGAAGAAACATCACAACGTCTGAAACGTCGTTTTGAAAAGTGGACAATGTATAATAAGTGGACAATTAGTAATAATTATCGTTGGAACTTTTCCATGGATCAATTATTCTGCGATCTTATACATGAATGTAAATATGTGGCACCAGGAGCGCAATTGACTTACGCTTTGAGAAATCGTTTAGAGAAATACAAAAGAGAAGTACGAAAAATGATTGTATCTCACATGAAAGATGGCTGTGCTCCATTGTTCATTGCCTGCAAAAGAGGGCATGTAGAGATTGTCGAATATCTCTTAAAGAAATGCGACGCGGATATCGAACAGAGGGGAAAATACGAAGTACCCGACGATAGATCAGTTCATTGTGTTACCCCATTATGGTGTGCTGCAGTATCTGGAAATTTAGAAGTTATAAAATGCCTTATATCACATGGAGCTGATGTGAATGCAGTCTCTGATTCTGGATCTACACCTGTTAGGTCTGCATGTTTCATGACTCATATGGGTAAGAAATTATATATCAATTATGCAGAATATAATTGATAGCTCAAATAAGCAAAAAGATATAATAGGTTTTATATTTTTTCAAGAAGCATTATTTTCTATGATATTATTTAATCTGTATATTCCTATAAACAATCAAATTATCTCATATTAGAAAAGATAAAAATAATATGTTATATAACATAGGAATGTAAGAATAAAAGTAATTGGACAAAAGCAGTTGAATAAATAAATAAATATATATATAGTGTAACCAAAATATTGTAAGAAGTAAGTGAAATTTTAGAATTGGATAAATATATTTTTATCAAATTGAAACAAAAATATAACCATGTGCAGGTCTAGGTCAAATCTATGTGTGCCAAGATTTAATTGTGCCATCATTTATTCTTTTATAATGCTTATAATAGTTACATATTACAGTTATTGCTTATATATTACTTTTATAATGCATGTAATAATCTCCTTTTGCTTATGTTTCTTACATTTGAGATGAAATAATATGCAAAAAAAAGAGGAAGAGATCATAAAGTTTGAATGTAAGAATTTAAGCAAAATATGAGACTTAATGGCTAATATTTATTATTCAATATTATAAAAATGTGTATGAATCACCCATTTAATTCTCATCAAATCATTGTTTGCTGATTTATTTCAATCATATCCAAAATATGCCAAATAATTTCACTATGGAAGAAGTGATTTCGGTATAGTGGTAAAATATTTAATTCTTAAGGATTTTTCTCGCTTTTTCTCTCTGTTTCGTTAGAAAATATTTAGTTTCTTTAACTAGTGATTGTTTAATTGGTGGTTGTTTTGTTTATAGATGGTGTGAAATATATAACTGAGTTTTTTAAAATACGAATGATTTTAAATATTTTTTAGATATTGTCTCGTATTTAGTGGAAAATGGCGCCGATATACTAAAAGCAAATTATAATGGCGGAACATGCTTGATAAATTCTATACAAAGCGTGGATTTGTGCACTTTTCTTTTGGAACACGGCGCGGATGTGAATGCGACGGATATTCAAAACAAAACTGCCTTGCATTATGCCATTCAAGAACACAGATTTCGAACTACCAAACTGCTTTTAGAACATAATGCAGATCCTCATCTCAGATCTCGATATAACGATGATGCCCTCCAGACTGCCTGCCTTAAAGGAGCCGTTCAGATATTTGAATATTTAGGTAAGAATAATTCAATATAATATTGTATAATTTGCGTTTTTTTTTTTCTATGATAAAAGATAAGGCTTATACTGATTAAAATGACGATATATAATATTTATGATTTAGTGGAAAATGTATCATATTCCGCGGAAAGATTGGCAGATGCAAACGAGCTAATGGGATCCACATTCTTCGATGATCATAGCGATACGCCAATAGCATTACAGTATTGGAGGGCGGCGATGGTCCTCAGAATAGACAACTCAAGTGACAGAGTGCCTTTGCCAAAGAGACCTGTGTTACCAAAACGCGAGATTTACAAAAACGCTGTAGAATTTTCAACCATGGAAGAATTAAACGCCATTTCGCTCGATTTAGACGCAATACGAATACAGAGTTTGTTGATATGTGAAAGGATATTAGGTCCACATCACAAAGATACTCTTTTCCGATTAATGTTTAGAGGCGCATCGTACGCAGATTCTTTTAGGTATTCGGATTACTTGAACGTTATAATTACCTGTATGCAGTCAACTATTATATTTATATTATATTCAACTATTCTAGTTCGTCCAATTTTTCTGAAACATTTTATTACAATTATAACAATATGTATTTCTTATTTTTAGATATCAACAGTGTATAGATTTGTGGCATCGAGTGTTAGAAATTAGAATTGAAAAGGATTCAGTATGTAAAACCTATTAAATGTCTGATGAGATACAATTATATGTGTACATAATTTTTTTACTGTATATAAAAAATTAACTAAATTCTGTCGATATTTTTTAGATTTTATATGCAGATACCTGCTTCACTGCACAAGCTCTTGTAAGACTTATGGTGGATCTAAATGAAAAAACATTGGAAGTAATAGATCGTAATCGAGGAATACCAAGATTTTGTGATGTAGTAGCGATATTTAAATTACTCTCTAGCCAGCTGACGGAAGCTAGAGAATTATTGGAAGTGCGTATATTATATAATTATAAGTAATTATACATATATATGTGTGTATATATATATATATATATATATATATATATATATATATATGTATTCTGTTGTCGAACGTATGTTAATTATATTAATATTATGTTATAGAAACGTCCTGTACATAAGAGGCAGAGAGACAGTTATGAACGTATTCTAAAATGTGTAACGCACCTAATTTATCTCTTAGTAGAAACAGCAAATTCTGATGAAGAGAAAATTTTAATGCACCTACTAGTTCATCGTTTAGTAAAACAAAATCCAAGATCTGTTTACACAGAGGACACGCTTCTTCATCTTTGTGTTTCTAGTTTAAATACAATTAATTCTAGTTACTTTACTTCTGCCGACGATATACATGTAAGTATGAACTTTTGTATCAAGAAAGTGGAAATTTTACAATAAATTATCCATCTGCTCATTTTTTAATTTTCAATATTATCTTCATAAATATATATATCTAAAATTAACTTCTCTATTCTATTCAATAAATTTAAAATTTTTTAATTCTTAAAAATTAAATGAAAAGTAAAATTTTATTCGCATCTTTAAAATATCTGAAAAATTCTTCTTTTGAAATAGTAATAAAGTAAAAACTATTGCTTTGCGAATATATTTTATTATAAAAAACGACTACATGATTAGATAATAAATGAAAAATACATATGCAATATGTTGACGAATGTTTTCAGACAATTTTTCCACGTTTGGATGTTGTTAAATTACTTTTGGATTGTGGAGCATATGTCGATGCTAGGAACACATTGCGTTCAACACCTTTACATATAGCAAGCAACGCGTACAATTTCCACAATCCTGTAAGTATACTTTTCTTTATATATTTAAAAAAATTTTTAAAGTTAAACATTATGACTCACATAAAAATTCCGTTTAAAACAGCTGATAAAATTGTTGCTGGATTATGGCGCACACTTAGATACGCCAAATAAAGCGGGAGATACACCACTACGACTGATATCCTCTAATCCGCTAAATAGCGTGAATCTCCTTAATTATACTAGTCTTCAGTGTCAAGCCGCACAGGCTGTTTGTAAATACGGAATCTGCAGCACAGAATTGCCTGTTACATTACGGCATTTCCTAGAACTTCATAGGGAATGATACCAATGGTAATTTATAGTAATAATTTTCAAGTTGTATTATATATGTATACTTACGAAGAGGATAATTTTCCAACATATTTTGTCATAATTCCAAATTATATGACAATATCAGAAGATTCATATGTAATGATGGACACAATAATGTATATATTAATTTATAATTAATAATTTAAATTCCAATTATAACAAATTAAATGAGCAACATACATAATATAAAATAGTAAAATATATATATACCAATGTCGAAACTTTATTATAAAAAAACTTAATATTAAAGGAAGTACTATTTTTAAAGTACCAACTATAATGTTAACATCTTGCCATTGAGAAACATACCAGGTATGGTCATGCAAAATGTTAACCGTGACATAAATTGTAAATATAACAGCATGTGCAGTTTTTAAAACATCAAAAGACTGAATGAGAAGAGAAAGCTTCTATAAAAACCAATAACGTTTTCGACTTGTTGGGTTTAATCGCTCCGGGGTAGTTTATCAGACGTTATTGAGCAATCACAGCCATTCTTTTGAAGAATGACTATGGTTAGTCAATAACGTCTGGTAAACTATCCCGGAGCGATTGAACCCGACAAGTTGAAAACGCAATGATTCTCTCAATTAGATATTTTGCAATATATAAAATATTATTTTTTAATATTTCTATATAGTGTAATGATTCGTGTAATTTAACTATTCAATTTAAATATTTATATATTACAAAGTTCTTGCTACACAGTCTTTTTCTGATATAGATGCTTGAGAAATTTCTATTCAAATATTGTTAAACGCACTGTACTGCCTACAAAGTAAGAAACAATGTCACCAATATGATATTTTATCATAGAAATATTAGAATTTTTCTAATTTCTATCCAGAATCTTGTGGCTTTTTTTCTGAAAAGATATTACAAGCAATAATTTTACTGAAAAGAAACACGTCAGCTACACAATTTTAATATAATTTAAGTTTAATAATTAAATCATCTAATTTAGAGATTATATTATATATAAAAATAATCGCGCGCGAAAATATCGAAATTATCTATATATTTTATAAATAAACATTTATTTAAAATGAAAAAATTGTATTAAATGGACTTTCAGTGGAATATAATCCGAGTTCCATTTCTGTAGCATTGATGTAGAAACTGATATAGAGTGCCTTTATATTTTATATTAATGCTATTGAGAATGCTTTTCATGATTTGAATGTTGATGAATCATCTGCTGGCATTCAAAACGTTTAATACTATGTTTTGCGCACTCTTAATACAGCATATTAGAATGCTATAGATTATTACTATATTCTTAATGTATTGTAATATATTATTACATCCACAGACCGCTATCGATAACTTGAACGCACGCGATGCACCTGATTGGCACACGTGAACTCCAATGCCGCTCATACTCGCAAAATAGACAATTCGTTTAACAGAGAATAACAGAACTTTAATAAAATTAAGATTATACACAAGAGAACATACATGTATTATAAGACTAGAAAATTTTTTTCTTAATTTTACTAATATTAAATCAAAGTAAACAAAAAATTGTCAATGCAAAAATGTTGTATTACATTGATTTAATGCTTAATATTTATATCTAATGTATGAATTCTGGAATTTGTATGTTTTTTATTCTCTCTTTTGATTGAACACGATAACATGACCCAGATATGCTATTCAGGATTATTTGCAAGATGTAAATCCTGAATTTTAATTATTAAGATTTACTGCAGTTTATTAATTTTTTTTCATGTATTTAATTTTAAGCATACTATTTGTACTTTACCTGTTATTATCTGCAATGCGAAGATTATAATATATATTCGAAACGTTGAAAATAATAATAAATCAAGTTGGCTAACATTGAATTTGGAAAGTGCAATATTAAAATTATGAAACTGAAAAATTAAAGCATAATATTACAAACTCAAAGCATAATATAATATACATATAATATTTTAAATTGATCTTTCTGCAGATTTGATCTCAATTATAATTCAAGCCAAATTTTATTTATTTTCTTCGTATTTATATGTTTTTTTATGTATATATCTCTTCATCTAATAAAGACGGATAAATAAATTACATGTAATTTTTCTTTCCATACACATATATATGTAGCTATAGCAGATTACCATCAAATAATAAAAAGAGAATTATATATTTATTATAATTTTAGACTAATAACAATGTATTATAAGATATACAAAGCGAGCATATACATATATAAGGAATAAGGAAGTTGAGGGAAGTTAGAGAAAACTATGTGGCTCAGCATTAGAATAGTGACTGACTGTTTTATCCCTATATTCGGAGCCCGTGAAATAAATTACAAAATTATTATATTACACATTAAATTGTTTTCATGAATTTTTGATGATTTGTTAAAACAAATATTTGGTAATATGTTATCTGGAAAATTAAGTGAGAATTAATGCGAGTAATTATAAGTATTTATTTGTTCTGTCGAGTAATTATCTGTTCATTTTGTTGTAACATTAATGTAGCAGTTTTACTAGTGATCCATTTTACTTATTGTTTTCCCTACTCTTTTTATCTCATAACATTTAGACGAGATCGCAGAACATGACATGAAGACATTCGAATTTAAAATAGTATTAATTATAAAGCATATTGGCCTTTTATTACAACATATTTTGTTTAGAAAGATATTATTATTATGAATATTATTATTGAAGTTAACTAATAATGAAATATGAATACTAATAGTATACATGTATACATATAAATATATACATACATACATATATATATATATATATATATATATATATATGTATATATATATGTATGTATATATAAAGAAAATCTGATTTTGATATACATATATATAAATACATGCAATTAATGTTCCATTTTAGTGTTACTTCTAATTTTGCAATCATAATAATTATAGTTATAATTACACAAATTTTTATAACGAACGCAACTTATTGTAGGAACCATTAATTACTTAATATAATTCAAGAAAAATAATATATGTGATACAGGTGATTTTTATCATCTTTAAATTGTACCATCACGATGCACGTGCTAATTTGATATAAATTGTTGTAACAACTGGCGAATTTTGATTCCATGTATCTTTTGTAAATTGAAAAAAATTTTTGACATATCTTCCACATATTATATTTAACTTTATAATAGATGAGAAAACATAATCGTAATTGTGATGAGTAATGATAACTTATGTGCAGTCGCACTATTTCTTGTGTAAGAATCGATTACGTGAATCTTCCATCCCATGTTTGGATGAGTAAACGAATTGTAATAAACCAAGTCGGGCCATGATGAATTCGGACTCACTGTTAAAATGCCACCGTCTCCTATGAATATAATCATTTTTATAACTAAGATTCATCTTTATGGTAATAAAAACACGAGTATTTCGAAAGTTTAATCAGTTTAAATTTGTGTGACGTGAGATAAAAGTTTGAAATTACGTTCGATAAATCGGAAACAGTCGAGAAACAGTCTTTACCTGGCTCGCAGATTTGCATGAGAGTTCTATTGAATTTTTTAAATGATGGAAAAGAATCATCCAGTCTTCTGTCTCGACCGTTATGCTTACTTAAACAAAGTGGTCCAACTGAAAAATAATCAAATTCGTAATAAATATATAATTTACATAAACACCCCAATAAACACTGTTATATTCATATTATAAAAAGCTATAAAAAAAGTTATAAGTATTATATAAAAGTATTATTAATAAGTCATTAATAAATTGTAATTTTCCATTTTTAAATGTATCATAATATAACATATACCATATGTTATTACATTTTAAATGTGGTCAACGAGCGACAGAATCCTACCGTGGCAACGATATGTAGACGAGAAAAATATGTGAGGTGCAAGTAAATGGATCGGGAATTAAACCCGAGCCTTTCGCTTTCCGGGCAATTGCTTTAGACCACTGAGCTATCCGGATTTCACACCTAATGCTATTTTTTAACACAGTGAAATTCAGAGCGATGTTGATATTTTGCTCGATGGATGCAATGATGATTGCCATGGAGGATCCTTGAAAAAGTCGCTCGCTGGCCAAATAAGTGCCAGTATTAGAGGTATTCGCGCGCATTGCATGTTGACTTCCGACTGGCCTTCCGTAAGAAACAGAATATTTGTCATATAATAAAGTTGATAATTAAATAAATAAAATAAATTATATATATTTAATTTATAAAATTCGGAATTTAATTTCTATAGAAATTTTGATTTTTCATTTCAAATAAACACTAAATAAACTATTTCCAATTTATTCACCCAATTTTCAATAATCTGTTAATATTCTGAATTACTGGGATTGCATTAGAAATTAAACTGACAAAAAAAAATGATATATTTTGGATCTTATTTTAGTATCCGTCCCTTCTAAATTTTATATCTATTTTATAGTGAAAAATTGAGAGAATATAAATCAATTAATTTTGATTTCACCGCATAGCGTCAAGCAAAGAAATACACATATAACAATATTATACTGCAATAATATTCTGTTACATTGTTGTAATACTGTAATATAATACGTATAATATATTACAGTATTATATCATATATATAACTTGCCTTATTTGTTATTTCTACATTATATTTATATAACAAATAGTGTTTACTGAGGTATAAGAGGGAGAGTGAATAAATCTACCAACCCGCGGTTGGTCGCGGTCGGCCTCTTCTAGTAAACTCAACTCCAGCTAACACTCTAATCTTGCTTTGCGCAAGATCGCTGAGCGTATCGTATCCTCCGTGAGGATCATCGGTTATTATTAAAGGATGATACAGGTTTGCACTGTGCGGATTATTTCCGCCATAAACGCGAAAGCTGTACGTTAATCCGCGTCGTAAGTACAACTCAGGTATCAGCGCACCTTCGATGTACCAGGCAAGACCTACCGATGGTTTTCCTGTAAATAAAAACTTTATTAATTTAATGTATTGTAAAACAACGAGTCTAAAAGGATCAGAAAATTTATACCCGTGATTCCTTGATATCCTTTTTTTCCTCCGGAGGGTCCAATAGTTGCTCGAAAAGTTCGGACGCTTCTGTCGATTATTTCTGTTTTCTGCCAAGGTTCTCTAAAAAGAGAATAAGAAACGTGATTAAAATAAAAAAATCGCAATTCGATTATAAAATAAAGAAACGTTTTAAATTCTTCGTACTTCTGAGAGAGTTTATTGCTGATTTCTGTAAAATCGATGCAGGTATTCTCTGCTTCTTTACGATTTAATTCGAGTAAAACGTCGCCTCTTGGATACAAATCGTGAAAGCTCGGTTCATTATTAATTTTATCGAGTCTGCCCAAAGCCCAAATCACATATACTGGTTTATCTATGGGGAATTCTTTGTCTCCGGAATCGGCTATAAAAATAAAATTATATATATACAATATGTTTGTATGTGAGAAATGTGTTAGCTGCCGTATAACTCACATGAAATAAGTGTACGCCTATACGTGATGATATTGATACCATTCTCTCTTACCGCGGTGTAGAGCTGATTGTTGTCCAAACCGCCAAAAAGCTCGTCTCTGCAAACGCCTTTGTATTGACCGAGAACTTTTCCACACTGAAATCATTCAGATACTTATATCGTCTATCGCTTTTTTTTCTTGCTTTTTTTCACATTAAACAACTTTACGCACTGGCGCCTTTGCTGTAATATTGTAATCCGTAGCATATCCACGGGTATCGTCCATATACGCGATGGCTACGTCTGCACCTTCCATTTGACTCGAGTTCTCCGAACCGGACAACCCAAAAGCCATGTACTCATCTTCGGCTGAAAACGTGAAAATAATTAAAATTTATTCTCACATATAATAATTAATACATCTATCTATAATTTACGTTAATATACGTACCGACTTGACCTACCAATTGGATGGTAATCTGCGGACCAAAGATTTCCCAGGCAACTTGATATCGCTTATGTAGCTGAACGCAATTCGGAAGAGATTGCGTTTGCTTGATAATTTTTATCAACGACGGCGGTACATTGAGTCCATCGGGTATAATAACGGAACCATAATTCGATTTAGTTTTTACGTCAAAAATACTCAGCCAATCTATGTTAAAAACCGTCATATCGCCTGGCAATTCTAATATGATGTCTTCGTTATTGTATGCTCTAAGAGAATCCATGCTAAAAAGTAGAAAAAAAGTGTTCTTTCTACATTTTAAGATACGCGCTTTGAATACAATAATTATCAATTATCAAATGTTTGCGCAAAAAATATGTGTATTTTAGTAGATTTTTAGAAATTATAATATTCTCTATTATTTCTCTCTTACTATCCGTATTCATCGGGTACTTTGTGGCCCTTGCTAGATGGTTGCGGACCAAGACCGACCCAGAAATACGTATCTACACCTTGCCCATCGTAGAAGAATTGTGGTATGCTGATAGTTTTTGAATCCAAAATCACAATGGGTTCTGATGAGACATTGTGAGATCTTTTCGACAGCTGTGATATCTTTTGAGGCGCGGGTGGATCAAATTCTTCGGGTACGTACACATCACCGAAGGTATTCTAAAGTTGGAAAAAATTGTTTTAGACAACTAAACCGATACTAGACTTTAATGTCTCCTAGCACAAACATTTTGAAACGATATTAATTATATCCGATAATAAACGATAATAACTATATTATGATAATGTGGTAATATTCATCATTTAATTAAAAATGTTATCAAAATAATACAGCATCTAAATGTGTAGGCAAGAATAGAACAAGTAATTTATTAGATACTTTGAATATTTTGTATTTAAAATAATTTATATTTTATAAATGTATCTAATTTTCGCTATTTATAAATGTATCTAATTTTATTATTGCTTTTACAATAGATATTAGTGCTAAATGTGAAATAATAATAGCATGAAATCATAATACGTTCATAATATTGCTCTTAAAATTTATACCTACTTGACTTTGTAAATCGTACACTGCAAACCATTTGATATCCGTTATTTTTTTATTATCCGGAAGAACGAGTGTAAAATCCCGATTGAAATACCGATCCAATATATTTGTCCTGAAAAATAAGCAATTATTAAGATTTAGCACTGAGTGATTTGTAATTGAATTTAATTTCGAGATTTCCTTTTAATATTTAAAAAATACAGCTTACTTGCCCCACTCATCGGGGACTATAAATCCTTGCGGGCCTGGTCTATTCGATGCTCCTGCCCAGAAAAACGTGTCGGCTCCATTACCATCATAATTAAAGGACGTCAACAATAAGGTATACTGATCCACAGCCCAAACATCACCAGAAACTTGATGATGATACGGATTTAATTTTCCCAAATATTTTCCCTTATATTCTTCATTATTTTCTTGTGCATAAGCTGTCGACATTGTAATATTTATTAGACTTAATAAAAATACTTGTTAAATATGATAGTCTAAGATATGGACATTTAAGAGATTGACAGCATTTGTTAAAAGAAAATATATATAAAAATAAATAAATATATATATATATATAAAATGAAAAAAAAAAAAATATATATATATATATATATATAAATTAATTCAAATTCTTTAATATAAATTGTAAAACTATGAAACTCAATAACATGTTTAGTTTATATATTTTAACAAAATAAAATTTGAAAAAAAATGTACTATAATTGTATTTATCTTAATAATTTATCTATATATATTTTCAAATGTATTTAATGTAATCTATTCGCTCGAAAAAACTCTGACATAGTTTTCAAATAAATTGCCTCTGAATAATTCAAATGCTATTCTCTAGATTTCTATAATTTGCATAAGAAAGCTCGTTTTTTGGAAAATATTGATGTCGAATTAAATGTGTGAATGATGTTTTTCAGGGAGATATCGATGCTGGATGGAGCAATGTCTTTGGCGCTTAGTCATTTTTTATTTGATTTTTTCACAAATTCTCTCTCAAATCATTTCGCAAATTCTTATTTTCGTACACGATATAAGATCGATAATTACCGTAAGAAAATAGCAAACATCCTAGAAGCGTCACGAGAGCACTCTCCGTTCTTTTCGTTTTCATTCGCCATCGCTTCATCTTTCCCTTGCTCTCAAATGCGCGAAAACATGTCACTGACTTTTATCGAAAGATGACTAAGAAACCGAGAGATCATAAACTGACGGAACGGATGAATGATCGGCGAATTATGTGCAACTCGTAGCTCTTGTTCAATGCTCATAATCAGACGATTCCGAGCAAAGTCAATGATACATGAACGAGTATCCGATATGGTGTCACGGTTAACGGTTGGCGATCGCGAATAACGGTGATGCCTTGGATTCTGTATATCACGGTGAATTCACCGAGAAAAGTATATTCCTCTGACACGTTGTCGTCTCTCGTAGCGGAAACGCGACTAGAAAACCGAATCGGCCTTCACGGAACGTGGTTCCACGCAAACTACGAGCGATTGTACATTCTCCGAGAGAAAGTATGCGCTTGCTTGGGAACACCGGGGACCAATCGACGTTAAAACAAATCTGCTCCAAACGGTCGCGGTCATTGTCGTCTTCCTGGAATCCAGTTCGAGCAATGGCGAGGATAGATCAGAAAGATATCCTTCCGATGAAACTTGGATTAGTCATATTTTCAGGATTTCCCACGATATTTTATATCCCATTGTTCCACCATACTTTATGTCTCCTATTAAGAAAATTTAATAGATATGAAATAGATATAATTAGTACGATTATGTTGATATTTCGTAAATTACAGTATCACGTTTTGACATCCGAGATTCATAATCAACTACAAAACGTGCCATCAGACTCGAAAATTATTCTGTATAATATTCTTTGCAATTGTTACAATATTTTGTTAATAATCAGATTAATTTAGAGAGAAGATTAATTTGTTCGAGAAAAAATTGTTCATATAATCGCGTATAAATATGTACATATATAATTATATAATATTTATTCATATTTATTTGTTGTTAAATACTAAAGTACAATTTAATTATAAAATTTCGAGAGCATTTTCTTTTCTTGAGATTCAAAGTCCTTGCAGTTTTTCGAAATTTTTGCCAATTTCTCTTGTTTTCCAAAGTGAGAAGTATTCCATCTTGAAATGGTCGGAAAAATAGAAAGTTCTGTCCCAATTAGCTGCGTTGCGTTACACTTTTCGCATCTAGAATGAAAATGTTTACTCGCGATTTCGAAGAAATACAAGCAAAAAAATATTTAACAAAGATAAAATAGTAGTTAAAAGAAAAGTCGACAATAGATTATTTTTTAAATATTGGAAAAGATATAAAAATAGATGTTTTGCATTGATGTGTGCAGTTTTAATTTTTCAAATTCTTTTTTTTCTAGATACATTAATGTAATATCTCGAAATCTTACAAATATAAAATAAATTCTATTTGTAAGAAAAATAAATTCCGATTAAATTGTTCAAATTTATTTCAACGTTTGAATGTATGTATATGTCTTCTTTTTTTGCGTATGTATGACCGTTTGATCGATTAGCGTCGAGCATAATATTTCGGTTGTCAGTTCTCGCATATAAGACATTGCATCGCGTTACCTGATTGATAATTATGATATTGTCGATATTCGAAACAACGAAAGACGGATTGATCAAACTGATATACGTGACTACAAAAGCCATCAAGAATTATGTGATAAAAATGTAAGTTCACCGTTTCGTCTACGATATATTTTCGATTGCGTTATAATGAAAACGTTATTCTGAAACTTATTTTCTCACTTGCTGCGATTACCATATCGCAAATATTCTGAATAATCGAGAAAGATCAGATAAAAATATTCCAATCATTGAGTAAAATATCGATATTACATGTATTGATGAATACCGAGATAATACTCACATTCTTTGTACAAATAGAATTAATTATCTTTCAGAAAACATATATTACAAATATATTACGGATGATTAGATTAAAAAGAAAGAAAAAAATTAATTTAAATTAAAAAAACAGAAGATTTTCACACACAGGATCATATTATATGATGATAGAACTATTAATGAAATCTGTAGCATAAAAATTATTACAGCTCATGAAAGTGACAGATAGTAGTCATAAAAGAAAAGAAATAACACTTAAATTATTAATAATGTGTCCTCTGGAAAATACATGTACTTTCTAAGAATTCATTTTTAAAAGTTTTATTTCATATGTAATAAAAAAGTGTTATGATATACTACAAGATTCAGGTACTACGCAACAACTATTCTTATTTTAAAGCATCCATTTTTTGATCAATTATATATATATATTTATATGAATGATATGTTTCACTATGTAAAGATTTTGTTAAACTATATGTATCGTATAAACATGAGTTATTACTATTAATATTATTTATGTTTCAGTCCTATCAATATTTTTGTATTAAAAAATAAAAGAGAGATAATATTTCAGATCATTTCTCTAATGAATATGTTTCTTGTATCTATAATATATAAAGCATCTAAAACATAAAAAGATTCGATAATTTTTTGTACTATTTAGTCATGTTGTGTTCTTAAAGATAAATTAATTAATGATAAAATTATGCATATGTAGTTTTAACACGTCAAATAAAAGATCAGATTTGATCTTTGTGATATATATTCCATAATTATAAATAGATCATTTAAATTTTAGAACACTCTTCTCTAACATATAACTTTACTGAAGAAAACACGCAATATTGTAATTTTAACATAATGGCTTGAGGTAATATAATTAATGTATAAAATGCATGTTTTTAATTTTTCAATTGAATATTTTAAAATTTTCCTATTTAAAAATAGGTGTTCATAAAAAAATTGAGATAAGTACATATAATATTAAGAACTATCTCTGAGACTTTATTAAAATTCACTTATTTTTTAATTATTTAGATGCACAAGATATAACTCATTTTTATAGAATGTAATAGTTTTGATAAAATTGTTTAGATATAAAATGTTATTAAACTAACAATAATTAATAAGAGTAAAACAAAGCATTCGTTATAACTTAAAGTAATATAATGAATATATGTACTGCAAAATATGCTATTTTATTTAATTGAATTTTAAATAGATAAAGTGTCAATTTCATGTATGCAAGAATTATGTACAGAATAATAAAAATTTCAATAAAAGTCTCCAAGATAGCTCTGTTTATATATTTATGAAAGTGAAAAGGCACTCTACATAAGTAACTCCTAAGAATTTTACAAATTCGATATAACGCTGACACTTTGAGACAAATCTACTTGGCCTCTCAAAACTTTTTGCTGCAATCTCTTGCAAAAAATTTTTGCCATAAGTTTATTTCGGCGTGCCTCTTCTTGTCGTTCCTGCTGTTGTCGTTTGAATCGCACTTCATTCAATCGGAGATACCGTTTGCGTAACCGCTCCTTCATCTCCTCGTCAGTAATTTTTCGTTGTGCGGAAACTAACATACGATAAAAAGAAAAAATTGTGAAATATATGTTATGCTATAATTTCCAAATTAATTTGGCTGTAAATGTAAATTATTAATTTTAGAAATGTATAATATAGTTACCTGTTGGCTTTCGTATCGGTGTGGATTTATTGATAGTAGATGTACTAGCCATTGCCAATAATTGTATCCTCTTCTCCTTTCTCAATTCCCGCAATTGGCATATTTCCAATAAATATTGTCGGCGTGTTTCCGCATTGCCCACAAACTCGGGATTGTTTCTAGATAAATAATCCTGAAATTGGTTTGACTGTCAGGAATCCGAAAAATCTATGATATTTCATCTTCGAAATCAAACAATAATTTTTCGGGATATTCTATTGAACATTATAAATAGAAAAATTATTTCATTCAAGCGACGAGTTTAGAAATTGAGTTTCTCGTCTACTAAATTTCATCAAATTTCTTACCTGCAATGTACTTTGATGAGTATTCTTGTTATTCCTTTTCATATCACAAGCACAGGCATCAAATTTTGCTGCGCTCGAAGGATGCTTGGAAACTTTTGGCATTATTGGAATGATATCCGAGGTTTCATTTTTCAACGTGTTCTCCTTTGTAAACGACACCTCGTACGCAACAGCTTTGGGATACATTTGATGGCAGCCACATTTTCTGATATTTTGATACGCGGTACCACACGCGCGACAATGTTGGGAATTTCCTTCCGTTTTATTAATACCGGCATTATCTGCGATATTTGGTTTCGATGCGTAATTTTTGTACGTTTTGACGGTATCTTTGATCGCTTGATTATTATTACAGGAGCAAGCCTCGTTACAATTGCATTTTAATACGCTATTTTGTACTTTACGTTGTTGAACTATGCCAGCGTCTTGCAAACTATCGGAATAGATTTGCTTTCGCATTTGATGCTCTGCTAAACGGCACTCGAAATGGTACAAACCATTATTGTCCATTTTACCATTCGAGTGACAATATTCACACAATGATCCTGCCATTGTGATTTCCCGATTTCGACGTGTAACGCGATCGTTGACACAATCGCAAATCCTTCCAGTGTCATTTTGTTCGTCATGATTCAAGTCACATTTCTTCTGGTTCTCTACGTTACAGTTTTGTCGGGATTTGCCGATGATTTTCCTATCTGCATCCTTCATAGGAACATTGACATCGCATTCGCACGCATTCATGTGGGTCCTCGACGTTTGGCTATTTGATTCCGAGATATTTTCATGCGTGCAGGAGAGATTCCTTTGACATACCCCACAAACATTACTGACATCCGCGACGGGCTTCTGTTCGGAGCACAATGCACATGTAAATAGTGATCGTTTTTCGGCAGTTCGTTTGGCTTCAATCGTGCTCGAAACACACTTATTATCATTAATGGACGAACAAGTGCCACTACGAGTGCAACTACATTTCGACTTGGACGCGTTGATTTGATTCTTAGCCTCTTTCTGTTTCTGTTGGATGACAGTTGGATGACTTTGCGATGCGCGATGACACTTGGATTCCGCGGCGTCGTCGCTCGCGTAATTCGTCTGCGTCTGATGCGAGACGATCGGCGCGTCTCCTTTACGCGATCTGATGGAGGCTGCATCGGAATCCGAATTCTGATTGCACCGCGTGCACGTACGGCCGGTATTGTGTGTTTGGCACGATTGGTCTCTGCATTTTGCGCCATTCTGATAACATGGCTTCTGAGAGTTCATGTACCTCGCGTCTAATTCGATCGATGATTCGATCGGTGTCGAAGACATTTCGCGAAGTAACGTTTGTACACCGACAGCTACGCGCTTTGTCATGGATCTCTGCGTTTTGGACGCGGACACAATCTCGCCTCCGGTCTTCGAATGGGCACTGGCTAAATTCGTCGCCGTTTGCGTGCAACTGTTACGTTTCATGATCCTCTGAATTATGTTATCACTCGCAGCTTCGCGCGTCGCCAAGTTGCAATGAGACGACCACGGTTCGTTCATGGAATCCTCCCGTAGATCGGATATACTTCTAAAAGCATAAGATTAAAATAGAGTAAAATTATGATACATTTCGTATTTACATTCCGTATTTATATAGAATGTCCCATTTTAATCGATCACTCCGAATAACTCTTTTAATTTTGATTGTAGAAAAAAATGTTTCAGACAAAAGTTATATGGCTTGAAGGGGGACATAAGATGGTGTCATTACTTTGACATTGAAGAGTCACCTGAAGGTCACGTGAAGGTCACATCCAACTTTTTAAATGGGACACCCTATATGCTTTTGCATATTCTTATAGCTCATCTCGAGAGCTTTCCAAAACACTATAATTAAGTTAGTTTTCATTAAGTACTTTCCGAGTTATGAGGCTTGAAATCGTTTCTTAATTTTACATAAATCGTAAAATATCTTGTAAAATATTCATTTTTCGATTATCCTACCTCAATACTTTTATGTACAAAATAATGAGAGGAATCCATTGGTGTAAAGAAAACACATAATTGTTTCGAAGAAAAAATATGTAATTTGCATTTAATAATTCCATATTTTTTTTTTAAAACAATTGTTTTTTCCTTTACACCAATTGATTCCTCTCATTATTTTGTACATAAAAGTATTAAGGTAAGATAATCGAAAAATAAATATTTTACTAAATATTTTACGGTTTATGTAAAATTAAGAAATGATTTCAAGTTGGATGTGACCTTCACGTGATCTTCAGGTGACTCTTCAATGTCAAAGTAATGACACCATCTTATATTCCCCTTCAAACCATACAACTTTTATCTGAAACATTTTTTTCTACAATTAAATTAAAAAAGTTATTCGGGGTGATCGATTAAAATGGAACACCCTGTATTATAGAGTATAAATATGTCGCTTTACCCGTGTACGGTGTCCACATGTTCTCGTCTGATTATCGCCGTTTGCTTCGATTTGAGATTCGCCAATTTAGGTTTCCTTGGCGAGGATTTCGGTCTCTCCAATCGTCTGGGCTGTTCTAGCAATCTATTGACAAAGAAAATATAATGATATAAATATTCTATTTTGTAAAAAAAAGAGAAAGACTCGTCTAACATTTGACAAAGAGATTATTAAAATACGAAACATACTTTTTCAAGTTACAGAGGTGGCTGATCTCATTCGTAATCCAAATCAGTTGATTTCTCTTCTCCATTTCAGCGTAATTAACGAGTTTAGAATCACCGGACTCGGACATGCTGCACTTCTTCAATTCAAAGTGTCTCTCCGACGAGGTAGTCGGCAATCTCCAGTCGGTATTATTATCCGTATTATTATTAGATTCGAGTGAGTTCCTTCTATTGTTGACGACGGCGTCTAATAAGATTCTATTGTGATCCGGGAGTATACTGTTGGTCGTGGTCGACTCCCGATGCGGCAGTTTACAGTTCTCCTTGAAGCAAAATATGTCATTGACTTTAGCATTTTTATGATTGCGCTGAGGTACGAAGCATTCGGAACTCTCGCTCTTATCGGGATCTGTTGGCGTGTTGCTGCTGCGTTGACAGTCATCGGTTCTCAGTCCTAGACGCGCTTTCCTACCATCCATCTCCGTTCTATCTGTATGTCGGTCGAACTTGTCGCTATTACTACTTCCCAAAGCGACTTCCTTTATAACATCGCTGGTGGTTCCTACAGATTTCTGCATCGATATATCCTTCTTCTGCAAGTTCCACTCATCCGAGGACTCGGTGGTGCTATGCTTGTTCGTCAAAGCCTGAAGCAACTCGGATCGGTAAACCTTATTCCTCGCATCATCCGGATTCCAGGGAACGTTGTCCTCCAAATTATGCTCAATTTTATCGTCCGTGTATTTTGCGGTGACGAGCCGCTTGATCACGTGCTGTATCAGTCTTTTCTTAACTTGCTTATCGCATTTGTTGGCATCGACGAGGCTCTTGAGGATGTTGACGCTTCTCTCCAAGTCCCGGACCAAGCTATCCGAATCTCCCCATAGCTTGTCGTTAACGCTGGAACTGCTGTTTGGCAAAGTCGAATTCGATCTACCGGTATCCGAGGACACGTGGCTATCCCTACCGTTTGGAACATTTGCATAAGTGTGCCCTGGAAAGTATTCGAAACTGTTGGCTCTCCCGGATACGTTCTCCGCCTCATCGGGCTGCGGTGTTATCGAGGTCGACGCGTTCTGCGAAATTTCCGAGCTACTCCGATGTCTTTGAACGTCCTTGGCGTTTGTATCGACCTCATCCGTGGGACGCGAAGCGTTTTCGCATTTCTTTGTATTTTTAATCTTATACGTACCATTGGACTTTTTCAAAATAGAATGTATCGCTTGTAAATTAGGATCTTTCTCTAACAACGATGGTTTGCTTTCGTCGAGATCTGAAACTTGAATGGCAACGGATTCCTGAGAGCATACGTCTGGACTTGTCTGTATTACTTTATCACAAGTGGCAGGTTTATTCACTATGGTAGCGATGGAGGACGTAGAATTAAAGATTAGAGGCAGCACAGATTTTCTTTCCTTAGCGTGCAAGTTTAGTTCGCTCTGACTTCTCTTCAAAGAGGATTTTGACGACGACGCGGGTATCACGTTCATCGACATGCTTTTCTGCAACGGTGAACTCGACGGACGTGTAACTTCTTTGCGTTTCGAATTTACGATTCTTCTCTCCATCGTCGGATATTTCACCAGTGGCGTCTTGAACGACGACGTAGGGGTATCTAAATTGTGTACTTCCCTTTTTGTAGACCTTAACGTAGTTTTCGATTCTACAGCGTCATTCGCGACGCATTTCTCCTGCGATTTTATATCATCTCCCGTGATAATGCCGGGCAAATGGTTCTTGACAATAGGTGTGATCTCTATTTCGCTCTCCGAACCCGAGACATTCGCTACCAACGGCGTTGAATTTGCGTCAGGCACGGTCGACGACTTCGAACCGCCATGAGCCCCCGTATTCTTCCCCGATTGCATCCCGGATTCGGTGGTACCTTCCGGATCTAGCCGTAAAGCGGCCGAGCATCCTCGCGCCAGTGCCATACGTTCTATGGTGCTTAATCTCTTGTCGTCTCGCTTGTTATGAGCGAGCGAATTGAAGTAACCGACATCGGCGCCGCTGTCCCACTCCAGCGGTTTGTGAGACGCCACGCTGGAGGTCGGGGAAGATATCTTTCTATCGTTCACCTCCGGGAACTTCTCTTGGCTCTCATTCTTCTCCTCGTGTATCGTTTCCGGCGTGAGATTGTGCTTGAAATCTGGCGACGACGTTCCAAGATCTGTCAAGGTTTCAACGTACCTGGATGAAACATCCGTATTAGAGGACTGTCCGATCAGCGGAGGCCTTACCCACCTACGTCTCTCTCTCGGGACATAAGACCTTAGATTATACTCCTCTCCGATACAGTCCTGCCTATTCGGGCCCACCTGTGCGCTCAGTTCGTACACGCTGCAGTAGTAGTTAACAGCCTCCTGCGGAGTATTCGACACGGGTAGCGAGAAATACTGATCCAGATTCGCGTCACGGGAGTATTTGCGATAATATTCCATTACCTGCGCGGAGAGTCTCTTCTTGGCTAGATTCGCCCCGAGCTTCACCGGTTCCGGTGGAGAGCCGCATTTCTCGCGCGCTTCCGTCAGACGCTTCCGCTCGTCGTCGCCGATGACTGCGAGGTCCCTCGAGCAACCGCCCTCGTAGCTTGATTCAGAATCGTATTCCATGCTACTGGCTCGCGCATCCTCTCCTCTCTTACATCCTCGGCCGCCGCGAGACGAGCTTCACTCGAGCGCTTTCAATTGGGTCACCGGGTGCATTCTCGACGATCGAAGAGAGGCCAGGCATATTTATATATCGCGCTTTTCAACGCTGATGGAAGGGCGGGGGACTGGGCTGGCCGAAGAGAAGAGAGAAGCCGTGGCAGCAGATGTAAACAAACAAGCTATCGAGCTCGATTTCAATCATCAACAGCGATTGTGGCTGTAAATTGTCATCGAGAAACACAGATATCGATATGATACCGTAGATATTGATAAAGGAACACACTAGAACCTTTCGAAGTGGATGTAGACGCGTCAGTTTCAAACGACGCGTATTTGTGGTTTATAACCTACGAGCTTCCGTCATCGATAATAGACGCGCACCAACGCTCCTGAATGGCTGTGTTCCTATATTTACTGCCATTACTGAAAATCTATAGTTTACGTCACGTATGCTATAGATTTTTTGCACTGGCAGTTTATATCGGAACGCAGCCAATAGATGGGCGCTTATTTTTGCGCATGCGCGACGATGGCGGTCACGTATTACGTCACAGTTTTGGCGGGAACTAACAGAAAATGGGTTTTAAATAATTATATAAATAAATAAATTAATCGATATAATTTGTAAATTTTTTTTTCTATATGTTTCATATTTTAAATTAATTTTTCAAAAATTCTGCATGTCTTTTAAAAATAATTAAAGTACCCTAACAGCACACATGTCCGAAAGATGTCCAAAGGATATCCATAGGATATCTCGATATCCTATGGATATCCTTTGGACATCTTTCGGACATGTGTGCTGTTAGGGTAGGGAGAATCATTGAACTACATTCAATGTATTCTACAAGTAAAATTAAAAATCTTAATATATAAATGGGATTATAATAGTTTTTGAATTATAAGTGATTAAAGTTAGCTGATAATATTAAAATTGAGAAAAAATAATATATCAAATAAATAATACATCAAAAAAATAATATATCAAAAAAATAATATATCAAAAAATAATATATCAATAAATAATATATAAAAAAATAAATAAAAAAAAATAAAAAAATAATAGCAAATATATAAAATTAAAAAATGTTTGAATTTTTGCAAAAATTTACGCACATAAATGTGTATATATAATACCTCTCTGTTTCTCAATACAAATATAATTTTTGTAAACAAATCACAATTCACAATAAAATTCAGAGTTTGAGCTATTTAATTTCATATATATTTGTTGCGATATATTTGTTCATATTTATTTCCCCTTTAGTTAAAATAAAGTATTTTGATACTTAAAAGAATTTATATTTGAAAGAGTTTAAAAGACAAAATGGAGTATCCATTTATGACGGAAAACTATAAATATATGTATGCAAAAATTTATATGTGTAAATTTTAAATTGATCAATTTTAACATTAAATTCAGCGACTGAAAGTGCTCTCTCGTTCTTAAACAATTTGAATAAATTAAATTCAATCTTTTTGATATAATGTTCAATCATTTAATTCGCAACTGTTTCGTAATAGACCCCTTATTCAATCAAAAATTTTTTATAGTCTATATATAGATTTTTTTCCACGAACTTTTTCCAGGAGCTTATTTTGTTTGATACAAGTGCAACAATTATTGTTTGATACAAGTGTAACAATTATTGTTTGATACAAGTGCGTAACAATTTATATAATACCCATACATCAGAAAACATTGCAGCAACATTGCGGCAATAGTATAATGTTATAAATTGCAATATTGCTTAAAAGAAATATTTAAAAAAAGGGTATTTTTCATATAATAATAGACTCGCGACTCTTCGTTGCAGTCGTTAAAAATCTTTTATTTGTTTCTCAAAGAATCCGTCCGCGCCCGTAGCAATTACAAAACGGCTTTCACGGCAGGCACAGCTTTCGGGATCCCGTCGCGATTCGATGGGATCGACGCGACTCGACAGAATCCCGTAACGCTGTCTTATTTAAGAATCCCTATCCTCCGTCAATACGGAGCTGTATACACGTGACATAAAGTTATTACGCTTACACGCTATTTATGTATATATGTATAAGATGTACATACTTCTTTTTTTTTTGTATTTATTAGTATATAGCTGTGTTCTCTCTTAGCCCTGACAAAATACGTAATATAGTAAAATATATGAAAAACTGCTATAGGCCGAAGTCGTACGCGGTGTCATACACATGCAAGCGTCACTGTAGATAAGAATCGTATTTTCTTCCACTAAGACACGTCAAACGTCTAGCGAAAAATAATGATAAATAGAAAATTTAAACTTATTTGTAAAATCTTAAAAGAATATATACTTAAAATTGGCAAAATTAAGTCTAGATTTCCTATATTAATTTCCTCAACTTTTTAAAAATATTGAAGTATCAGACAATTGATTGTACACAGAATCCTCCGCGAGTCTTCTGGTGATTTTGTGCATTTCACGAGATATATCTTCTTATATCTCTTGTTTTAGATTGTCGAAAGAGATGCGAAAATGCATGATTCTCATCTTCTCTCATCTCTTTCTTTGCCAACCTGTTTTTCGCGATCCTTATCCGCGTTGCATCGACACCACCGCGAGACCTCGTAAAAAATCGCTCATCACAATCTGGTTTCTTTTTCTCTCCATGCACACACGTACGCGATACGCAGCGACGAATTCCTGTTCCTTTCTGCCTCGCTAATATTTTCATAGTCAACCATTAAAGAGACTCTGAAGAAAAATATATAAGATTTTCCAAAAGTATAGGACGAAATTTTAACTGGAAAATATTACTATTATATCTATTTACAGTTCGAGATTTGATTTGATGACATCACCCTTGCGTTGTGAATAAATTAGTAATCACAGAAATAATTTATAATTAATAATTTATAATTAATTTATAATTAATGCAATTTCAAAAGTTTTACGGAATTTTTCGCAGGTCGTTGGAGTTGGAAATCGCCGTCGTTGTATCCGCGAATGTATCCTAACTTACAAGGAATATCATGTTGATCATCATCATCATCACATCATCATCATCATCATCATGACCAAACGCTGATGCACAGCAATTGCCACCTTTGCAGGTCCCAATTGCTTCGATAGTTCGCTCGATCAGCGCTTAATCAGCTCGCAATCACAGCACTTTACTCACATCTTTCATCTACTTTTGACGAAAATCACATTTACAAATGCCTCGCGCGACAGAAGACAAAAATTCACGATACAAAGGTACTCTGCATCTATGTCGGCAGAAATACAATTAGCGATCTATCTCCATATATATATATATATATATATATATATATATATATATAATTTATTTATTGATTTATCGGATTAGTTGTATGATGGCTAGATCGAGAATTAAAAGCGTCGAGAGTGATAGATTGATGAAAGTTAATTTCGTGGAATGTTTTTAGGATCTTTTTATCTTTCTCTCTCTCTCTCTCTCTCTTACTTTTTCATCGATATAAATCGTATCGAAGCGCGGTCAGAATATATGAAAAAATGCAAACTTGGTAAACTTTACTCGGCGTGTGGGTGTTTCGCAAAAAAAAAAATTTTTCGTGACAAAGTTATAGTATCTTCCCAACAAACGGGGAAACAGGAACTTAGAACGAGTGATTTTTAGAAACTCGTTTTAATTCGGTTGTTATAATTGTTCTTCTTTCTTTATATTCCTTTATTATATTTTTATACGAGATCGAAATTGAAGCTATCTGTGGAAGAAGAACATTAGATGAAAATGAATTGTATGAACAAAAGAGATCTAAATCCCTTCCCGAAAGAGAGTGTATTTATTTATATTTTAAATATATTGTACTTTTAATTGGAAAGAAAATAATAATCGAAATAATATGTATATTTTTCTTGTGAAACATATTTTTATCCATTAAAAATATCTTTAACATCCGAGAGAATAAAGGTACTTTAAATTAAATTTTTTTTTCAATTAATAAACCATTCCCCGAAAAAAGAATATTTTGCACTATATGTATATCTTTTTTCCAGATGATTTTAATCAATATTTTAGCTGAACATTGTCAGTTTGAAAGTCACAGTCTATGGAAAGAAGTTGACATTTTCAATCATTCGAACAAGCTCGATTACTCGAACGCTTTGACAGTTTTATAATTATAATTATAATTTTCTTAAGAATTATTATATTCTTTGACGAAATTGCAATCGACCTTTGCATAGCGAAATTTACTAGACTGCGCGATATTTACGTTTTAAATTTTCAATGTTAAAGCTATCTTTAGCAATATAAAGCGCGCTTTATAGTTAGAAAACACAGCTTTAATGACAATTATCGTTTAATAGAGATTAATTTCCTATCAAATAGAATGCCCAACGCAATAGAATGCGATTAAAATCTTTATCAATTAGAATCGCAATGCGATAACAATTAAATTGCTATTAAATTTGACTTAAAATTTACTAAAAAGCTTAAGATTAAGCTTAATTCAAAGCCCTTTAATTATTAACCAATGTTATATGGGTCTATAATTGGGCTCCTTGATAAAATTTCGTAGAATAAATACAATGCCAAAGAATCATCACAAGAAGTTGAAATATTTTTCCTAGCACGGGAACATACATTCTATTAATCTATCATACATTCAATTCTTTGAAGAATTTACGCATTTTAGACGATTTTTTTCTCATTAATAGCAATAGGACATATTATAAAAAAAGAAAGAAAAGAAAAAAAATGACAATACTTTTGTACAGATTGATTACGGGATCATTTCATCGCTTTGCGACGCCGGTTGCAACTTGCTGTTTCTTAGATTAAGAACGAGTCGGTACGATCTATTTCTCATTCAGGCTTACACTGTCTTCTATTTTATATTAATTACATTGTTGATCGGAAATACTAAAGGCACCTAATGTTTCGCTGGATGCTGTTTGCGCTGCTTATTGCCAATTAAAAGACAAATACAGCCGAGATCAACCGCGACGGAAATTCTCCGTTTCTTCTACCCACACTTCATTCTACTCTTCTTCTAATCTTTTCGCGCTTATAGCGAAGCTTCATAGTGTAAGAAACGAGATTAAATTAATTTCGCAAAATCTCAGTTACAAAAGTAAAATATGTAAGAAACTGGAGAAATTCCGTCTTCGCTTGAAGTCTACACAACATTCGCGAATGCTATTTTTCGAAGCGTAACAGCAAATCGGGACTGATTCTAAAACATCGTGAGACCATATTCTAGTCGATCGATGAAGACGATTCACAGTCCGCTTCGTTAATATTGAATGATTGACTCTCGAGACTCGATTATACGATTTTCCGGAGCCTCTACATCTCTGATTTAACCTTCTATTCTTTTTCGCGAAAAAAAAAAAACACTATAACGAGTTATTCTAAAGGACAAAATCTACACTCAT